GTATTTCACTCCAGCGGACATTTTTTATTGCATTATATCCTATATATATATATATATCCATATATATTAGAATGTTCCCATTCATTGTTCAGGCTGTCTACAATGCCAACAAATTCGCTAAACTTGCAAGGAGAAGAGATAGGCTTCAAAATTGGTTGGACTATTACCAGCTTAAGTTTGAAAGGCATCCTGATAAGAGGCCAACTGCGAAGGTAAGTCCTTGTTGTGAACTTCAAACATTTCTTTAAGTCGCTCAGTATCAATCATTCATCAGGACCAGGGTCTGATAATGGTAATGCTTCTGATTTTGTAGACGGGTTTCTTAGGGCTTTGGGGTGGAAAAGTTGATGCTATTGAGTACTACAAAAAGCTGATAAAGGATCTTGATAAAAAAGTAAGTGATGCCTGTTTCTTTCTTTAGTAATTTTTTAATTCTTCATAATTTCTCTTCCTATTTACAATTCTTTTTCAAGTATTGTCCAGTGCATTCCTTTTGATGCTTGGATTTACTCCCTTCCTTCTGTTGAGCTGCCTTCATATATCTGCATTCACACTCTCTATTGAGCAGATGACATTGGAGCGCCAGAAGATTATAAAAGATCCAAAATCTATTTTACCAGTTGCTTTTCTTTCATTTGATTCTCGCTGGGGAGCAGCAGTGTGTGCACAGACACAACAAAATAAGAATCCCACACTGTGGCTGACAAATTGGGCTCCAGAACCTCGTGATGTGTATTGGCGAAACTTGGCAATACCATTTTTCTCTTTAACTATTCGAAAATTCATTATATCCATGACAGTGTTTGCCTTGGTATTCTTCTACATGATTCCCATTGCTTTTGTGCAATCACTTGCAAATCTGGAGGGTCTTGAACGAGTTGCTCCTTTTCTTAGACCAGTAATAGAATTGTAAGTCAATTTGGTCTATTTTGAAAATACGGTAGAGAAGCTCATTATGATTCCATTGTTAAATTTCTGAACTCCTTCCATGCACAATCTTTATCTGTAAACTGTGGCGCCTGAAATTTGTCTGGACTCTCTGTGATGCTGTATGCACACCATTCAGGCTGAAACTTTACTTTTATGCATCTTAGCGCAAAAAGGTTATTCTTTTAACATGATGAACCAACAGGAATACTTTTTCCATGCATCTTAACTTTATCCATCTGTAACCCTTGTTGAGAAGTTTACTTTGCCTTTGCTTTCCCCTAGCTACTTGATTTCATCACAAATGGGGTTAATAATCAGATCCTAATATTAAAATATACAGTCAAATGAAGTTCAGTTTAGCGTTTGACTAGGTTATTGAGCTTATAAAGTTGTACCTGGTACTGAGGCTTGGAATTGACTAGTTCACATATTCTTTTGGATTGAACTTGTTGAGATATTCTGACTCTCAGGTTTTTCATCATGATTCATAGTCTGCAGGCTATAATTTATCTCATTCTTAACCTCACGAGGTCTTGGTTGCATTTGGCAGGAAATTCATCAAGTCCTTTCTTCAAGGTTTTCTTCCTGGTCTGGCTCTTAAAATATTTCTGTATATCCTTCCGACAGTTCTTTTGATCATGTCAAAAATCGAGGGGCACATTGCATTGTCCACACTAGAGCGGAGGGCTGCTGCAAAATATTATTACTTTATGCTTGTGAATGTGTTCTTAGGAAGCATAGTGACTGGGACTGCATTTGAGCAATTGCATGCTTTCCTTCACCAATCACCCACACAGTAAATCTTCTGTGCCGTTATCTCTTTAGTCTGTCTCTTTCTGATTCTACAAGTCCAAACCTTTTCTACTGGACTTTACAATTATTGAATGGGAACTCTTAACTTTTTGCTGCTTTTAAATATCAATCTTGATCATGTAATGGAGTTTTAAGTGACTAATTTTTGTGCATCCTGTGATTGATTATAGAATTCCTAGAACTATTGGAGTTTCCATTCCCATGAAGGCTACCTTCTTTATGACATACATCATGGTTGATGGCTGGGCTGGAATTGCTGGTGAGATTCTCAGATTGAAATCATTGGTTATATATCATCTGAAGAACATGTTCTTAGTTAAAACAGAAAGAGACAGGGAGAAGGCTATGGACCCTGGAAACGTCGACTTCAAGGAGACGATTCCCAGTCTACAGCTATACTTCCTTCTGGGAATTGTCTATGCTGTGGTCACTCCAATCCTCCTTCCGTTCATACTAGTCTTCTTTGCCCTAGCATATTTGGTATACCGTCATCAGGTCAGTTCATTTACACACAAGCTAGTTGTTTTCCTAAAAGAAAAATAACAATAATTGGGGTGCTTTATTTATCAGAAAAATAATGCTGTGGATCCAGAATAAACCAAGAAAGCGTAGTCTTTATAAGTAGGCAATCATCATACTTTCTCTCTGGTTACAAACATTCACACATCAAGTCCCCCCCCCCCCCCAAAAAAAAAAAGCAATTATAAAAAGATCAACATCAGCATCATATATCATATCATCTGAATATAATGCTCTATTTTATGCTCAACTATGCAGATAATTAATGTCTACAATCAACAATATGAAAGTGCTGCTGCGTTTTGGCCACATGTTCATAGCCGCATCATAGCGAGCTTGCTAATTTCTCAGCTTCTTCTGTTGGGACTTCTGAGCACAAAAGAAGCAGCCAAATCTACGCCTTTGCTTGTTATATTACCACTACTTACATTGGTATTCCACAAGTACTGTAAGCATCGTTTTGAGCCAGCATTTAGGAAATATCCCCTTGAGGTTAGACCTGGACCCTGCAAAAGGCAAATTTGCATGAGATCCTTTGGTTTTAATCAGGTTCTGGTTTTGCTTTGGAGGTGAACAATCCTTTTCTGTGGGTCTTTTTGCAGGAAGCAATGGCAAAGGATGTATTGGAGAAAACTGCAGAGCCTGGCCTCAACATCAAGGCGTATCTGGCTGACGCGTACTTGCACCCGATTTTCCGCTCATTCGAGGTAGAAGAAGAGCTTGTTCAGGTCCGAGTTGACAAACCACAAGCTCAGGAAGCCGCCTCGCCGTCGAGTGAGCTCAGTTCTCCTTCCCCTCAACATGTTCATCAGTCCTTTCCTCCTCACTATGACTACTCTGCACCACCACCCCAGCCTTATTATTATCACCCACCCTCTCCTCCGCACTATGTTTATCACTACCAAGTTGAACCTTGAAGCTAATCACCAATCCCAATCTTCTACGTTCATAGAAGTGAATGCATATATTGGATTTGGAGAGAGAATGAGAGAGATAAAAAGCTTAAAGTTTGGATGTGAGTCTTTTATACACTCACATTCTTTTGTATTGCGTTCTCTTCAAATGCATGGATGTAGAAGATCAAATCTGGAGGCAAAGCAAGTCAATGCTCCAAACAACCCCAACTAATCATTACTGCTTACTGAGAGACTTAGTTGTGTATTCAGGTTTTTATTCCTTGTAATTGCTCTTATTGTTATTTTCTTTAGAAATGTAAATGATATGGCTCATTTTTATGCATGGGATTTTCTTTTTGGGTTGAACATGTACAAGTAAGCAAGGTCTTATTTGATCGAGCCACTCTAAAAAAGTGGTGTTTATCGTGTTTCTTGTAATGTAGAACAATTAAGGAATCTTAATAGTAAGCTAAGGTAATTTTTCTAAGCATTTTCCTGGTAAATATATACTCCTATGCTTACGAATGTGAGAGGTGGGTAACTAATACACAAATATTTAGTAATTTAGTCAATAAAGGTATACTCCCTCTAGTTGTTAATATAAGAGTTAGATTAATTTTTATTTTAGTCTTAAATATAAGACTCCAATCTATTTTGTCTTTTATATTTATTTATTTTTTTTCAAAGTATACATGTTAGAAATTTTATCAAATGATAGTTATAACCAATACATATAATTAGTAAGGATATTTTAGAAAAAATAACACTTAATTATTATAAATAACTAATTTAACAAACCTTTTTAATCTACTCAAATTAGTCAACTAGCTCTTATATTAAGAATTGGAGGTAGTATGAAACAAATATACATTGAGTGAATCAAGGTTTGAATTCCTATTAAGAGAGGTGTCCATTTAGTGCTCGGTATTAGTTCGAACATAATTACCTCCAATAAAAAGATACATATGCCTAGCAGGAAAAAAATTGATTTTCATAAATTTTTTTAATTGTTTGCATTTTCAAAAGGGGTACATTCTATGCTTCTAGAAAAGATGAGTAAGGAGGGCTCATTTTAATTTGGATCATCCATTTTGATTTTGGATGGTTTAGATCCAATTTAATTTTTAATGTTTAAAACAATTTTTTATTTTAATAAATTCAAAATTTAAATTAAAGATGGGAAGCGTATTTATTGGAAGAAGCAAAAACTCTTTACGTTTTAAACCCCGAAAAGAAAACTCTTAATCAAATTTATCATTGACAACACGAGAATCATCATGACAATATATAGTGAAACCCTCTTAGTTAACCAATAATCATAAGATGAATACTATTTAATAGTTTTTTTCAAAAAATTAAAATAAAACTAACTAATTTAAAAATAATACTACTTTTAATCCTTAATATATGAGCTAATTGGAAATTAAACTTAGTTATAAATATAAATCTTAATTTATTTTGTTTTTTATTTTATTTTTCAAAATATCCTTATTAATTGTAAGAGATTCTTACTAAGGGATTTTTTCAATCACCTAATGCACATAATTAAAAAGAATAATTTAGAAACATCAACACATATTTATAACAAATAATTAATTTAACTAATTTTTTTAAAAATATTTTAAATTAATTATTTAATTTTTGTATTAAGAAACGGAGAAAGCTGGAGTAGTACGTAAAATGGGAACCGAGCAGGCCCAGTCCAGGCTTATTTCCAGTCGTAACTGTCAATTTTTCCGCTTCGCGCCGTTTTCATGGCGCCCCTATCACCGCCACGCGCCCCATTCTTTGCTTCTGTTTGCAGCCATAACTATCCGAAATTTTATCTCCCAGCTCATTTCAGACCACTCTTGACTTCCAGAGTCGACGTCAAGTCCCCCAACCCTTCCTGTCAATGTCCTTCGATGCTCGTAAAAGCTGTCCTCGCAAAGCTCAATCATACCCATTAAATTTCCTGTACTCAAGTCCAGGTTCCTCCTTATGGGTACCCATGAAAGTCTTATTAGTAGTGAAATTTCGACCAAATCAGAGGAAGCTGAGAGCCAGAATACTTTCACAGTGAGCCAAACTGTGCGTCTATACTCTCTACACTTCGGTATTTGATTACATTGGTGGTGTTTAAATTTTAATTGTTTTTACTTTCTTCAATCGAGTCTGTTTCAGGTGTTTGGGGTTCTGCACTTGATCATCTCCCTCGGGCTTATTCTTGCGACCGATGTGGTTTTGAGCAAATTCTTCTCGGCTGCCTCAATTCAGTTCCCGAGCGCATTATTTGGGATGTTCTGTATATTTTCTGCTTTGGTGGTTCTTGACTGTACCGTGCCGTCTGCTGCTATGGCCTTGATGAAGTTCTTTGAACCAGCGTTTGTGTTCATTCAAAGATGGCTACCGTTGTTCTACGTTCCATCGTTGGTTGTCTTGCCGCTTTCTATTAAAGATATTCCTGCTGCTGCAGGCGTCAAGATTGGCTTTATTATAGGTAGCTGCTTGCTTTTGCCTGCTTCCGGTAGCCAGGCCTTATGCTACTTTCTTTTCTTCCATCGACTGTAGATTCCTAGGTGAAAATCTGTTGTTTTAATTTAATACAGTCACTATTTACTGGAAATTACTATTATGGCTTAAATATCTAGTATTATCACAGTTGCCACTTCGTGCCTGTAGTCTTGATTGAATCATTGTTGTCTTCCAACGTTATGAAATAATTTAGTTCTTATATCTTAATTTTAAGACAAAGGATTTTAATGCTACAGTAAATTCAGTTATGTAGACCCAGTTTCAACTTTTAGGCTTGCTGGATGATGGGGCGATGGGTAACTCAAGTGAGATCATTAGTTTAATGATCTTCCTTCCTTTCATCCTTTTTCTCATAAGTTTTAGTAAAATTTAGAGTGATCTTACTCGATTACAGGTCATCTAGCAGGTCCACGGGGTTCAAATTACATCCATGGATCAAACAGAGTTACAAAGAAAGGACTTAATTGCGTTATTTCTAAATTCCGAAGGACAACATTGGCTCAATAAGAAATGGAGGGATCAAATATCAAGATTTATAATACTTGAAGAACTAAAAAGTGTCCTATAAGACTTTAGCTTTTTGACAACTAGTTAAGCCCCCCCCCTTCTTACACCCCCTGTTTGATGTTTCTATGTTGGACTAATTGTGTTTTCCTCTGAATTTCATGTTTGTATCTAGTTTTATTGTGCAGTTGGAGGATGGCTGGCTACACTTTGTGTTGCTGGTTTCACAGCTCTTGCTATAAGAAAAGCTGTGAAGACAGAAATGATAGATGCTGAGCCCATGGAAAAGCCATCTCCATTTTCTTCCATTGAAGTGTGGGCTTGGACTGGGATTTTGCTCATATCACTTTTTGTTGCATTTTTTAACCCTACAGCATTGGGAACTCACGCTAGAACGTGCCTCCCCTTCTTACTTGCTTCCAATGTGTTGGGCTACATGCTTGGTTCTTGGTAAAAGTTTTCTTTTCATTAGTGTATATAAACAGCACTTTTTCTTTGTTCATTTGGGGACAAATAACAAACACAAAATCAAATATTCTCAGGTCACAAGGTATAAGCATTTAGGGAAAGAACCATTATTTTTTTTCAATTGAGGCTTCTTTTATGGAAGCTTGTCCTTTCTTAAAAATCTTCATTTCCAGGCTTCCATCAAGTGTGAAGAAGGTCTTCCATCCAATTATTTGTTGTACACTATCAGCAGATCTGACAGCATTGGCGTTTGGGTATCTTTCTAAGTTAGGCTTCGAACCTCTTCTAGGTATGGCTGACAATTAACCAGCTAATTCACTACATCATGAGTTGTTCTGTCATTGGCTGCGATCTTCTTGCAGGAATGCATTGTGATTTCATTAATAATAGTTAGAAACACTGATTTCAACAGTCGATATCTTAGCATTTGACATCTGATGCCAAATTGAGTACTGAATCATTTGGATCTAGTTCATTAAACTTCTTGCTAGTTCATCAAATATCAAACTTCTTGATATTGAGCTAGGCTCGGCTCTTTCGGTTTAATTTACAGCCTTGTATGTAAATTGGGGTATCAAAGGGCAAGCCCTGTGCTTTTGTTGGGAACGATGCCAATTGACAGATGCTACTAGGTAATGTTCTAAGTTTGCTCAAAATTCTGAAAGTATAGAACCTTCTAGACGAGGGACAGTCTCTAAAACACCTAATGTCATATTAAGGTCCCTTTAAGATGCCGACGCTTTATTGTTGGATACTTTAGTCAAGATGGCATATATTTATATCTAGAATCTATATTTATATCTATATATCACATAAAGATGCAGCAAGTTGTGCTGCTGTTTACCAGCCGTGAAGAGTGCAACTTGTTATAAGGGACTCCCTACAGTGCATGGGCGGGTACAGGAAAAGATATTTAGTACCTAATGAAAATGGATCTAATATAGGGTAAATTAGGTGAAAATTCTTTTGGTTAATTGTCTTTAAGAACAACTCATATCAACGTCCTCCTTCTTTCTCTCTCATATGGACATTGTGATTCTTTTCTCCAGTCAAATGATTCTTCTTTCTTTGTACACAGGATATTATCTTACAAATGCATCGTCTAATCCAGGAGCTGGTGACATTCTAAATGCATTTTTGGGTTCTGTTATTCTCTCATTTGCTTTCTCTATGTTCAAACAGAGAAAGGTAAATATCTAATTTTCTCAGTAAATAAATCCCCAGAATGAAGTAATTGACTTGATATTTTCTCTTCACTGAGTCAGCCATTTTGGATTGTTGGTTGTTAGGCAAGTTTCTGTTAGTCTCGTACCTGAACATTGTTTGATAGTAAACTATGTTGCTATGTTGAATCTGCTGAGCTATGCAGCATTTTACCTTGGCTAAAGAAATGTGAATACGTACTGTAGTTATTCGTAGCCTTTCCTTGTACTCACCCATTGTATACTTGCCAGTCATAACAGCGACAAAAATAATAAAAAGAAGCCTGATATATTACAAATAAAAAAATCATCGCAAAGACATTGAGCAGTAATTGATTTATCTATCATTCAGCTTATAAAAAGGCATGCAGCTGAGATTTTCACCTCTGTCATAGTCTCAACGGTATTTTCACTGTACTCCACTGCTCTCGTTGGACGTCTAGTTGGGTTAGAGCCATCTTTAACGGTGTCAATACTACCCAGATGTATAACACTTGCGTTGGCCCTTAGCATTATATCGTTTTTTGAAGGTAAATCTTGTATATTCAGAGCAATTAAATTTGAATTCTGAAACATGTAGTATTTATGTGCACTTGGGGCCCTATTTCAGAAATTCTGCAATATTCCTTGCAGGTGCCATTTCATCTCTCACAGCAGCTGTGGTTGTTGTAACTGGTCTAGTTGGAGCCAATTTTGTGCAAGCAACACTTGATAAACTTCGTTTTCGTGATCCAATTGCTCGAGGAATAGCAACCGCATCTAGGTATCTTTCGAATTTACAGATCACCCATTTGACCAATAAAATCCAGCTATTTCATTCATTGTCATAGCGATCTGTAATTTCAATTTCCCATTAGCAGCATTCGTTGAGGTTATTATTAATATTACTCTGTAGGGAATTCATTTAGGAAAGAATAGTGCTCATTTTATTTTTCTTCTCAATGCACTTTGGCTTATTTGCCTGTTACTAAATTGTTGAATTGTGACAGTGCTCATGGACTGGGAACAGCTGCATTATCTGCCAAGGAACCTGAGGCACTTCCATTTTGTGCAATTGCTTATGCTCTGAATGGTATCTTTGGCACAACACTTTGCTCTATTCCAGTTGTCAGACAGAGCTTGCTTGCAATTGTTGGCTGACAACCTGAGCACGCGCGCGCGTTTTGACATGATGTCTGTGGGTCATAAGGAAGAACATGCCAGTCCTTGACAGAATTTTTTATTCCTTAAGACGCCATAGCGAAGCCCACAGTATGTATTGAGCCAGAGTAAGAATTTCAACTTATGGGGTGTTTGGCAACCTCAAAAGTGCTTCTAAGAAGTATTTTTCCACAAAACGAGACAAATTCCTCCACATATTTATTTCGTAAACCGTAAAAATACTTTTGAAATCATGATTTGATTTTCATCTAAACACCTCTTAAAAAAGGTACGTGGATGGTTTTGAAGGGTGTTGGTTCCAAAATGAGAGGTAAATAGTATACAATGAAAAAGTAAAATAATAGGTCAATTTACAAAATGTATTACGTTTGGTATATCAAGCATTGTTGTGCATTTTTAACGGTGAAACTGGTCATTTCTTCTCATTTGACGCTCACCATTTTTCACTTTTTGTTTCCATATGCTAGTTTAGGGCTTGCTTGATAACTCATTGCAAAAATAATTTTGTAGCTTTGATACGGTTGTTTTCTTTTTCTTCTTGGTGGGGGTTTTTTTTTGGGGTGGGGGGGGGGGGATGGGTGTGTGGCAGCCAAGTCAGCCTGCCGTTTGAATCCTGTGACAACTATAGGAGTGATTTTTAAAAAAATAATAAAGTATAAGAACTGAATTAAATTGTTAGAAAAATTATTGGTAGTAAAGTATTAATATTAATAATTAATTAAATTCAGGTAAAAAATATTAATAATAATTAATACGATGGCAAAAAAAATATTAATAATTAATAATGATAACAATTCTAAAATATTTTAACTAATAATTTGTTTTTATAATAATAATAGTATATAAAAACTTAACAGAATTCATGACTCCATGATTTTTCTCTCCCCTTCCTAATCCTAAAAGATAAGTTATTGTTTCTAACTTTATTTTTGTCCTTTCAATGATCAAAAAAATTTCCCAGTTTTCGTCCGTCGGCTCCTAATATCCTAACGTAGATGATTTGACGCGTATTCATCCTAATCTGGGAATTGTGTTCCAGAGCTCGCAAAAACTTCGGCCTCGGATCGGAGATTCCTGGATCCGTTTTTCCGGCTGGGGTGGGCATCTTACTTGCTGTTGTTTACACTGTTGCTTGTTGAGTTTTCTTTCTCCCTTACCCGGTGCTTGGTTCATGGTTGGGGCTTTTTTGTGAGGGGAGGCCCCCCGGGGGGGAGATAAGGCTTTTCGGTTCAAAAAATTAGAAGGGAAAATTAACTTCCTATTCTGACAAAATTGCCCATAGTACTTATTCGATATTCCGATGTTATCCTCCTCACTTCAAACTCCATTCGTTTTTGTTTTTCTCTCCAGCCGCTCGCCCTGGTTACTCCCCTCGCCCAGTGGCCGCTACCTGGTCTTGCAGCCGACGCCGCCGCACAGCTGTTCCTGCAGCCGTCGTCGCCTCTCCTCGTCCACTCATCTCCTCTCATCGTCGTAGTCGGTCGTTCATTCAGGTAAGGAACCCAGTATCGAGAAGCAGAATGGGTAGTTTTGTGATTTGTAGGGCAAGATGGAGGGGCCTGAATGGTCAAGATCAGTATTTAAATCTCTGCTTACACTAGTCAGAAAAATATGGTCGAAACCAGTGGAGGCCCCTACGTCGGATAATTTTGTATATTGCTTTATTCATACCCGGTTTAGATGATGAAAACGCAGATTTTCTGTTAACTTTTCATTCCATATAATTGTTGTTTGTATGCATTATTTCATGGCTAAGATAATTTATTCAGCTTTATTCTAGAAGTGGCAAGGAGGAAGGCAGACAAGAAAATGTTCTTCCACATAGTTTTAGAGCGGAATATGCAATTGCATCCTCGTTACTTTGGTCGTAACCTTCGTGATAATCTTGTTTCCAAGCTTATGAAAGATGTGGAAGGAACTTGCAGGTTAGTTTTAAATTTTTTCTTTCTTCTTTAACTCCCCTTAAATTATGTGATAGAAAAATTGAGAAGGGAAAGGAACTTTGCTTCAATGTCTAGTGAATTGGATCTCATCTTGATGGCACTAATGTTCCTAAAATCACAAGCATTTGAAAACGAATTATTGTTTGCATTGGAGTGTTATATTTTTATGGTTGATTAAGAGTGGAACTAAACACGAGAAAAGTTATTTCTGTGAACTTCTAATTAGGAGATGTCATATTTTGATTTTTATACAGTGGTCGGCACGGATTTGTGGTGGCAGTCACCGGCATTGAAAATATTGGGAAAGGGTTAATTCGTGACGGAACTGGGTTTGTGACATTTCCTGTAAAGTACCAGTGTGTCGTCTTCAGACCATTTAAGGGGGAAATTTTAGAAGCAGTTGTTACTATGGTGAACAAGGTAGATATTCTGCTTTTGTGTGTGGGGTAATTTCACGCATAGTGTGCAAATAATGGTTTTCGACTGACCTTTTGGACCCGTACAGATGGGATTTTTTGCTGAAGCTGGACCTGTCCAAATTTTTGTTTCAAACCATGTAAGGCTTATGTACTTTATATAGCTTCTGTCAGGAAATTTTCTTTGTTATCTGCTCTTTTTTTCTTAATGAAAATTTGTGTGATCATATATTAGTTGTACATTGGAATGGCATGAGTTATTGGTCATGTCAATATTAGTTTTAAGAACGAGGTTTTGGTCGAAATAAATTGGATGTAGAGTTCATAACTGGAAATGCTTCAAGTTCGAAGCCATTTTTATTTTTGTTTCGTGTCCTTCATTTCAGTTGATTCCGGATGATATGGAGTTCCAATCAGGAGACATGCCAAATTATACTACTTCGGATGGATCAGTATGTATTCATGCCCTCCTCCCTCTCCTCTTTTCTTTTACTTAGTATTGTAACATATGCTACTTCGGATGGATCAGTATTAACCACTTGATCTCTTTCAGGTTAAGATTCAGAAAGATAGTGAAGTCAGACTAAAGATTATTGGTACTAGAGTGGATGCGACTGAAATTGTATGCCTTTATTGCCTATTATATTGTCTCCATGATGGATGTTGGGTTAATCAGATAAATATATGCTAAAATTTTCATGGGGAAACTTGAATTAATAAAGGTATTGGTTGTGAGCTTTGGATCTTTCTACAAAAGACCTCAGAATTCACAACAGGGGCTTTGATCAGAATTTATGTAAAGTTTAGCCTTTTGCTAATTTGCAAATCACAGCCTTAAATCTTGGGTGTTGCACTATTACTTTGGCATCAAGATACATAAAACACCCACCTTGTCTGAAATAATGAGCAGACAACGTTCTATGTCTTTAAGAATCTCTAGTTAATGTTTTCTGATTTGGTCCATCTGCCACAATTGTAAGCCATATGTCTAAAAGCCTAAAAATTTTTCGTCTGCGCGAGTTTTCAGTCTTCTAAAAGATGAGTGTGAAACTCAGTTACTTCTGCCTTTGAATAATGGGAATATACATCAGACTTTATGTTCTGTTGTGCTTTTCTGGAACTAACTTATCTAACTTAATGCGCAACTTTTACTTTGGCAGTTCTGCATTGGTACCATAAAAGATGATTTCCTGGGCGTGATCAACGATCCTGCAACAATCTAGATGCGCCTGCTCTGCCTTCTGTGGCACTCTTCTAACATATATGATTTTCATGCGGTGGATTGTTACACCTGAAATCTGATTTTTGTTGTATTATAGATATGGATTTCTATTTTAGGTATAGGCTATTACCAGATCAACTATCTTAAGAGCCTATCTTATCACTGCTGTATGCATTGAGCTTGATGTTGATCAATATAAGGTTTTGCTTAAGTTGAAAATGTGAAGTACATGTGCAATATTCTTTCAAGTACCCCTTTATCTTATTGGCAGAATGGATGGGTTGCAAACATAGACCGACCAAAATTTTGGGTGTGGGCTCAACATTGCCATCGCAGCATTATTTTTCACCCTTGTGTTGCTTCATTTTGGTTGCCGCATTTTTTTGGCCAACGTCTTGGGTACTAAATGGGTGGTGCTTAGATTGTCAAGAAAATGTGTTGCTGATGCTACTGATTGTTTGTTTTATATGATATATATTTGTTTCTGCCCCCTCCCAGCAAATTTTTTTTAAAAAAAAAGCACTATTGCATTTTTTTTTTCACTCACGTAAGAGCATGGTGTGTAATATACTTTGGTTAAACAGTATTTCTATATCGGTTTGCCCGCAAGATCAAGTTGAAACATATAAAGGTTTTAGAGGGGGAGTTCAAACTAATCACAATTATAATATCAAATTAAAAAAGTATTTGATATTAATTATATCATGAAAGAACGGTATAACTTATTCCTAAAATTTCAAGCAATGTACGAGAAAATGTGTTTAATTACTTTTGAAATATTGGGGTTCATTTCTAAGTTATATAAAAAATATGTAATTCCTTTTCTTTTAATAATAATAGTCCTCCGAACTAACTATATTCATAAAGACCATTTAATCTGAAATGTAAAAATCGGGGATGTTTGGGTGAAATTTTCAGGATGTGGTAATGATAATGGAGAGGTATTAGTGCAGATAAATGAACCCAAAATAAATCCAAGTGGGAAAAGAATATGAAATAGCGGTGAATGGAGACTTACGTATCCCACCACGTGTTCGAATAGCATTTTATTGTTCTTCTTCCCCCAATTTTATGGGGACGTACGTAACGTTTGTCTGAGTTGGAAGCCCTGAAGGAGGATTTGCATGCAGCACCATTTCGCTGTATCTTCCTCCTTCATCGCCCCCAACGTCTTCCTCTGTCTCCTTTTAACCTTCTTCATTCTTCTTCCCTTGGTTCTCTGGGTCACCCGTTTCGCCCCTGAACCTGGGTTCTTTTTCCCCTGGAATCCAGGTCTGGTTTACTTTACTTTTCTTCTTGCGCGCAATTTGTTAATAACAAAGCTAAACAAGTGAATCTGAGGTCGGCATTGTCGCATTTCATGTTAATCTTAGTTTCTTATTTAGATGGATCATAGTGCAGGTTTTTTTTTTTTTTTCATTTCATTTCATTATAGGGAATTACCTTTTCGTGTGATGTTTGTGTGATTGCCTTATCTATCAGCTCGATGCATTTTACCGTTAGAGATGGCATCAACCAATTGCCTGTTCTGATGATGAACAAAGCCCAGTTGTTCCTTCTAAATCTTTATTCTCCTGTGAACATTTTCAATGCATCTATTGCTTATAGACAATAATCATCTCTAGGTGTTTGATATCAATTCTCTCGTATAAATATTTCATGCAGACCCTGCATGTCACATAAATATATTGTACAAGACAATCAACTCCTAAGAATTGCAATTTTACTTTTCCTTTTGTTATTTATTTTCTACTCACTTGGACTTCAGAGATCCTACTGATACTCCCTTGCTGTTTTGGAAAAGGTTCCACTTTCAGAACCCTCCATGGAAAGTGCTGAAAAGATGCCACTTCATGGATTCCCCATAGGAATTGCTGAAGCAATTGACCTACCAGATAATCATGCCTACATTAAAGCTTCGCCCAATTTCTTTAGAAACAGAAAAGTGGAACCTGACATTCTGGCTCATGTAGAAGAAGAACTTGATGCCGTTGCTCGTGTAGAAGAACCTGTGGTCCCTGCTCGTGTAGAAGAACCTGTGGTCCCTGCTCGTGTAGAAGAACCTGTTGTCCCTGCTGGTGTAGAAGAGCCAGTCACTTCTCTTGTAGAAAAGCCGGTCACTGCTCATGTTGAAGGCCGGAGAAAACTAAAAATTCCTAGATCTTTTAGCTGCGTGAATGAGCAAAAAGGCGCTATCGATACGACTCCTCCGATCGAGTCCGTTAAAGAAGCTGTTTCCAGGTTTGGAGGAAGCATAGATTGGAAAGCCCGTCGTGCTCAGAATATCCAGCAGGTATATCTGGCTTCTTGTAGCTAGCATTTATTTTATGCTCATATTCGTTTCGTTTTTCCATTTTAGGATTAGCATGTTACAGCATTCCTTTAGAGCTCCGTGGGTCTTCATGTACCATATGTAAACAAACCAGCTGCTTTTCTGGCTACCTTGTGAAACTCGATTATGTTCATGTTAGCGTTTCTAGCTTTGGTCATGCGCATTAAGATTGCATTGTTTATGCTCGCAATGGTGGCTTGATGGTAGAGTGCCACTGTCGATTTGAGCAAAAAAGCTGAAGTTTTCGGTCAAGATGATATTACTCTGCTTATGGTGATAATGATTTTGTTTTTTTGTTTTTTTTTGGGGGGGGGGGGGGAGGTGTACTTCATTTTATTTGCAATTTTGCTAGATTTTATTAGAACAAGAATGAAGAAGTAAAACAAAGCACGTGGTTGTTCTTAGTTAGCCTTTCATGATTTAATGTTGCTTCCCAGTTGGCTTGGACAGATCTTTGTTACATGCATACATTGAGGCTTTGACAGTTAAAAGGAACTGTTAACTTTATTTTTCTGGTATCATAGAGACCCAAGAGTATGGGAGTAGAACTTGAAATATCAGATGAGATCGCCGAGCTGAGGAGACAAGTCAAGTTCCAGCTACCTGAGGATCTGTACAGCACCAACAAACTTACAGAAGAACTGAAACAAAACCTAGAGAGGGCACAAAGAGAAGAGCATGAAGCGACCCAAGCCTCAGAAGCCGCGAGGCTCAAAGCTGAAGAGTTGGAGCAGGAAATTGCACATGAATCCAGGCACGCAGCTGCACTTTCAGATTTAAATTCCACAAACGAGGAACTAGAGAGACTGCATGATGAGTATGCTTGTATGGTGATTCAAAAGGATATAGCTGTTAAAATGGCTGAAGAGGCTGTTGCTGCATCCAAAAAAATTGAGCAGTCGCTGAAATATTTGACTTTTGAGTTGGAGTCATTGAAGTTGGCACGAACTTCGAGCCTAAGAGCAGCAGATAAGGACTGCTGTAATTGGAAGCTGGAACTTCAACATGCAGAAGAGAAGCTCCAGAGACTCAACCAGCAAGCTTTGGCAATGAAGGATCTCAAATCTAAACTGGGTGCATCTTCTTCTTTATTGCTTCATTTGAAATCTGAATTAGCAGCATATATGGAATCCAAATTAAAACAGGAGGGTGATGAAGAACCGAAAAAGGCACTTGAGAAAGTGAAAATCAACATAGAGAAAGCATCTGCTGAGCTTGACTCAGTTATTACAACTATTAGACGAAGTGAGGAAACAGTCTCTGTTGCAGTTGCATCTCTCAAAGCTGAACTGGAGACAAAGTCTCAAATAGCTTCAATCGAGATGAAAAATAAAGGAGCCAGAGAGATGATTGACTTTGATAAGAAAGTAGAGCAAGCAGCGCAAGAGGCTGATTATGCTAAATCACTTGCTCAGGCAGCTCAAATAGAGCTGCGTAAAGCTAAGGAAGACGTTGAGCAAGCCAAGACCAGAGCAAGTGCGGTTGAAAGTAGGTTACAGGCAGCACAGACAGAGTTAGAGGATGCCAAGTACTATGAGAAGGTGGCAATAGAAGCAGTTAAAGCATTGCAAGAGAGCGAATCAGTTGAAAAGAACTATGACACGGATTCTCCCTCTGAGGTAACACTAGGACTGAAAGAATATTATGAACTCAGAGAGCGTGCACATGAGGCAGAGAAGTCAGTTGATTTGAGGGTTGTAGCAGCTAATTCTCAAATTGAGATTGCTAAGGACTCTGAGTTGAATAGCTTAAATAAGCTGGAGGAAGTGAATCAAGAGTTGGCTGCGAGAAGGGAATCCTTGAAGATGGCAACTGAGAAAGCTGAGAAGGCCCAGGAAGGAAAATTAGGTGCAGAACAGGAGTTACGGAAGTGGAAGGCTGACCAAGTGCAGAAAAGGAATGCTAGTTTAGAGCTGAAAAAGGAATCTAATAAATCTGACCAAACTAATGTGCATTCAAATAATACTGCAAGCGGATCAGCCCCAGAAACAGAGAGCAAGAAGAAGAAGAAGAAGCAACTATTTCCAAGAGTAATTATGTTCTTTTCCAAAAGAAAGGCCCGCCGCAACAAGTGAATGTAATCTTTGGAAAAAAAAACCAATGCACGGAAGTTCTACCATAATCCCCCATCTTTTGTAAAATTATTTCTCTCAATGAGATTAAAGTTCTTGTATGGTTCATAAACCTGATGGGACTTGATTCTCTTGGAGATGGTTCAAGTGCTGTTAATTGTGAGGCATAGAATAAGACTGTCATCAGTTTGGCTGTGAGAACAGAATAAGAATATTGTTATGATGAATAGGCTAGAAGTACTGTATTATTTAACATTACCGTTGTAGAGATTATTCTCTTTGATTTCAACCCCTCACCCCTTTTTTCTTTTTGCTGGTATAAAGCTAAATGTTTCCAACCTTCTGGGATATTTCATCCCAGCTTTTGCTTCTCTATTTCATAACTTGAAACAGATCCAATAAGTACATCCAGAGTATTCTCAATTTAATGAAGACCGCCCATAATAGACAAATCAACAGAAAATATCCCCAAAAAAAGGGGAAACACAATAGAATAAATGATTGTGGGAGTGTTTCAGAGCCTGCCTTGTTCAATATGTATAATGGCAGGTTCTCTAGGCCTGTGCTGCTCCTACTGGAGTCCTAGCCCTGCTGGCTATTATTTGCTCATATAAATCTCTAATCTTCAAACCAATTATTGTCTGGAAAAGACCTGTCCCATTGTTGCTTCCTGGGAAATCAGCATGTTGCAACATCTGCTGTGTGACCTCTCCATAGAATTTTGTTGAGAGGTTACTGAGATGGCTCTCAACATAAATCAGTTCATCTAGTTTGTCAAATTGCCCATCCATCTCCACAACTGATACCTGTCCCATGTCAATAAAAACAATAAAATGACAAGGTCAACTTCTAGGACTGAAGTGAGTGAAGATCTTATATAATAAACACCTCAGCCTGCATCAAACCCCAAGGGCTGAAAGTACCAAGTATTTCATCTGTTCTGATAAAATTCTTACTCAGACTAATTCTTTTTTTAATTTGAACTTTTCATAATATGAAAGACATGAAAATATAAGATCTAAAGTTTTTGGTACCTCGTGACCATAGTAAGTCTCTGGTCCATAGAAGAATTTACTACCAGGATAAGAGCAAGTTAGCTTCCTCCCACATGGTATCCAGGAAATGGTAGAGCCTTCATCAAACAAGTAAGCAGGGCTAAAATGCTTAACCCCTTCTTTCTGTATTAACCTCACTCTTAAAATCTTCCCTTCATTATCATCTGGAATGAGCTGGGTTGGCAGCACTTCTATCACGGCATCTGCATATTGCTTCTGAGGATCTGCATGCAAAGTAAGTGCACAAGTTATAACACGCATAATGCACTATTACCTACACATATAGCGTAATAAATGGTATAAAATATATCAATTTAACTGTGATTGGTTATGGTATGATTCAATTATAATCAAAATAATGAACTTTAAATATGTTTTTAGGCTGATTCAATGGCTGATCTGATTTGAAAGATGTTTTAAAACAAACAAATAGGCCAAACCAAAATTTAATAAATAGTAAAATTAATAATTTCGATATGCTTGTAGGTCCTTTTTATTTTTTGCTATTTAATACTAAACCAATATGAGAAATTTAGACTGCCAATGTTCAAGGTTTTGATGGAATTTATTACCAATAAAGGCTTCAAAATCAGGCTTCCGAGCTTCAATGCTAGCCTTGATGCTTTCAAGACTGTGCCCACGCTCTGCCATGTCTCTCTGTAATGATTATCATATCACAAGAAGGAAAACTTAGAAGGAAACCTTTAAAAAGCTTGTAGAAATTTGCAGAACTCGCATGATGGGCTTCGTTTTTGTGCTCACCTGAATTTTCCATGCAAATTTCACTTCATTGCTGATGTCCAAGTAGATACTGAAGTCCAGCAGTTCTCTCACCCGAGGATCAAACCTACAGTATGGATACAAAAGTCTTTATAAACTAAACTCACGACGAGCAAGACGTTCCAACATTGTGCAAGTAAACATATTATTAATATTATTTAGCCTTGAAAACTGTGAATGGGACAAATTGAAAATATATTGACAAAAAAAAAACAGAGAGAGAGAATATATTAATAAATATTTCTTTATCTGAGATGAGATATTCTATCTCTAAAGTCCATCCATGAAATATCAAAATAGTCTTTCAGTCTCGTCTCTTTTCATTTTTAATATGAATCAAAGACAACATGAACTATTATTTCAAACTAATTAACTAACCCTGAGAAGGCTCGAAAGTCTTTTGCAAAATTCTCATCGGTACAAACAACCAAAGATGGACAAGGTATGAGCTAGACACCCCATTGTCTCATAAAACAATAAACCATTTCCCAACCCCACAAAAACAATTAAGCAGGATTAATCTGAGAATGAAACAAAATCAAACCTTAGTTTTTTGAGAAATGCTTACATTGGATGCAAACCTTCAATGACCAAGATTTTGGGAGGCTTGATGAGCTCAGGAGGATCCAAGAGACCAGTGACATGATTATAAATGGGTTTCTCCACAGCAATTCTATCCTTAAGTGCCCTAACTTGTTCACACATAAGATCAAAATTGTTGGCTCTGGGATCAAGTGCTGTGACTCCTTTCTCTTTTCTTCCATTTCTGTCCAATGAATGATAATCATCTAAGCAAATAACTGTTGTGGTGTCGCTAATGAGAGTGTTGGAATCTGGATTCCCTCCTTTTGGTGGTTCTGCTGCTCCTCCAAACACACTGGTTAGTCTTCTCATGAATGTGCTCTTGCCACAGCCTGAATCTGCAGCAAGACCAATCACTACCGTCTGATCATGATCACCTGCAACTGCACCGCATGTTATCACACATAGGCTGCTTCTTCTTCTTGTCCTGAAGATAACTAGCCGCTGTTTCTGGGCAAAATAACCCCAATGTGATTTTGATGGAGATGAAATGGAGCATTTTGTGTTGAGAGACTTTGTTGTTGTGTACACTGTGCAAGCTGCCATTATTGTTGTTGTTTGTGTCTCTCTTCAGAGAGAGAAGCGGCGAGATATTTGAGGTTCGTTCTGTGTAGAAGTTATGGCTGATGGTGATGAGGGGATGGGACATATTTGAAGAAGTTTGGAGCACAAATAAAACGAGAGGTGGAATTGAAACCAAAGGCTGTTTGGCAGAAAAGAGAAAAGAAAAATGGTGGGAAATGGTGATGGGAAAAAGCTGAGTTGTCTTTCTCTGTGCTTTGGAATTGGGTTTTCTGTGACTACCCCTTGTTTTGTTTTGGACAAAGTGCAGCTCACTGTAATTCTAGAAGAGAACCTATGTGGGTGTGATGAACCATCAGACCAGGGTTAAACATGTCTTTTCACAATTTTCTCCTTTCGGCTGATTAAGAATAATGAAGAAATAGGAATACCAGATATTTTTGTGATCATAACAGGCACTGAAGGCTGAGTGGTTCAGAAAGGGGAAGCAGGATTTTTGACCTGCCACGTGTCAGGAACATATTGGCTCCTTGAAGATGAGGGTCTGATGAAGGACCACATCTCAGCAAAGTAGTCATAAAAGGCTAATAATTGACATCAGCAAAAAAGGATGACGTCAGTGAGTTACTTGAGGAATATGCTTCAATTGCTTCTCATCACCACAATTCCCAACTTTCTTCCTCTTCCAAGTGCCAACAAGTCAAATACTGTCAAATAATATATTATTTTAAGACATCACAAAATATCAGTATTTTTTAGAATTTCATACATAAAAAGGTGTCGGTATTTGAATTCGAGGTCTTGTGATCAATAAATTTTATACATAGGGACTTTTCAGTGATTTCCCCAACAATCAATCATGCCATTTAACAATTATTTGAATTTATAAATGAGTTGAATTCAAACACTACACAATTATACAACCTCGTGTTAAATCTAATTTTTTTAAAAAATGAACCATATAATGTTCCTTCAGAGCTGAAGGAATGTATAAACTCTTATTTTTTTAAAAAAATTAATATTGTCTACTGAGTTGAAACTTGAAAGAATATACTACCTTCAGTCTTAATATAATAACTAATTTAATTTTAAATCTAAAATTTTAATTTATTTTGTCTTTCATATTTATTTATTTATTTATTTTTATGATAATCCTTCGTAGCAGCTGCACATGTTAAATCTTTAATCAAATAACACTTAAATAGTAATGATATTTTAGGTAATACAAAACATATTTATTATAAATAACAAAATTAACTAATTTTTTTTTAATCTACTTAAATTAGTCAACTAATTCTTATATTAAGAACTAGATGTAGCATGTTCCATTTATATGTCTGCTTTTAGGAGCAACTTGTTTTTTTTTTAAGTGTTATAAGCCAAGTTTTCTTTTGACTTTTGTCTGTGCATGACGCAATCGCTTACATTTATTTAGGCTCCATGATCCTTTGACCACGCTGCAAAGCCATTATCACAGCCCAAGTGCATTTTAATTAAAATAAAAAACGGTTACGTGATTGCGTTGTTCATTTTTAACTTTTGGGTGAATTAAAGAATTAATTTATATTCTTTTAATTTTAAAAAGGTTTAATGGAGAAATTAGGGCAGAATATGATCAATCTAGCTGCGTGAATGATACATCATATTTTATATTTATCGAAATTGATCACTTCAATTTTAATTAACAAAGTACAAGGGCTTAGAACGAACCAATCACTTTTCCTCTTCATTACCGTATTATTTTGCAACTGCGGATTATTATTATTATTATTATTATTATTATTATTATTATTATTATTATTATTATTATTTAAGTCGGTGCACGCCTGAGTGATGCGATTACGATAGAGTCAGGCCTCACTTAAATCAATTGAAAAATATTATTTATGAATATTTCTTTCACGGTGACAAAAAGGAGAGCAGATACCTACGTATACCATTACCCAATTAATTATGTTTTTCAGTTGCTGTCAGGACTTCTTAGTTCTTAATGTAATCCTTTTATTTTATGTAATATATTTATGAGTTAAACTGCATTCAACACTTCAAAATATTGTGATACATCTAGCACATAGAAATATTTTTTAAGATGCTAGATGCACCACAAAATATTTTAAGGTGCTAAATACATCTGAAAAAATATTTCAAGATGCTGGATTCTGGATATATCTGAAAAAATACTTTTGAGTGCTGGATTTACCTTAGCGGCTTAACCCCATATTTTTTTTTCATCTTTTTACCAATATATATATATATATATATAAAAAATAAAGCGAATGATTATGGGCCTATGAAAATATCGAACAACGAATCTAGAAAAATGATGCGTGACGAGTAGTCAACCATGCAAATTCCAATTCGTGATATTATTTTATAAAAAATCAGGTAAAAATATAATATTTTATAAAAATAGGAAGAGAATACAATAGTAAGTAGCACAAAAGACGCGTTTTCAAGTATGATTTATGCGGGTACAAGAGGGAATCTTAAAAAATATCTAAACAACAATAATACTGAAAATTAGCCAAATAATACAAGAGACCAAAGAGTTACGTTAAAAATAAAAAAAAACACAATGATTATGGCAAATGATAGGGCAAAGCAAAGGGTGGCGGATGGAACCAAAACTTAAGGCTACAAAACTGTGAGTCAAAGGGCAAACAAAACAAAAGTCCCTTTGAATTTGACCTTTTGAGTGATACAGTTATCCTGCCTGCCTTCTCCCAACTTTTTCGCTTCTTTGTTTTGGGTTTTACCACTTTGGTCAATTTGGAGTCTTTCACCTTTGGAGTTCCACGGGTAAACGTATAAATATTATTATTTTAAAAAAGTACAATGCCGTTGACTTTATTAGCTTAAATCCCACAAAAATTTAATAACATTTTGACATTTTTAATAAATAAGTGGATTCCTGGTTATAGTCTTTTGCTTGTTTATTGTTGCTGGCCAACAGAAAATTACCAACAAGTGATAGATTAATTTGTTGGGAAAGCACTTGATCCCTTTGAAATGCATTTCTATTTCTCATCATATGAGCATTAAGAAGCAATATTTCAATGTTAACTCCAAGTTTTATTTTTTTGCTTTTTTGGGGCCACACACGAGTCACAGTTATCGCCAACCTTCCTGGCAAGGAAAAAGCTTACAAGGCACTGACCCAATTACGACCAGTTTTGACGTGCTTTTTTTTCCACGAAGAAAAAGTTTTTTAAAAAAAAATCCAACAGAAGTCGATACCCATGTCATCTTCATTGCAGTTTGGATCTGGGTTAGAGAGAGCGGGTATAAGAGGGGATACAGAAAAACACGTGTCAGATGCGGCCCAATACTCTTCTCTCCCAGATATTGCTCGAAAACTAAAATCACTTGTACGCTCTTTACTCATGATCAATTGACATAATTAATGCAAGCATGTAACATTAGTTTAAAGTGATTCAAATTATTAAATATCAAACTCATTATTTAAACGTACTTTTACATGTTAAACTCACTTAAATACATATAGAATTTAAAATAATTTTATAACTGTCACTTTCTAGAAAAACAAATTTGTTATTGAAAAATTTACAGATTAAATATTTTAAATGTAGACTATGACTCATCTCACTACAAGATAGTGCAATCCCATAGTCTGTAAGTATTGAGAGGCGCGTTAATGAAGAAGCATATCAAAACCACGGGATCTTCTGTTTCACTCAATATATATTTCAATGATCGAAGGAAAAAAAAAAAAAATCCGGATGCCACTATGCTACCAAAAAGCAAAAAGAATCAGTCAAAGGGAAGGGAGATTGGAGTCACACATCCACAGGAAGACACACTAAACACTCTGATCTAAAAGCCGTAGATAGGGAGATATCATAAGGGGGGGAGGAGAAAGAAAAAGAATATACGAGCCACTTAGTATGTGACTGACGATCTAAAAGCCCACTGCACACCTTGAAGAAGAAAATCTCACTTGTTCCCCCTGAAATACAAGTAGACTTTCTGCACACAGAAAAAAGAGAAGACCAAAAAAAAATCGTTATGAATATTGTTGAAAGTAGATTTCTTAACAATATGTCAATATCTAAGTAAGTCAAGTTGCTGAGAACAGACTGCAAATAAACGTCATATTGTAGTATTCTAATCTAATAGACAAATATCATCAGAAGAGGATGTTAGTTTAAAACATCCAAACCATACTACTAGAGGGACTAAATTGCATGCTTGAGTACAATCGGAAAGTTCAAGCAAGCCTAGAATACAAAATAGAGGTTGCTGAAGGTTGTTCCAATTTGTTTCAATGCAGTGTCAACAGACGTATCTATTGTATCTCATAGCCTTTTGTACGACTACGATTCTTCCAACTTCTATTACTCCTTTGCAAAATACAGCCAAGACGTATTTCAATTCTAAGTTTTTAATCTAGATCACAAATAAAGCCTTCGTAATTTCTTTTTACAACTTTTCTCCATATGGAATAAGGATGCCTCAGCACTCCAAGTTAAGGTAAAAGGGTCCTTTCTTTTATTTAGCCATAATTCTAAAGCATCTCCGCATGATTCTTAACGCTTGAACCTGTGCTCAACATATAAATCGATTCATCCAAGTGTTTACCATAACCAGAACATCTGTGCCGAAATCCTAGTTTAAAGCATGCTAACATTTATTTCAGCCCACATGCTTATCTGCGTGCTACCCAGAATTTAGGAGGGGGGGGGTTTCAACTACATCAAGGTATTATTGCCCTAGAGATTGACAAGAAGCAGAGAGAGGAAGATGAAGACGTACTGATAAAGAAGGAAATTAGAACATTAACACAATTATCATTTGTCCCGAAAACAAGAACCAAGATAAAACGGGCAATGCAAAACAAATACAGGTGTTTGATTCCTCACCTGAAGCACCCACAAACTAAGGAGAGTCTCCAAGCAAAACAAGGCGAATCCAACCAAATAGAATATCTGCAATAATATCAATCTGAGATAAGTCCCCCATCGGGTGGGATTCCTTGAAAGAGAGGCCTTATATAAGACCTTGGGTTTTCCAACTCCAACAAGTAGATTTGGGATGCGGTTCTCCCAAGGACTCGTGCTAGTTACACAATCAAGATTGGCACAAACATGCAAAACCTTGTTTCTTTAAACCACTTATGATTTTATTACTAACTTAACCGAGCAATATCGATCTATACTCCATATATCAAAAATCAGGGGAATCTTTTTTTTTTTTTTTCTTTAACTGCATCACCCATGAACTGAATCAATTACCGGCCTTTCACAATCCTAAATTACAAATTACCTTACATTCTATTCCTACTGAAAGCCATGGCGGGGAGGGACCAAATCACCCATCTTCTTCTAGAATAGAATGATTGTGCCAATGGGCCACGCTAGAACAAGGCCAAAATTTGTCCTAACCCCTAACTTTGTGAAGGAAGATTCTAGGATTCGTTTTTTTGGCCAATCTCACGTGGTTTAGGGCTGTGATCCTTTTGGAAACAGATTTAGTGATTCAAGAGTGTAGGACTTGTAACCTAGGCATTGGATTTATCCATGATGCATAGCTATCTCTGCAATAATATCAGTCAAATCGGTACAAACAACAGTGGTTGAATTTGATTAGAACTTCAGCATAAGTAGGGAACTTTTCACTGCTTTGCTAGATCTCAATTTATATAAAACAAAAAATATCATGGAGGTTTTATCAAAAGGCTAACAGCCTTCACGGTTTTTCAATCTGTAAACATACATGCAATATATTATTCTTATTTTTACCAATTACCCCGTTAGTAAGTGCATCTAATTTGTCCCGACAATTTTCAAGATTAATGCATCAGTTAGAAACAAGCTTCCCTTTATTTTGTGCAGTATATTTGAACAACAATAAACATGTAGATTAGTGACATAAGTTCAGAGCTGATAATACTGAGCTGTACATAATTCAAATGATGCATCAAATACAACTTACCCCAACCAATACATGGTCTGAGAAGACATCAATTGCTGCTAGAATACCCCTGAAATTTTAAAAGAATTAATTCAATTTAAACAGAAAATATGTGCTTTAGTATTTCATTCCCCCCTCCTTTTTTCCTGGGCCTTTTGAGGCATACTTCATTATGAAATTACACTCAACCGGATAGTGATTAACAACTTGGAACTTCAATTAAGGAAACTCGAAAATAGGATTTGTACTTGGTAAAACAGAACTTACGTTAATGACTTTCCATGAAACACAACTGGAGGAGCAATAGCAGCAAAGACACAAAACGCAACATGCAGCTGCATCATGCCAAGGCAATTAACAGAAGAATTAACACATTACTCGCTCACTAGTGTGCCAGCAGTAAGGAATAGATTCACATACCATGTAAATCAGGAAAAACCAACCAAACTTGAATGCACTATCTGTCCTGCATATCAGAGAGAATCATGCCATCAACATGCAGTATTCTTGTTCTCTAAGTTCAAGCCACTGCTATAATCTTTCATTGAATATACAAAGACTACTGCCCAAGGCCTTTTGATATTTTTCTTTCCATCTTTCCAGCTATACATATTTCATCATGTATAATGGGTGGCTATAAATCCGTTACTATTCTCTACGCCTGTTACTAAAGGGGCAAGAGGTACCATTAGACAAATAATAGTCCTAAATCCTTGACGCTTTTACGAATTTAAAATGATAGTAAAGAAAAGGAAGCAACACTAGAGTAGTAGAGTTTACCTCACAGCATTGTAGAGGGGTCTGTACCAAAGCACGTATGACATGGGGACTCCAAGTAACATGTAGATCACAGCAAGGAAAAAAATTTTAACCCCTGCACATTGTAAAACACTCATCTAAGGATCCTAATCACAGCACAAACCAGAGGCCTAACAAGTACCCAAACATATTAAAAGCATTGAGAGAAAGAAAGCTCGCTCACCACCGCCTCTAATCCAACACACAGTCACAGCAACTACATTAAAAGCCAGGCACAGAACAATTCCTGAAAGAAGTCATTAAATAGTCAGTAAAAAAAAGAATCAAAATGAGAGAAAAATTGTGTGGTGGAATATTATAGACTATAATATACTATAATATAACTCTAATATCTAATGAGTAAAAAGTATAAACAAACAGCCACAAATTATCGTTAAATGGAAAAGGAGAACGTCAAACAATTCGTCAGAAATACAGAAGCACATTGCAAATGATAATGTTACACAGACAACTAGATAAAGATTTCATAGAAAATGAACAAGAACTCTAATACTGCAATTCAAATCGAAGCTTGTACTATGAAAAGGCTGTCACGTTTCAACCAAGTTGAATGAATGGAGGGACACAATTCAAACAGAATTGCAACTAACCGTTTCTAGGGACAGCATCTATCGGCAATGAAAAAACTAATCAATTAAGTCCCCATACCTAACCAACTTGCAAAAGCCAAATATTGCATCCTTTGAGCATGAGCCGGTATCTCATTGGCAATATCATGATGAATGATTGGAAAAAATGGAGGCCAATTCTTATTATCAACGGGAACACCAGCTGATAAACATATTTTGGAAGAAAGGTTAAAAGGATAACTAAAATGAGCTATTGACTCAGCAGTCAATACAATTTCAGAAAACCAATAAGTTAATTGAAAAGGTCGTCTGTCATAGTCTTATCAGCAACCTTGAGAAAGAGCTTCTTCTCTCCTTCTTATATCCTGCATAAACATTTCAAAATAGTCAAGAAATATTCTTCCCCCCCCCCCCAACCAGCAGAGAAGTAGTCGTATTTAAAAGATGCCAATACGTATACAAAGGGAACAGCAGAACATAAGCAAGAACTTACAACTGTAGGCAGTAAGACAATGTAAGCATTGGGCGATGAATTCAGAAATAAAAATGATATAATTATAATCCAAAAAAATGTGACCTATCAAAACAAAAAAAGGAGCTCACCTTTTCTTTCCTTTTTAGATCTGCTTCCCAAGTTGCTAGTTCTTGCTCTTTTTTCCTGGAGTCCTATGGATGCACCATAAATTTAAAAAATAATAATAATAAGGGGGAAAAAAGAATAGATCAGCTTGACGGGGCCAAAAAAAAAAAAACACCATAAAAATTCTTCAAATTAGCAAACATCATTACATTCTTGTTATCTAATGGAATATCAACTGTCGCATCATATCTTTGACCAAAACCCAGTGGTTCAGATGCCAGTGGTGGAATACGTGATTTTGATCCTGGGGCAGCAGCACCATTCTGCAATATTTTCCCAACAAAATAGAACGTAAACCACATACCATGATAAATTACTCAATGTCAATGCTTCCAGAACAAACAGCGGATGCTTAATACCATAACAAAACCAAAAAAATTTTGCCACTGAAATGACACCTTATCAAAAATAAAGAGTTAAATCATATTTACTTGAATCAAATGTTACTGGCCAGCCTAATTTGATTAGTGAGCATTATTTATTTTAGGAACAAACAAGACTAACAAACATATTTTCAGTTTTTTATTTTTGCGGCTAATTCCCAATTTCAGTGTAAATATTATCAGCACACCCTTTTCCATTTCACATGTTTTCTTTCACATTTTGATAAACCAATATTAGCAAATATTGTCTCCATTTTTGCCTTTGAAGTACAAATTCCCAAGTTATAAGTATTGAATATCGAAATTCCTTCCTCAACTAATGGCGATTCCAAATTCAACACATGCAATTTGATACTCCTCAAATTTTGCCCCTAAAATGGAACCTCTAATTTTATCCTCAGTTTCACCATAAATTTCTAATTTCCCGTTCAGGGAATGTTGAAATTCCCCCTGACCAATTATTATCTCAAATTTGCCTCACGCAACACCGCATCTTACTGAAATTTTGTCCAAATGATCAACTTCCCTGGGAAATCACTATTTTAGTTCAGAAAGTTTGGTTCTTAAAAACAAATTATGGCCAAATTGGGGAACTTGGGCTTGAAATTTGGATACATTGCAAAACTTTTCTGTGTCTCGAGCATTCCTCATGCTGTTCTTAATCAAAGAGTGAATAACGACTGTTTAAACTTCGCACCACTCGTTACAACCCTTTAGATCAACCAATACCAAAGTAGAGTTGGACCAAACCAACAGATACCAGACCATATTTTATCCGAACTTTAATGAGGAAATATTTTCTGTTGATGCCTATAAAGTATAAATTTCCATGTTTAGGCATTAAATTAGAGACTCAAGTAGGAAAGAACTTCGGTTTAACAGTTCAGATCTGCAGTGATGTGAATTGGATGAAAAATGTAGTGAAGGGAACCATTTCTTTCGGCGTGGACAATGGGCTGCCCCTAATATTTCGTCCCTCTCTATTACTGTCAAGTACAAAGTCCCATTCCATTCCAATTCCTGTAAACATTATCAATGATGAAATTGGAGCAGAATCACCACCATCTGCCTATCCACTGCTCAGTTGAGCAGCCAGGAATCAGTTCAAGCACCCCCCCTTAATCCAGTACGTTCTTTCACCAATCGGGTGGCTCCGAAAACGCCACAGTTTTGAAATCATATACATTATATTTACTGATCTGATACCTCTAAATACAACTACATATGAGTTTTCCTTCGGGAAGTTCCGCAAAGTCGGTGCACGGTCTCAACAGGCAAACAAGAGAATGAAATTTTATCAAAGCCAAAGCAAGCAATGCTCTGACGATAGAGTTATACTGTGTTTAAAAGGTCGAAATCGAAGAACCGGTTACCCAGTGATTTCTATAATTAGAAAAAACAAAACCCCGCCATAATTTCTAGCTGAAAGCTTCATAATGACCAAAAAGACACTTAGACGCTTCCTTCATGATTCGCATACACCATACAATCCCAACCTCAGAGATTAGAGTCAAGAGAGTATTGGATCTGAAGAATTAAAAAAAAAAAAAAAAGACTACGGGTAAATCAACGACTGGAAGAGGGAAGAGAAAAATTACCGAAAATGGATTAACCTCCTCTTCTTCAAAAGGGTTGGGATCGTGATGACGATTCATGGTTGTCCCTAGATTTTGCAGAGAAATATGGGCGAAAAGAGTGCCAAATTCACCGACTCAGGAAGATATTTATCGGGGTGAGAAGGTGGCAACTGTGCTGTGCTGCACTTTCTCGCCTTTTAGCACCGCGGGATACAGTTTTGGAAGGGGATACCGAAATTAAATTATACAATTTGCCCTTCGATTTTCGTCGGATTTACGTGTTTGGTCCTTCAACCGCTCGCAGGTGCTTTGTTGCTTTCCCGCGTGTAGCAATCAACTATCGACGCTCGCAATCGTTGAGGTTCACATTCGCTTTCCAGGACAGATAAATGAAAATTAGAAAAATAAAAAAAAAACTAAATTAAGTTAGTTATTTGCGAGTATAATAAACATAATATACTTCATGAAAACTCTTTAAAATGTGTAATTATTATAAAAATTATTTGAGGACAAAATAAATAATATTAGAGTAAATTGATGTCTTATATTTAAGATAAGATTAAATTTTTAATTAGTTTTTATATTAAACATTTGAGATAGTACACTAATAATAAATAATAATATGGATTTTGATAGTTGGGAAAAAAGGTTTTTGGTAATATATCTAAAGTAAATGATGAGAATGTGATTTTACTATGCGTGTGTTCTTCGTATAGGAAATTATTGAATAAGCATAAATAATTGAATAATCACAGGGACATGATAAATACTTTATGTTTTATATGTTCTGCAGTTTAGAAATTGATTTTGTTTTTTTCACCATGTTGAATGGGCAACAAGGTTACAACTCTTGCTTCAGCACATATGGAGAGCCAAAGTCGATCATTCTTTAATATAAACTTTGTTAACAAATAAATATTATACTATAAATTACCGTACAAACTAAAATTTATTTTTAGTACTGTCATCCTGGTGAGTAAATGCTGATTATTATCACTCAAATTGCCAATCAACTAATATAAAATTGGTTGGAAATTGAATTTGAATTATTATAAATATAATATCTCAATCTATTTTTTTCATATTTATCAAAAAAAAATTATAATTTTTTTTCAAAATATACCTATTGAGGCGAGGAGTTTCTATTAAATGGTAGTTAGTTCCAATATGCATAATTAAAAATGATAGTTTAGAAAAGTTAACACACATTTGTTACAAATAAACAACGTAATTAATTTATTCAACATTTCAAATTAATTATATTTTACATACAAAATCAATATTTACTCTCAAATTAAGTCATAAATACGGGAGGAATATTTATTTTATCCAAATACAAGGCATCAATTAACTTTATCCTATAAATTTGTTATTTTTTTAAACAGTTATGTTAACGACGGTTTTCATTAATAATGATAATTTTCGGTAAAAATTATTAAACTTCAAAAAGGGAGAATCCTTTTTATATCCAATTGAAATATTAAAATTTAAAATCAGGCATTTATCTTGGACAAGTTCTTAATGAGACCAAAAGCCTAACTAGAGAATTATGAATATTATTAAAAGTCCAAAATACCCCTCTATAATTAAAATATAATATGTTACTTTTATATTTTTTTCTTACAAATTATTTTCCTGAAATATGAAAATAACAAATCATAACACTATTGATTCCAGCATCCTAAAAAATTCATAAAAAGTTCGTTGTTTGAATAAGTTTTCCGCTCTTAAAATGTACGTGTGTTCTATTAAAAACCTGTGCGTGTTTAACAAAAAATTTGTGTGCGCGTGTGCATTGTTAAGCATGTAGAGGATTGATCAATATTAAACATAAAACTGTGCAAAAATTAAACCCATCCAAAATTAAAATCTAACAGTGAACTACATTGTTATGTAGATGAGGGTGTTGGCATAATTATTAATGAGAATCAAATACTGTGTTATAATTTCTTATCATCTACTGAAGATTTATTATTTTCAAATCTCAGGAGAATTCAGCAAAAAAAAAAAATCAGGAAAAGAAATCTATGAGAAAGAAAAGCATAAAGATAACAACTAATATTATAACCAGGAGGTATTCTAGATTTTTTAATGATATTTATAAATCCCTAATTAAGCATCTTAGTTTGATTAGGGATTTGTTCAAAATATAGGTTTAATTTTAAATTTTAATATTTTAGTTGGATTTAAATAAGATGTTTCCTTTTAAAAAGATAACACTTGTTTATTATAAGAAGATGACTTAATTAACTTAATTGATCTGCATGAAATTGGTTTTTTTTTTCCCCGACAAGGCATGAAATTAGTTATTTAATTTTTGTATTCCCGCAGTAAACGATGACAGTTAAGACTTTTATAATGTGATATTATTAAATGTAAACCTGCAATGATTGATAGGAACTATTTAAATCATGAAACTTGATTATACTAAAGAACAGCGAATGAATTGAGATCAAACATGTCATTTTTTCCGTTGGCAGGAGAAAAAGGCTTCGATTAAACAAACATATCAAATATTGCAAGTCCACAAGATGATTAATTATACAGGGAAATTAGTTTTGGAGGGAGTGTTTGCCTAATTCTAGAAGTGCTTTGAAAAGTACTTTTCTGTAAATCAAGATAAATCTCTACATATTTATTTCGTATACTGTAAAAACACTTTTAAAACCATGATTTTGTATCTGCCCAAAAAAAAAGTTGATTAGCTGGAGAATGTAACTAATGGCCAAACGGGCGGGTATTGGAATGAGGAGTCAGATGGTTACATTGCCACCTGCAGGGACAGTATGATGATGATCATCAAATATGCAAATAATTTGTTTTTCGAGTATTATTGTTTATAATTTAATAATATTATTATTTTATCGTTTAATTATAACTCTTTATTTTTTTTTCCCACTTTTCACATTATTCACCCAACGGACAAAGCTCACGTACCCAACGGTATACGAAAGGTCAAATTCTCAATCTCATATTTAGGTAAAATTTAGAAGGGTTGTAGAGTAGATCTGGCAAAAAATCTCTCTTTGGCTACAATGAGGCAAATTACCCACACATAAATTTCTCGTCAGCTAATGATGAGCTACAATTTTAATTTATGTGATGCATTGGCACTTCCTCATCTTTCGATTTTCATGACAGATACTTCCCCGGTCCTTATTATAAGACCAATTTGACTTTTTATTTGGTCCTAATGACAATCCTTTTGTCTCTTATATTTATGCATTTTCATAATCATTCTAATAATGATATTTTAGCCATATACTTAATTAGCAAGGATATTTTAGGAATGACACTTATTATTATAAATAACTTAACTTACTTCAATTTTCCAAATAAGTCAATTGGGTCTTATAATTAGGACCGAGGAGTATTAATTAAATAATGAAGAATTATCAAGAGGTTCCGAGAAAAAAATTTAATTACTAAAAATTTGAATAACAAGTGACAAACTAAAACATGTTGTTATTTTCTATTTTGAAACTCATTATTTCTTGCTCTTCATTTGTTGATGGATTTTAAGATAATTATTTTTTTTATGAAGACCTAATTGTAATTATCCCTAAATAATTATATATGTTGTGCGTAATTCTTGTGATCCGGGAGAATTTGCAATGACAACCTTTGTTTGTAAGAATGCAAAATGAATCATACTATATTGATATAAAAGCTAGCTTAATACTATTTCCGATTCTTAATATAAGATCTTATTTGACTTTTATTTTGATCACAGATATAAAACCCCAATCTACTTTGTCTCACATATTTATGTATTTTTTCTCAAAGTAATCATTCTAACAATGGTAGTTCTAGCCAATATACTTGATTAGTAAGGATATTTTAAGAAAGACAACACCTATCTGTTACAAATAACTAACTTAACTTTTTCCCTTAATCTCCTCAAATTAGCGAACTAGCTCTTATAATTAGGACTGGATGTAGTATTTAATTTGGTTTTAAATATAAAACTTCAATTCATTTTATCTATTTTTTCAAAATAATTTTTATAATAGTTCTACATATTAAAGTTCAATCAAATAACAGTTATAACTAATACACATAATTAACAAGGATATTATAGGAAAGATAACATATATATATTACAAATAAATAACACATATTTATTAAAAAAAAAAACTTAATAAACTCTCTTAATCTATTGAATTAGTCAAATAATTCTACATTAAAGATAGGAAAATAGTATTATTTATAACTCGTAAAACGTATATAGCTTTCAATAATTGTTACAGATGTATTATAATTGTATTATGATGACGTCAAAAAATGGTTTGATCTTTTATACAGTGTTCCTTGATTTAAAATTGTGTGAAAATGAGTTCCTTGAGTTGCGTAACACCCTGCAAAATTGATGAATACCTGCTACCCATGTAATGATTTTAAGTAAAAAATATGTTTATAAAAATAATACAAACTACTTTAGTTCTCAGTATAAGAATTAGATAATTAATTTATAAATACTAAAAAAATTACTTGAGTTAGTTATTTATAGTAAATGAGTATAGTCTTATCTAAAATATTCTTATTAATTATGTGTATTAGAATAAAAAAATTTTAATATGTGTAATTACTATGTGTAAATATAGTTGTAAGAGTTAAACAACTAAAAAAAATTAGTGAAATTAGTTATCTATAACAAATGAGTATTATTTTTATTAAAATATCTTATTAATTACTACATCTGATCCTTAATATAAGATTTTGTTTGACTTTTATTTTGGCCCTAAATATAAGATTCCAATCAATTTTGCCTCTTATACTTATACATTTTTTTTCAAGATATTCCTTTTGACAATAATAATTCTAACCAATACACTTAATTAGTAATAATATTTTAAGAAAGATAATATATATTTATTACAAATAACTAATTTAATTTTTTTTAATCTCTTCAAATTAATCAATTAACTCTTATAAATAAGATTGGAGGTAGTGTATACAATAAAATATAACCTTTTAATATGTGCAAACAGAGCTACAAATTTTTTGGCCAAGCAAGGCGTGACTCTTCACTGCAGATTTCATTCGTGCTCGTTTATTCCTTGTGATCTTTTGCGTTGGGATTGCGAGTATACTGAACCGACCTAGTTGCTTTTCCTGTTGCATACATGGGGATTGTGGGCACTGAGCAGGGAGCGACTTGAAGAGTTTTAAATGAACAGGTATTGAGTTGAAAATTATCGTAAATTAGGGGTTCAAGTAATTAATTTATCCCTAAAAAATGGAGCGCCCGAAACATAGCCCAAATGAACCAAACATACAATGTTGCCAGTTCTTTTTAATAATAATAAAAAAAAAAGAAACCGACCAACGTAAAACCCTAACCTGGAAATGTACTAAAACCCAAACATACTCGTTATTCTAACTGGCGCTGGTTCGCGCGGCTCTGGGATTTGTTGGAGTTGCCTACAGTTTCAGCTTCAACGAGGAAGTTTCGGAGTTTCGGACCTCTCGGCAATTAAAGCAGAGAAGAAGAAAAAGAAAAGGTAAGCAAAACGACGATAGTCCCAAAAGAAAGCTCGAGGAAGTTGAGGTCCAGTATAGCATAGAACCGAAAACGAAGAAGAGTAAGAAGAACAAGAAGTCGAAGATAAGCGCAGGGGAAACCTTAGCCGTCGAAACAAATGACGCCGAGAACGGCGGAGAGGATGAGTCGGTGAGAGATGGGCACGTGGTGGTTACTGGAAAGAATATTAAGGATGAGAAGTATGCGCCCACAAAGACTTTTTGTGCATCGGGGCTTCCAAAGGAAGTCTTGGAGTGCTGCAAAAGTTTTGAAAAGCCGTCTCCTATTCAATCCCGAGCGTGGCCTTTCCTGTTGAATGGTCGTGATTTAATCGGCATTGCGGCTACTGGTTCAGGTATGGGTCTTAGATTTTTGGGTTGGAAGATGAAGACTTAGTTTTGCTTCTGACTTCGCTTCCTGCATTCAGGAAAAACATTGGCATTTGGAATACCGGCTATGATGCATGTTTTGAGCAAGCGCAAGAGTAAAGCGTCAAAGGGTCGGAATCCTCTCTGCCTTGTGCTCTCTCCCACTAGGGAGCTGGCTCAACAAGTACGTATATGTTAATTTACAGGGTGTTATTTGACCTCTCTTCAATCTCTTAGTGCGGAACTGGCACATTTAGTGAGGGTTCCTTCTACAAGGAACCAAATGTGAAAGCAGAGATATAGGAGCCATCCCACTCTATTCCATTCCATTCTTAAAGTACTCCCAAGCAATACCTTAGAATCTTGCTATTAAATGGACCTACAGTTTTCTTTCCTCTTTTAAACTCCTCTCTCTGCAATTTTCCATCAATCTTGCCATTTCACAAGACCTACATTTTCTACGTCCGTGGGTTTGATTCCCTAGAAGAGGGGAAAAACATTTAGCTGATAGTTTCCTTTGATTATTTACAGATTTCAGATGTTATGTGTGATGCTGGGAGGTCTTGTGGTGTGGAATCTGTTTGTTTGTATGGTGGAACCTCCAAAGGGCCGCAAATATCTTCGTTAAAATCTGGCATTGTAAGTTGTTCTGATCTTCCCTCTTCTCTGAATAGTTTGCATGCTGATGACCTTTCTTTATGTGTTTCTTTATTGACATGCTGATGTTGAACCAAATGCAAGGAAGAGAGCCCCCCGGGGGGGGGGGAAGGGAGGATGGAGGTATAGCAAAAAAGAGGTGGGGGAGATGTGGAATTAGGAGGGGGAGGCGAGAAGGGTGAGGATAGACGGATGATAAGCCAAGAGAAGTTTGATAAGAGAATGCGATTGTCTTTTTTTTTTTTTTTTTTTTAATTTCGTATATTTGGTAATCAATTCATGCATATGAAATCTCCATAAATGTTGGTTGTTATGCAAAAATGATTGCATCAATGCTTTTAGGCATCTTGGATGCCACAAGTCATTTGGGATACCAAAATTTCGAACGTAGGCCTCTTGAATGCTAAGAAATGTCTGAGATACTACAATTTGGTCCTATATTCAACTTGTTTTAGTCTGTTTTTGGAAGCTTGTTCCCTACTTTTTAAAACTTGTTCTTTGTATTAATTATGGATTATTGATACCTCTTACAGGACATTGTCATCGGAACTCCTGGTCGTATAAAGGATCTGATTGAAATGGGTGTTTGTTCTTTGAAAGAGGTTTCGTTTGTGGTAAGTACTTCGGATAAATGTTGGTGATCAGTTATCCTTTCTTAAATATTTTGCTGCTAATAAATAAACAAATTGTTCTACCATCTTGAGGCGTGTGCTGGAACTTGGTGGATTTTGGATTTACTTGTCATATACTTTCCCTGTGAACTTTTGGTGGCTCTGGATGCACTCCGTTGATTGGGGTTGGGTCTTCTGATTTTGTATTATGTTTGTAGCTTCATGCATAAATATCTATATAGTGGTATGTATGTTGTCACTCAAATAGATATATGTCTGTGTTCACTTTGTGTAACTCTTTAGTGTCTCTTCTCTGCCCTTCTTTTAATACTATCTTCCAATGGGTTGGGGTTTTTGGGGGCTGATGGGTTCGTGAATTAATATCTTGTTTGTTGATGGAATTAGGCTCTGGCACTCTGCTACTATTGTGGCCTCCCTTTTCATGTTAAATTGATTCTAGTTCTGCATTTAATTGGCTGTGTACCGTCTCATCTTTATAGTGAGAGGAACTAGATGATCTGAAAATATGTTACATGTATTGAGCGTCATGCAAATATAAGAATTCATTTTTCATAGGTGCTTGATGAAGCAGATCGAATGCTTGACATGGGATTTGAGCAAGCAGTTCGCTCAATACTGGGTCAGACTTGTTCTGGTATGAGATATATTATCAATATCAATTACATCCTTTTTTCCCAACGACAACTTACATTATAATACCCTTTTCTGGTTCATCTCTTATATCTTCCTTTTATCTCTTGTTTTTATCCTGTATTGTGTTGAGCTTGTATTCCAGAAAGTCTAGCCATCTTAGATTGGTTCCAACTTTTCTGATCAAGCTTAACACATCAAAATCTATATTATAAGCGCACGTGCGTGTGTATACATATATTTTACAAAACCAGATCCATAATACCCTGCGTGACTATATTTTAAACCATATATACTATTTCTAATGTTAATTTCAAATTTCAAATTTATTTCGATGAAATTTCTCTGAATTCTTTAGTTCTGATCCTCCAGTGAACCTTTTTCATGATTTATTCATTTATCAATTATTGATTTTCTTTTACAATAATCTTACAGTTTTTTAACTTCTCTAACAAAAAGATTGTGATCTGCTGCAGTTCGTCAAATGGTTATGTTCAGTGCTACATGGCCTCTACCAGTCCATCAATTAGCTCAAGAGTTTATGGATCCTAATCCTGTGAAAGTCTGTATCCTTATTTTCAGTGGCCTTTAACCTTTCGTTTTTTTATAGATATTTGAAGTTAGTGAAACTTGCGACAGGTTGTTGTAGGATCAGAGGACTTAGCTGCCAATCATGATGTCATGCAAATAGTCGAGGTGAAAATTACTTCAAATCTCTTGCTTCCTCGGTTTTCTTTGTACATTTAATATATAACTAATCATGTATATATACCTTTAAACTTAAGTAGGTCTTGGATGATCGTTCACGAGATAAACGCCTGGTTGCTTTGCTTGAAAAGTACCACAAATCTCAGAGGTATTTACTTTAACTATTTTTTCATGTTGAAAAAATGCCCGTTGCTGTTACTTTCACTTATATTGAAGGTAATAAATTTCAAATGAGCAAGCAGAGAATTAATGAAATTATGAGAAGCATAAACATACTTTGAACTGAGAGTTAAATGGTGATAACTTAACTACTGAAGAATTTTTGGATTTAGAATGCCAAGAACGTCGTACAAAACTGAGATGGACGAGAACTATGATCAGCTGAGAAAGCAATTTATACAGAGACAAATAGGAATAATCGACATTTAAAATATCACAACCAGAAAATAACAAGTAAGCAATGCAATGCAGTTTAATAATGCGGTGAAGTGCGGGACTTCAGAGGAGGATTGGGTTATAACTTGTAGAAAGAACTGAGATATTTATGAAGGTTTCGCTTCAAAGCAGGACCTTTGATATTTCCGCTGTTAAAAAATTCAGAATACAAGATAACATCCTTAGCAACTGATTACTAGCCTTCCCAAAGCGTTTAGAAGCACTTGCTGTATGATTATAATCCTGTAGCATGAAACGATAATGACATTTCAAAACACTATTTGTCCTTTTCATGCTGGTTCTGCCTTATGTTTCTTACAGTTTGTACATTTTATCAGGAATAGAGTATTGGTTTTTGTCTTGTACAAATTGGAAGCCACACGAGTTGAAAAGATGCTTCATCAAGGGTGAATCTCTATCATTGCTTTCCCTTCTCTCTCTTTTTTCCCCTCCAAAAAAAAAAAGAAAAAATTTTTTAAGGCAGGAGGTAAGCTGTTGTGGAAGGCAATTATAGAAGGTGCTCATGTTCAATTAATGACATCCCAGGGGTTGGAAGGTTGTCTCAATACATGGGGACAAGGCACAATATGAACGCACAAAGGCACTGTCGTTATTCAAGAATGGAAGCTGTCCTTTGATGGTATGCTGCTGCATATCATTTTTTATTTTACCACTTCATTTACACAAGTTTGATCAGACGTAGTTTCTGAACCCAAACTATAGTTATATGTTTCTCTTTTTGGTACTTTTCTTCAATTGATTAACCTAGAATGTAGGTTGCTTTTTCTTCTCATCACTAATTATTAACTTTAACCTGTTCTCTGTAATTTCTATTCACATAAATTGATTTTTTTCTCTAAGTTTTTCTGCCCCTTGCAAGTCTCTAGCAGAATTCATGATTTGTGTCCATAGTTTTTCTAGGGGATGAAGTTTGTGATCAATATCTCTTCAGAACTTTCTCTGGATCCATTAAATCAGAAATGGTCACTCAAGACTTATCCATTGCATTAATTGGACATTTATTTGATGTCATAATTTGATGGGCAGATTGCCACTGATGTGGCTGCACGGGGATTGGATATTCCGGATGTTGAAGTTGTGATCAATTACAGTTTTCCTCTAACTACAGAAGATTATGTTCATAGAATTGGGAGGACAGGACGAGCTGGGAAGAAAGGCGTTTCCCATACGTTTTTTACTCAGCAGAATAAGGTAGGATTTCTTCTAGATGTTTGATTTTTCTTATTCTTCCCCTTCATTGGTTATTGCTATCATATAATTTGCATTTTTCCCTTTCTGAAATTATGCTTTTGATCTAAAGCTTTTGGTGGTAATATGTCAGGGACTTGCTGGGGAGCTAGTGAATGTTTTAAGAGAAGCAAATCAAATTGTGCCTGATGCCTTGTTGAAGTTTGGCACGCATGTAAAGAAAAAGGTGAGTTTTCTTAGGGAAATGATAGCTAATGATCAATAATATTAATATATATTGATGATAGCCGAGGGTTTTCAAACTTCAAATTCTTTGCAAGGACTACAAAAGTAAGTTATCATTGATGTTTTGTAAAGTTATTATTTATATCCTCTAGATTTTTTTGATGTTTATACAAGGAAGGATGCTTTAAACCTCGAGTTTTTAGTGTTAATTAATACATTTTGTGGATTGTCAGCTATCATCCCCCCCCCCCCCCGGGGCTTCACTCATGTCTTTTTCGTCCTCATAATTCCCGTTGGTTTTTCGTTGTGTTGATTGTAAACATACCTGTATGCCAGGAGTCCAAACTGTACGGAGCTCATTTCAAGGAGATTACTGCCGATGCTCCCAAGTCAAAGAAGATAACATTTGACGACTCTGACGAAGACTAAATGTGCTGGCAATTTCTTTTCCTTTTTTTTTTGTTAGGTAAATTCAATTATTGATTCTTGCAAAAGCAAAGAAGAAAACATGTACTCATAGATCATAGTTTTGCACGCCTAATATTATTACCATTTATATATGTTTTACTCAGTTCTTTTTTTTTTTAAGAACAGGTTTTATCCATGTAATTTGTCATTTTCACTTCATTCCTTTGCTAAGGCGCTATGCAATCAGTGTAAGCCTCAAAATTTACCCATGTAGCATTCCTTTATGTAACAACATTGTTGTGTTTTCATTGTGACAACCTTATGATACTCAACGCATATGTATCAGTTCTCTAAATGGGTTCAAATTCAAGAATTTGCATAAGAATTGCCTGCCACTAGGTATGAGAGCAATCTTAGTCCAATAATTTATCTTATTTGATAGAAATAAAATGATGCTGATATGAGAAGGCTGGAGCCACTTGTCTCGTGATAATGTAATTAATTGTGGATCCAAGTGCACTGGCGTGAAGCCTAACCAGGATTCCCGGGGTTGGAGGGATGACAGAAGAACCGGACCGGACTGCTGACAACCACTCAAGCACTCGTATTTCTATCGGCCCAGCCATTGAGATGGCACCACGTGGCTTCCAAGAAACTGAAATACTGTAAACCAAATTGACCATGTATAACAACTAATAATGCAGTCTTAAATATAATACTTTATATTACTTTCTGTTTTTAATATAAGATCTTATTTGATTTTTATTTTGATTCTAAATATAAGATTTTAATTCACTTTGTCTCTAATATTTATATTTTTTTTTCAAGATAGTCATTCTAGCAATGATAATTGTGGCCAATAAACTTGATTAGCATGGATCTTTTAGGAAAAACATTTATTTATTACAAATAACTAATTTAATTTTTTTTCTCTTAATTTTCTCAAATTAGTCAACTAGCTCTTATAATTAGGACTGGAGGTAGTAATATAATTTATGTTACAAGATAAGTTATATTATTGGATGTGACGGCTTTAAATCCAAGAAATAGTCTCTAAATTGGCGGTGCTAAGACATAATGAGAGGAAAGGGTCGGGCCAAAATTCCAAAAAAAGAGAGGAAGGAGGGACCAAAGCAAATTAAAAACAAATAAATTTGCTTTGGACGATATTGGGCCAGTGATCAAGTTGAGAGCTGGCTCGGATAGTGATAAGTAATTAACGCTAGGCGTCACCTGTATTGAAATGGAATGCAACCCGTTTCTTTAAATATCGTGGATCACCCAGCTTGAATGAGTGAATGAATGGAAGAGGGCAGCTATGATGCTTATTTATTATACATATGACCTTTGAAACCAGCTGGTGAGTCTGTTCCAAACATCAAACTTTACGCCCAACCCAACTATCAATATGGAATCAACAGCACTATCAGTATTGAATCTAATAAAAGAAGTTAATTCTTCTACGAAACAATGATCAAATCTCATTTAAAAAGGTGTCTACGTTTAGTATCCGATAGTATTTCAAATAAAATTGATTTCAATAAAAAGATATACTCCTCCGGTCCTAATTATAAGACCCAATTGACTTATTTGAGGAGATTAAGGAAGTAAGTTAAGTTGGTTATTTATAATAATAAGTGTTGTCATTCCTAAAATATCCTTGCTAATTAAGTATATTGGTTAAAACTATCATTATTAGAAGGATTATCTTGGAAAAAAATGCATAAATATAAGAGACAAAATGGATTGGGTCTTATAATTAGGACCAAATAAAAATTCAAATTGGGTCTTATAATTAGGACCGGAGGAGTATGTATTTAGCAACAAAAAAAAAAAGGAAAAAAAAACCCGAACATGTTCTCACGGATTATGAAAACACTTGCATATCCAACCAACAAGGACAACTGCATAGATGCCAATGCACAAGGATTTACTAGACAGAGAACTTCACATGAGATGTGAACACAATTCTAAACTAGAACAATACACATATGTTTGTGCGCTCGCGCGCGTGTTGTGTGTACATACATATCCAGGCTGCAGCCTCGGAGGTTCAGTCTGAGAAATGCCGCGTGAATTCCACTCCCTGCCAAGGAGCGTGAAAGGTTGCGTAATGCCTGCTTGCTTTGCGTCATGGTCGGTGGGTTTCTCTAATCAGGGGGCTCCGACTCCGCCCGTCTTTCTCCCTTGTCCTTTACTTCTCCAATCCTATCCCCGACATCTCACAAGTTGACATGCAATATGAAACATACCAACATTTACAAAACTAAATGCACAATTATACAAAAATAATTACTTTTTTATCCCTCATAACTCACACGCCCATGATACCCATAAAGAGTCCAACTTGCATACTCGAAACTTAAAAAGAGGATTCTATTGTCATTATACCACGAGGTCCTCATAAATAGTTACTCTTAGGTTTCACATAAGTGGATACTGGATAACGCAGATATGGAGCAACTTGTCACAAAATAATGTGTCTGTGGATTCCGAAACATTTTGGAGCATACATATACCATCAAATTATATAATATATTGAGCTCATAGGAACACCTTCACACTGTCTTTTAAATGTTATTTTTATTTTTAAGATCAATTATTAACTGTACATTCTTCCCCCATTCAATGCCGCTGTCCGTGATTTTTTTATAAACAAAAATCTTCCATGCATTGCCCTCCCCTTCGTGCTTTTCTTGTCATTTAGAGCGTTTTAATATTCGTTGACAGGCACTATCGTCTTACAGCACGCATATAAGACACATAAATCTCACTCAGCAAGCCTAACTCCTTACGCCAATTCCAGTAAACAAACCATCTCGGTCTTCCCCGCCTCGCCCTCTCTTTCTCTCTCTCTCTCTCTGGGTTTCAGAGAAGCCAAAAACTAATCTTCAGGGTAACAGCAAAAGGATCAAAAAGACGACCGCTTTTTTTGTGGGTATTGGATTTTGAGTTCGAAACAATGGTGGGTATATTCTCAAGGTTCTCTATCGGAAGAAGTGTTCATCGACGCACGCAAAGCGCCCTCGTAAGAATTTCTCTCCCTCTCCATGTTTTCCTGATTCCATGAGTAGTTTATGTGTCATTCAGCAACGTAGTAAGCTTTCTTTTGGCTATTCTAGTTCGTTGAACGAATTCTCAACAGTTTACTGTTTAACCCCTGCTTGACTTTGTGTCAGTAGAATTTACAGCGTATGAAGAGTGTTTAATGCCACAGAATACAATATTATTATGCCCCTGCTTTGCAAATGGATGAGTTTTAGCCACAGCAGTTCTGTTCTGATCGTTTGACTCGTTTACTGGGTCCAAACTTGTTTATGATGCTTTTTGCGGACACTCTTCAATGATTTTTATGGAAGTAGTGATTATTGTTATCTATAAATTCATCTCCTCGTTTGTGTACACTAGATATACCTTTATGTTATTTTAGACATTTGAATTTAGTTACAAACCTTTAGCTTTATGGTTTTTACTGTGCAGGATCAGAGGGAAATGTTACCTCCAATTTCAGAGGTTGCCATTTCAACAGGTTCCGTCACTGCAGCCTCTCATGGGATTGAAGGAGCGGTAGAGTTCAAGCCTGTTGAACACCCAGTTGAACCTTTTGACAATGATAGACCAATTCATTGCCCATTGCCAGAACCTTCAATTCTTCATGTAAGATGAATATCCTTATTTGTTTTGTTTACGGTGTTCTTTTCTTAAAAGAAGCACAGATTCGACCTCCCTTGTGTGTTACCTACCTAAATTATTAAGTGAAATCCCACAACTAAGTTGTTGAAATACTGTTACTGTATTACATAGACTTGATCTAGAGAAGATAAAGTGGCTAATCTGAATCTGGAGCTGGACCACGAGCTCCATCTCTGGGATGTTCCTGTTCCTTCATTTAGTCTTATTACATGTTTGATGCTGATGTTCTTGGGATGCCTGGAGCGTAACATTTCGATTCAAACCTTTTAAATCGTAATACCTTCGAAGACACACAGACCCTGTGCGCAATCATCGTCCTTTGTGTCATTATTTCTCTAAATCCACAACTACATGACTGATCTAATTTGGTAACGCTATAGTTTTCTGTTGTCTATGTGCCTAGGACCCCTCCATTTAACAAAAATGCATTGTTGAATGAAACCGGATCTTGAAGTCTATTATAACCCATTCAAGAATCTATCTACTTTTTATTGAAACCTCTGACACTATTTGAGGCAGAACTGTTAGATTTCACCATTTAGAATTTTAAAATCTAGATGCTCATTGAACAGGATGGAAGAATATGGAAAGAGAGAGCATCAGCAACGTCCATGAGGAGAAGAGCTGACTTGCCAGTTATGAAGGAGGGGGTAACCCTAGAATCTGATATTGCAGGGACAAAGTTACGGACATCCCAACCAAAACGAATGATTCTACCATCTATGAGTGCCCCTGAACATGACATTCTAAAACTTCTTGAAGAGTGTGATGCTTCAGGGATCTAGCCTGGTACTATTTCTGTTATGACCTGTTTTGAAGTTCAGCCAAGATGAATACCCGTAGAGAAACATGGAGCTCTGAGGGCCATGATCAGAACTTTTTACTTGCAAGTATTGTAAATAGGATTGATCCAACTTCTATTTGCACTTCTTGCAGTATCTATATTCTTGATGCATAAAACAAAGTCTAGTGACTCTAATCAAGATTTAAATTTATCAAATGTTTTGAGCCATCATGCATGTTAGTTGTACATCAGTTGTACCTGTCACTGAGGTAATAAGAAAACCCTTCTGTGTCAGAATAAGAGGAATGAAGATATGCTGTGTTAAACATCATATTATTGTCTATATTCAAGCAGCACTTGTTCATTCTTCCCCTTATTCCCAAGTAGAGCCTTTGAAGAGCACTAAATTCTGGGTTTTTTGCTGAAAATCTATTTCATCAAGTGGCGATAGTCTTCTTACTGTAATTGTGGATTCTGAAAGAACAGTTTCTCTTACGTTTCAATGGAATAAACACGGACACAAATCATGATATCGAATTCGGATCACACAGCTTCTCCTGGGATTTGTTTGTGTTATTCAGTTCGCTCTAGGACCAAAAAAGAACCAAATGATCTGATGAAAATTTGGATCCTCTCAGAAATTCATGGTGTGAATTTCTACAAGAGAGAAAATGAAATTGATCTGTGACGGACAGTTTAAAATCCGATTTAAAAAAAAAAAAAAAAAGAGTCTAATGATTAAGTGATAAATTTCTCTGAAACGCACTAGAGTTGTTCATCGGCGGGGTTATTTGAAAGGGTAAATTTTTAGCTACATACTGTCATACTGATAATAAGGAGCCAAGTTTCTTCAGACAAATGAACAAGAAAAAGAACAAACAACATCAGACTACACAGGAAATCCACGAGCCTGAAATGGGCGATCAACCGTTGGATTCACAAGGTGATCCCTCGGCCCACGTAAGCTTCCATGGTTCATCCATGGCTTCTTTTGCCATCTCTGATGCAATTTCCGAGCATCATCTCTTTCTGCAACCACCGCCCTGTGCCTTGATTCAACTGCTACCAACGAACCCAACACAAAGAGGACAAGCATGAAGGATACCAGCGAGGCCCTCACCATACTGCTCTTGAATTTGTTGCCTTTTCTTTTCCTTTTGCTCCTCTGATCTTGTGGATGCAGTTGGAGATATGGAAGAGAAAAGAGGTTAATATAGAGCTTTCAAGGAGACAACTTAGCTTTTGTTTTTAGGCTGCATCTTCAGTCATTTATATTGCTCTTTACTTTGGATAAAATAAAACCATAGAGGGAAAGAATTTACTGTTTATGCTCGCCACTTTTTCATGAGCTGCGTAAAATCACTGTTTATTTTCTGGTTGTAGCTTTCTCTGCTTAGATATTTCTTTTCATATTCTTGTTCTGTCGTCGTGATTTTTACTATGCACAGAAAGAAATACAAGTACAGAGGAGAATTTGACGTTTCTCGTATTATATTGAGACTTTAGAGAAACAACCTTTTGCACAAACTCCCGCCCGAAAAGTTTGGCTTTGGAAAACTTTTTACATATCGACATATGTAATATTAGTATTTGGTCCCAGTGTAAGCCCTTCAGGATATAATGTTGGGAGCCTGAATTCAATTGCTGGTGTATGTAAAATGAAGCAGAAGAAGAATATCATTCCAACTTTAACCTCTCTCTCTTTCTCTCTTTGTACCATAACCTTCTATATTTCAGGAAAATATTTTTTTCCCCCATAAAAATATGATAATTTGTGAATAGGATACTTTATACTACCTCCGGTCTTTAATATAAGAGCTAATTGACTAATTTAAGTAGATTAAGAAAATTAGTTAAGCTAGTTATTTGTTATAAATATGTGTTGTCTTTCCTAAAATATTTTTACTAATCAAGTGTATTAGCTAGAACTGTCATTATTACAAGAACTATCTTAAGAAAAAAAAAATATGAGAGATAAAATATATTGAGCTCTTATATTTAGAATCAAAATAAAAGCTAAACAAATTCTTAGAACCGGAGGTACTATATATAAGAAACAATTAATTGCACAAAAGGGCCTGTATTGAAGTCTGAGTAGACATTGGTTAGACGAGGTTGGTTTTTTTCCGTGGATTGTGAATTGCAGCAATAAATACATTGTACAAGTAGTAGTAAAGAAGCGAAACAGAGGAATTAGATTTTATCTGACATATAATCTTTTTGTTTTTATTTATTTTATACTTTTTATCTCTCTCGTGTTCATGACTTATAAATCCCTACATATTTTACTAATTATATTGATTGATGATATATTAGTTTACTAATGCTTCAGCAGGTTAAATTATCTATGATCATGATTTTCTTTTTAAAGGAGAAAGTTCACCCCTTTTTTCACTGTAAATAAAATTTTTTATAAAACCGTAAATACTCTTTTTTTTTGGGCCCCATTAAAATACTATCAGTCCATTCCTTGAATTTCAATATTTCATACAACGTCGCGGTCCAAATGAAGAAGATAAGTGCCGAGTATTGGGCCATGGTGGGCTTCTACGGCCCAAAAGAGGGGGTGAAGCCCAAGTAAGAATCCAAATAAAGCTGGCAAACGAGCCCGAAACATTATATGCGTTTCTTTGAGTTCAAGGAAGTAGAAACCATAGAAATTGGGAAGACTGAGAACGGAATTGTTCGGTAATAAAATTCATATAAAGACGAAGCAAAGAAGTTTTAGAGTTCTTCCCTTGCATTTCTGAATCGTCATGGCTGCTCTTCAATACTTGGAATCGCTGCGCGATACGCACCCGGAGCTCTCGGATTGGTCCAATTTGCTTGCGGATCTGTACGAGAAGAAGCTCTGGCACCAGCTCACTCTGAAGCTCGAGCAGTTCGTTGGACTTGCTGTTTTCCAGGTCCGTTCCCACTCCTGTTACTTGTTTCTATACTCCGAGGCAATTGCTGCGTAAGTTTACTGTGTGTTTTTTAATGAGGATTAGGGCTTTTTTGATTCCGGTGGTATGATATTATATTTATGAGCACGAACTTGAAATTGGTTCGGAGAATGAAGTTAAGGCTTTGCATCAATGTAGCTTTTGATTTGCGAAATCTTTATTGGTAATGTGTTTTGTTTCCTTTCCTCTTTTACTGGTATAGTCAACATCTAGGGTCCATAAATATTGGAAAAGAGGTGTATCATAAATTTGCTTTGAAAATTGAAATCCCTCTTGCTTGGAATTTTGAAAATTAGGCTCTTAAAACGCATGGATGGACATGTGGTTTGAACGTTATTTTAATTTTATTTGACTCTACTTGCGATTAATCAAGCTCTATAGAGGACAGCCTTGTTTTTCCAATCTTCAGAAAAGGTGAATAGAATGTTTCTTAGAAATACATCCGTTGAACTCAACTCTACTTCTTAATTGAAAAGTTTGCATGGAAGCTTGTACCTTTGACGGCAATTTTTATGGTTATTGTGGTTCTGTTCTGTAAAATAGCTTCAATAAAAATTGCTCCTCCCTAATTTTATTCTGCAGTACTGGTGTATGTGATTGATAAGTCAACTACCATTAATGTCAGAACTCAATGAATGAAACGGCAGCTCTTATCAAGCCAATATAATTTTTTAAGATGATTCAGCTATCATTATAACTTTGATTGTTGCTCCTTGTTCTTCTGATTGCCTTTTATCTGAGTGGAAGACGAATTATATTTACCCTACTAATGAAACTGGTAAAAGCTGTAATTTGAGCACAATTCAATTTATATCATGCACTGCGTGAGATAAGGAGTGTGGCTTCTTCCTTTGCTAGATAGTCTTGCTATGAGTAAGGGATATTTACTGCAAATTATTATGCAGTTCTTTTCATCACGTTCTTGAATGGCTATTGACTGAAAGCCACAAGAATTTTCCAGATTTGTCTGCCAAAAATAATGTTATGATAGTTAGAGCATTTAAGTAAAGTAATGGGAAGTTCCCTCTGGAAAATCTTTATTGTTTGCTAAACCTATGCCATAGTAACTTAGAATACATTTGATTGCTGGAAGAATCATGAGACCAAAACATTCCGTCATCAAGGTACGTTGACTGAAGTAACAAGAACCCGCTCGTGACAAAACTTGTGGAGATCATAATACGAACTTTATGATTTATTCAACGTCACTTGTTGATTTGCCAATTCTAGTTCTTTTACTTAAATGCATGCATTATATTTTATATCCTGAGCAATTTTTTCCCCCTCTTGTAATACCATTTTTATCAACTAACTATTGGTATCATAAAATCTTTAGCTTGTTTTACACATTATAATAATTCATAATGCATTTGTTTGACAAACTAGTCTTATTGAATTTCAGGCCGATGATGCTTTGATACAGTTATATCATAATTTCATCACAGACTTTGAGACTAAGATCAATCTTCTCAAGCTTGCTCATTTTGCTGTGATAGTTTCTCGTCAGTACTCTGAAAAAGAAGCTGCCATTGGTTTTCTTGAAGGAGTCATTGAGAAGCTTCAAGCTACTAAAGAGAAGCGGATAGAAGAACCAATTGTCTACATTAAGATGCAAATAGCCTTGTTTAAGCTTGAACAAGGTGACCAAAAGGAATGCAAAAGACTTCTAGATGATGGAAAGAGCACAGTTGACAGTATGACAGATATTGATCCATCTGTTTATGCAAGCTATTACTGGGTATCATCTCAGTATCATAAATTTTGCCAGGAATTTGCTGAGTTCTACAAAAGTGCTCTTCTCTATCTGGCATACACATCAGTGGAGTCTCTCTCAGATTCATTCAAGCTGGTATGTCATCTGACATGTCTCCACTGTTTAACTTTGTTCAATTTCTTAACTCTTGTACGCCCACCTCAGTATACTGCTTGACTTGAGTTACTATAGTTTTGGGTTCAATAGGAGATTGGAAGAGTGTGTGATAGTAGTTTCTTGATGTTGTCACTGTACATTCTACTATTAATTAATTCACACTTTCTAACTTGTCTTCCTCATAATTATATGGTAAACTCCTAACATCTTAATATAATTAATCAAGACACTCTTTATGCTCATTCTCCACGTAAAATAGTTTGGAGTAGTGTAGAGGAAAGGTGATATTCCTCACATTTCATAAATTTTAAGATGAATTTATTCCGTGTTATATAAATTGATCGAGTGTACGGGCACTATTCTAAACTGTAATAGGAGGTGGAAGCATAGGTCATGATGCTTCTATCCCTAGAGTTGAAAGGTTTATGCTTTTGCTTTTGAATATATTAAACTGAATTCTGTCCATGTTTTATAATTTTATTGGGTGTTCTAGTTTTTTTTTCCCCCACACTTAAGAAAAGTTTGAGCCTTTGAGGCAAAGTTCATGGTGGTTTGACTCGTCCATTGTTTGTTTTCTTTTTATTTTTGATATTAAGCTCTTTTTTTTTCTTTTTAAGGATTTGGCATTTGATTTGTCCCTTTCTGCTCTGTTGGGAGATAACATTTACAACTTTGGAGAGCTACTTGCACATCCTATAGTAAGTACTGTCTAAAACTTTTTCTTTTTTGGAATGATGTTTGGGATATTCTTTTGGTTACTAAGTTGGTTAACGGCATCTTATATATCGCCTACAGATTAAGAGTCTTTTGGGGACAACGGTGGAATGGCTTTACTATATTCTTCAGGCATTCAATTCCGGGGATTTGGTTAGATATCAAGAACTTTGCGGGGTGCATAACACTGCTCTACGGGCTCAACCAGCACTGGTTCAGAATCAGAAGAGGTTGTTGGAAAAAATCAACATTCTCTGCTTAATGGAGATTATATTCAGGTGTATAAGCGTTGTCATTTGTGGAATGAATTTGATTTATAGAGCGTTTATTTTATTCCTGAAGCAAACTGATTGTGATTACTTGCAGTCGACCTGCTGAAGCTCGGACAATTCCTTTGAGTGCCATTGCGGAGCGTACAAGACTTTCTATAGAGGATGTGGAGCATCTCCTCATGAAGAGCCTTTCAGTAAGTCTTATTCAGAACTCTTGTAGATAGCATCATACACAAGTGGAAGCACTTTTTAGCACATACGAGCAATTGGCAACTTCCATTAACTTCCCTACATTATCTACTTGTTTCAAAGATTTTTCGGTTGGTCCATGCATTCCTCAAAGAAAGCAATTTGACATCTTTTTAATGTTTTGATTTAATTTCTGTAACTGGGTGTACTATCCTTTTGATTTCTGCAACATGCTATTTAGGGGGGCACCCATTTGCTTCTGGCGGTTGCTCTGTCATTCATTGTTTTCTTGGGGAAAAAAGGAGGGGCTTGTTTGTGTGTAAAGCTTGTTTATTCGTTATAATACTGAGAATTTTTTGCAGGTTCATTTAATTGAGGGTATAATTGATCAAGTTGAGGGTACGGTGCATGTTTCTTGGGTGCAGCCAAGGGTCCTGGGGATCCCACAGATCAAATCTTTAAGGGAGCGGCTGAACAGTTGGACGGATAAAGTGCACTTTGCATTGTCATCCATCGAAGCAGAAACACCTGATCTTATCGGATCATGAGTTTTTATAAACAGGTTTTTTCTGCTTATTGTAAGTTTGTAACAATTTCTTATGGGAACGTAAATGAAAGCGGCCACGGAAGATGAGAAAACTTCCCGAGTCAGGTGTGCAATAGAGCCAACTTAAATGTTCTCTGCTTGGTGTTGACTGCTGCTCTTGAATCACCAACTGGAAGGGCGGCCTCTTGTAGGCTCGACAATTCTTGGTTCTGTGGTTGCATGCCTAGAGGCATTCACGAATTGAAAAATAGGCTCTTTACATGCTTTATTGATTATAAACTGTGTATCTGTTTTTTTTTTTTTGAATATATACACTCAAAATAAAGGTCTAGGATTCAAACCTTAAAATTTGGGCAAAAAAAAAAACTTTAAAAATGAAAAAGAAATATGATGTGAGGAAAATCATCTTTAATTGAGTATGATAAATTTAGTAGTTCGTTAGTATCAGATAATTATATTTAAAAAAAACCCTAAAAGCGTAGACAGGCCATCAATATATAGTTTGAAGCATGAGAAATATGTGTTGAGTTTCCTAAATTTGCATAAAATGTCAATTTAGTTTTTTAATTTTGGAAAGCATATTTTTAATTTCTTGTTTAACAAAAATATACTAACTCAAATAGTATTTAAACTTGTTTAATTAGCATTTTCCGTTAAAATGATGTTAAAACTAAGAGACTAAAAATACATTTTATAAATTTAACTAAACCAAAATTTTGATATAAACTTAGATGATGATAGAGATTTTCTCCTTCCATTTCTCAATTATATTTTTAAATTTTTCACGCCCACAATCTTGAGTGGGTACGGCCTAATGGGACGGAAGGGACTGTTCGGGTGACAAGCTGTTCAAGATTCCAAAGAAACTTAACGTAGAAAACAATGTTCATTTATTTTCGAACTTTCCCAGGGAGCAATCGACTGATTCATAGTACATCACATGCACACCTTCGAGCAACCCCACCATCCTCCCAACCTCTATTATCATGCCATTTTCTGAAGATTTGATTGTCGCATTGATTTGAAGCTTTTCGGGTTCAATATACCGTCCCGATGAAAGTTCTCGATCTTAGAATCTGATTAACTAGAATAAAATCGGGTATAATTTTAATTATGCATAATTTGGTTTTCCACTGTACCGATTTCAATGGTGCATCATTTGTACACGCGCCTACGAATAAGGCTTATGATGCTACGCAAAGGCCGAATCAATCATATGGGACTAAAATGTAGTTATTATTGTTGGCCTCTGATTTTTCCCTTTATTTGCTTCAATTTAGGGGTGGGAAAGAGGGAAGGTCACAACTGGCCAACACAAGCTGTTCTAACTTTATTATGGTCTTTTGGCATGGTGAGCTGCAGCATGCACACGCACCTATTATCCACAAAAAACCATTACGCTTCCAACATCAAATAAATAATACAGAGAACTATTCCTCAAATCCCCATCCCCCCTTTCCTAATAGAAGGCACTAGGTTTGTCTCATATAGGGAGAGGAGCTTATGTCTGTACTGTAAAATGAATCCTCCGGTGGACCATAGTAATTCTCTTCCTTTTCCTCATCCCACTTGAGAACCTCCCTGATAAACTTGAATGCCTCGTCAATGGTAACCCGGTCCCTTGCCCGGGTTTGCCAGACGAAAAGTTTTCGGCTTGTGAGGGAAGCATAGAGATCCTTGAATTTCATGGCAACATAGAAGTAGGCTTGATGGGCTAGTGACTGATTGCTGTCGTGAGCACGGACAGGACAGAAATCACTGAACCATTCACAAGCACTTAGACTCACCCTACTTTGTTTTTCCTCAAAAATATCATACTTGTTCAGAATCAATACAAACGGGGTATCTCTAAAACAAGGGTGTTTGACCATGGTCTCAAATAACTCCCTACTTTGTATCATCTTGTTCTGAATAAGTGTTCCACTGCCACTGCCGTCTGGGGCAATGCACAACTGGTCATAGTCACTAAGGGCGACACAAAAGACCACGGCTCGAACATCTTCAAACATTTCAACCCACTTGCAACCCTCAGTCATCCCCTTGGCATTCACCCTTATAAGCTGGTACCTGGGACAGCAAAGAAAATTATCCAGAATTTTATTCGCAAAAGATTTTTGATGCGCTGCATTTTATGAACACAATGGCAGGCAATAGTGAAAGATCCAACATCACCAAGGATGTGCTAACTTGAAGATCTTTTAGCCAAACTATGGAAGACTTAGAGAAGATGCCTGAAAAATACACAGAATAGCCATAAAACTTACTTGGTCAGAGGTGGGGCCTGGGATTCCAGATTATCAGTGTAAGTTTGAGACATTGGACTTCGATCATCAAGTGAGAATTCTATGAAAGCCAATCCATTTCCACGAGTAACCCCTTCTGCATATAATATGTCTCTCTCAGAAGGTTCATATTCATTGCTAGATATCTCAACAGCCTGAAAGATACAAAGCAAATCATCTAGCTAATCAGATAAAAAAAAATCCATTTGTTCGGGACTATTCAAGGAAGAAGGGGAATGATAAAATTGTAGCATGCTTCTTAAGTCTCAGATCTGCAAGGTAAAGCATAAAAAGTTTTTTGGTAGAGGCGCCAAGAAAATAATTATCGTAACTATTAATGTCATATTTATCAGAGTGAATGATGGGCACAATAAAAAATTCAAATAAAAAACTGTGATTGAGTTCTGTACATCTGGCTTCTAGTAAAATAATAATAATAAAAGTTCTTCACTTCTGGAGGTGAGAAGAAAGCGGTTGTGGCTGCGAGTGGAAGAAATGTAGAAGGAAATAGAAAATGAAGTAGGCCAGACAACTTTATGTACAACTGAGAAAAGTGAAACGGTTTCAAAAGTGAGGAATAACCCGGTTTAAGAAGTACTCAGCAACATCTGGAAGGAAGTGAAGTTCATCTTTTCTTTTATAGGTTTCTTGTATAGCTGGATCCTTCCACACTTCGTCAACCAAGGGTGCATACTCCCGTGTGGCTGCAGGGAAGAATGCATCTAAATCCCCAGTGGCTATGATATCCAGGAGCCAGTCAGAAAAATGCTTCAGCCTTGGGTTGAGGGAATATATGCATTGACTAGTTTCAGCTGCTTCATTGTCCCTACCTGAATGAATATTGAAATCAGATAACTCGCCACAAGTATTCAGATGCTATCTTACTGTGAAAATTGAACAGACTATAATCAGACGGATTAACAACAAAAAATACAGGCATACCGACCATATCAAGTACAAAGTTTGTAAACAGATCTTGTCTCAATAGTAGAAATTCAAACATGGAAAAAACACAATCATAGACCATAAAGCCAAAAATAATAACAAAATAAAATAAAAGATCTGCTACAAGTTGCCTAAGCAGTTGATACAAGAACAAGAAAATTGAAGAATACATACCACTGCACGAAATATTACCTGGTTTCATAGTTTGGCCAGAAGAAGCTACAGCTTCCTCCTCAAAGCGCTCCCTTCCATCTAGTAATATGCTAAGATATTTGTACATGTTACTTTGGATCATCAGCTTGACATCTTCTAGTTCTTCCACAGTAAATCTGTTCCCGTACAAAAATTTGGCCTGCTCTTCAATTGCAAAAGTGAATGTCACAGAAAGGGGGCAAAAAAGCACTCAAAGTAATAAAACATACTTGTTAGTTGTTATCACTACTTTAATATCAGGTCTCCTAAGTCCTTATGGATTTGCCTATAATTTGTAATTATTAAGACATGAGGATAGGACGGCAAGAAGGATTATACCTGCTTAAAGATGGTGCTAGTACCAGATCCTTGAAGTCCAATAAGAAAAAGCTTATGGACTTTTTTCGGTTCTAGATAAGTTGGAACTGTAGTATAATTACTCGTCTCGTATCTTGGTCCATGAGGTTGTCCGTGGGGAAAAGGCAAAGAGAACAGGGTACAAACAAATCTTGTTGATGCCTGTCTAGGAAAAAGCAAAATACCAGTTTCATTAATATTCCAGACCCCTAGTTCAGAATTTTTCAGAAAGAAATATTCCAGTAAATACCCTTTCCCAGATGTTTCCTCTAATATTGTTTTGACCTTCCTCTTCGTAACGACCATCATCATAAACCCAAAAGTGTGTATCACGCGGACACTGCACGTTCGCCAGCTGAACATTCAAAGAACAAGGTTAATGGTGCAGATTTCAATAAAAACTAACATGTAGGAAGTCTTTTTATCAAGAGGCCATCACGTAACAACCGTGGGCTGGTTGGAGAAGTTTTAACATCTTGGAAAGCCGATGGCAGATTATGAAGTCTGGATCAATCAAGCCAAGCAAAATCTGTTGGGTACAGAAGTATCCACATTTACATCTACATCCCAGAGGTGTAATATGAGAGGTTTTTTATGATTATCTTTTTTAAGTTATTATGCCAAGAGTATCATATCTTTTAAATAATCTTTGAGCTTCAAGCAACAGCCGTAGGTCTAAGTTAGTGACCTGACCCATCCGAGGGTTGTTCATTATTCATCAAGGGTCATATGGTAGGAGCACAAATAGATTTGACAGAGGAATAATGAGTGAAATTAGGCAACAATCTAGACATAATGCCTGATTTTATCCAGCATCAATGGTCATCATGGGTTCACATGAGAGGAGTGAAAACAGAATGAAGAGAGAAAGGAGTGAATATTAAAAGACAAGGTGCATGATGAAAAGAATATAACTTGTTTAACATAATACGAAAGCTTACCTTCAGAACCCTAAGTTCAAGTTTGGTAATCTCTCTTCCATTGATGTAAACTTCAGTGTTTCCATTGCTAGCATTAGAGCTAAGTTTCCCACCGAAATTCAAGTTTGAACTTATTATTTTGTCAGGTTTTCCTCCTTCCTATTCAAACCAATAAAGACAAACATCAAAGCCGTTGTTCTTTAATTACAATTGGAGATATAGTACTTTCTATAAAGCGAATTTAAACAGAAACATTCTCAGTTTTGAAGCAGAAATTTAAACTTGTATCACCTTTCCCCATAGACCAGATTCTTTATCATACCAATATCTACCAGGCTTTAGCTTCCGTGGAGGTAAGGGGCACCCAACTAATTCCGCCATCTCTTCTGGCTTCAAAGGGAATCCATTGACAACAAGCTGCTCAGGCCGAAGCTGATTGGCAGAGCACTCTTTCTCTGCTTTCATAATTTGTTTGACTTCTAACGGACTCAGTAGTCGAGACAGCACTCTTGAATATTTACCCAATTTGAGACGCTTTGATTCATCAATGGGCTGACCAATGCATGTTACACATTTGCGCCCTTCTGGCATTGATCCCATTGCTCTGAGCACACAATTGCCACAATACTTGGCATCACAAACTAGACATGACTCCTTAGATTCCCATTTCCCTTTTCCACATCTATAACAAACTTTTATTTTCTTTTTCTTCCTTTCTTTAGAAACCCCAACATATTCTGGATGAACTGGCCTCACAACCTCAGCTTCTTTCCTCTGAGATCTCTCGACAGTATTAAAAGTGACAACAGGAGCCCTCTTTGCTTCATGAATTACTTGTTTAGGAGGATTATTTGGTGGATTATGTACTGAACTGGGGGATACTGAAGGTGACGCAGAAGAAAAATCTGCATTCTGCAACACAGACACCACGGATTCAGAACTTCCTGACATTCTCGGACTTTGATTATGATAACTTGTGACACCAACAATACGAGACACTGGCAAAGGGATTGGTTCAATAACAGGACGCCCTTGATCAGTCGATCTTTGGGAGTCTGATAGCCGCTTAGCTTGAGGATTCACATTTAGAGGCTCGACTCTCGGCACTTCGTATGAAAAGGCAGGTCCCTTGTATTCCATGGCCATGGAGTAGTCGAGATCAGAAGCATCATTAGGCACAGAAGCACCGGGAGGAAGCATCTTCTTCACCGAATTCTTCCAGTTCTCTCCTTCATTTGATCCATTTCTTCACAATTACAACAAATCAGCCACCGCCACTTACACTTTGTAAATTCTTCAACGTCAACAGTAATCTAGAGAGTAGGAGAGACCGAAGTTCTTTCTAAAACTTCACTTCCCAAGCTCTCGTAACTTGCGAGAAGATGTTCGAGAACAAGAGGTTGAATTACAATGTAAAGGGAATTCAGGCGACGTGGCTCACGTAGAGTGTATCACAGTCATTAAGCAGCCGCAATCAACCCTTGAAAGCCTTCTTAGTTGAATGGCTAAATTACAAACAATAAAACCAGATAAAGTCAAATGAAGTTAATATAAATTCAAAGGATGATGTTCAAGTTCAAGCATGACTTTCAAACAAGTCGGATAAAGAGCACAAAAACCCCAATCAATCACAGTCCAGACAAACCAAACATGAGACGTGTCATTAACTTCCAAATTCTACATAATTCCGACAAAAAAGACTGGTCATATGCATTAGTTTGAGAGTTGAAAAAAACAAGAGTCAGACAACTTCCAGATAACAATCAACCATTTACCAACTCAGGTTAGAGTAGACATTTCAAGTTCGACAAAGAAAAGAAGAGGCAAAAGAAAACGGAGAATAACATTGAAAAAGATGACTTTTTACCACATTATTGAGCAAGAGAAAGAAGTAAAAAGGAAAAGTTGCGAGAGGAAAAAAGGGAGGGAGATCAATGTACCTAAGTAAAGGAACAAAATGAAAGCGAATCCGCGCTTTAAATCGAAGGAGCTCTTGCTTTTTCCTGCTTCGGCGCTTTGAAGAAGCAAAAGTTACATCCAGAAAACCCACAACCATAGATGGATGAGTGACGAAGAGAGAGAGAAAGTGAAGCTCAGAAAGAAAGCAGAAGAAGGCGGTGAAAAATGAAAAATCAGAGCGTCGCTGCAGAGCGGAGGTTGCTTGAGAGTGGCTTTCTAGTGATGGGACCCACTGAGCTCCCCCACCATTGGCAATCTCAGTGAGTCTATTCCCATTAGCTTTCTTCTCTCTAGATATTCTTTTTAAGCCGTTCGTGATGACGACGTCAGACGGACTCGTGGGGCTGTGACTGCCTGTGAGACCTCACTGTCCCGCACGCGCCTATTGCTCCCCCACTGCCTCCTGCTACGTACGAAGCGCACAACACTAATATTTAATATCTTAGTAAGTTAATACTCTTGTGCTAATTAACATAGAACCCAATTATTAAATTGATTTTAATTTTAAATATAAGATTTATTTATTATATTTATTAATTTTTTTAAATTACTTCTATAGATACTCTCTCAATCAGAGGGAGAAGGGGTATTAAAAAGATAATTATGATATTTTAAAAAAAAATGTGTCGCATTTTTTATAATTACCTAACTTCCTTAATCTAATCAAATTAGTTAAATAGGTCTTATATTAAGAATCGGATGAGTATAAGTTTATTTTTGAATTTGTCCAAATTTTTTTTTTGTTCTTAGTTGACTATATTTAATACTCCCTCTTTCTTACTAATATTATTCATATATATTCTTTTTTATTCTCTTTTATTTATTGTTTCTCTTGTTTATTCTTTTAATAAATAAGGATAAATTTTGAAAAAAAAGAATATATTTCGCGCCCATATATTACATTTGACTCGTTTTAACTGCTCGCTTGTTAAATGTAATTTAATTATTTAAAACTCATATATAGAATTGGAAAGAGTACTCTCTGTAAACAACAAAATAAACATAATAATAAATTAAAAATAAAATTATATATCTAGAAAAAAAAATTTCTTCCTAACTTATAAATAAGACGAGAAAAATATTCAGCACAGCTCCCAGCACGCGTCTTCTCCCACTCTCAACCACACGCTGTTTCTTCTTTTGCCGTGCGGCCTCTGCAATCAATCACATTAATTAAAAATTTACGAAATTTTAAAAATCTGGCTTTTAAACCTCAAGGCTCAAGCGTTAAAATTTTACTAGATGAAGTGTGGGAAAAGATGCTACCAATCCAATTTGAGTATGATTAAATATAACCTAATAATATTTAACACTAAATTAGCGGTGTTAAAAAAAAAAGAAGTTACATCAACAGTAGTTAAGTGAAGTAAAAAGAATCAGTGAAAAGGGGTAATAATGCTTGGATATACTACCTCCGGTCCTAATTATAAGACCCAGTTGACTTATTTGAGGGGATTAAGGAAGTAAGTTAAATTAGTTATTTGTAATAAATAAGTGTTGTTATTCTTAAAATATCCTTGCTAATTAAGTGTATTGGCTAGAACTATCATTATTAGAAAGACTATCTTGGAAAAAATGCATAAATATAAGAGAAAAAATAGATTGGGGTCTTATAATTAGAACCAAACAAAAAGTCAAACGGGGTCTTATATTAAGGATCGGAGGTAGTAGTTATCTAAACGGTATGAGAAGATTCTCAACAAAATTATTGACAGAAAATTGAGACACGTAAGGGTTGATAATATCTTTATTCAATAATCCTCAATAGTTGGCGATTTTCCTTACAATATTTCTTTGCGAATTATATTTGTGAATGGGAGGGAACGTCTTACATGGTACGCGCTATAAACGGGCGAGTGATATTGCAGATTTGTCCAGTGTCGCTATTTTGACGAATCATCACGAGGACTTGCATCTCGTTGACAAATTTAAAGCATACATAAAAGCAAAACGCTTTCCTAATAAAACAAAATCAAAATATCTTTTGTTTTTTAAGTCTTCATTTAATTTAATCAAGTTGCGCATTCATGGAATATGTTCAATCCTTTTAGCCATATATTTGCTCATCTAATTTTAGATAAAATTTTAATTTCATCCCTTAATTTCAAAAAATATATCTTCGTTCTTTTAATCATAATAACATTAATTTTAAGTGATATTTTTAATCATAATAATTAGTATTTTAAAAATTAAAATTAATATGTAGGCATTTAATAATATTTTTACTACTATTTAAAATTTTAATTGCCAGTATTTTTTAATGGTGTTAAGATAAAGTGATTGAAAAGGCATTTATAAAAATGAGTGCGACGGTCGTTCTAATTTAATTAGGACTCTGAAATTTAAATCTGAGAATGTTCCTCCTTATATTAGGAGAATCATTATGGTTTATCAAGAAAATAACATGTGCTCGCTACTAAAATTTTTTTTAGCACTAGAAAAAAATTAGGGATAAATTCCTCATTAAAAATTAATTAGTAAATAGGACATGAGGATTTTGTGTAACTTAACTTTTTTTGTGTACAATTTATCTTCCCCTGTGTGTAATAATCTTTTTTGTATGATGTGCAAATTAATTCTCTTTTGTGCAAATAAAATTTTCTTATATGCAAGTCATCTTCCTGTATGCAAGCCAATCCCTTATATTCAAATAATGTTTTGTGTAGACTATATTCCCTTTGTGCAACATACCTTTTTTTTATATGCAACTCATTTTTCCTTGTGCAATCAATCATCTTAGGGACAATTTGTCAATTAAATTTATAATGAGGGATTTATCTCTAATTTTTTTCTAGTACTAGTTATATCATTTCTTTGATATTTCATAATTTAAAGGTGTTCACGGGACGGACTGGGACAGGTCTATCTTGATGAACAGGGACGGGACAGGGTTTTTGTCCCGTGTCCTGTCCAGTCTTGTTCTGTCCAGGTCCCGTCAGGATCGGGATGTCCCACTTCCCCTTTTTTAAAAAAAACTATAATTTTTATATGAATTTTTTTATATTATAATGCTTATTTTTTACTGGGCTTCTAAAGATTAAAACACTATAAGAAAATATTATGTAGAAAACTCAATTATATATATAAAAAATGTGTAAAAACAATACTGTAAAAAACAAATATCGTAAAAGAAACAATACATGATAACTTTATGAATTATTTTATTGAGGAAGAAGATTTTGTTGAGATAATATTATAAATTAAGAGCTAAAATCACTATAAAAATAATTATTATTATTAATAAGTAAATTGAATAACCTAATAATAATTATTAATAACTAATCCTTAAAAGGAAAAAAACCAGGACCATCCCGTCCCGGTCAGTATCCTGTCCTGTCTCATTTTTGTTCTGTCCTGAAATTTTTTGTCTCATCCCGTCCCATCCCGAACTTACCGGTATCGAGACGGGACAAATTGAATACCCCTGTTTCATATCATTTTTCTCTTCATACTTGGATTTTAAAACAAGGGCCATAAATTGATAAATCAAACCAATTTTAACTGGCAATTTTAGTTATTTAAATTTAAATTTATTTGTTTATTTATTTAAGTTGTAATATTCTAATTCTAGTTTATAAATACTCTTTTATTAGATACAAAAAAATATTATATTTAGAACGGAAAGAGTATTGGCTTTAACATTAGACTGAAACAGACATTGGACAGTCACGCAGGCAGGACTGGCAGTACGGAGCCACATGTGGGGGATGGGCCTACCCACTATGAGATAAGGCGTATCAGTACCCTCATGTGTGGGCTTCTCCTACTCCTACTTAATTATAGACCCGACCCCCCCTCCTCCCGTCCCCTAATTATCAACATCCGTATATAACCATTTTTTGGGAAAAAATTTAAAATTTTTAATCAGTTTTATTAACTATATTTTAATAGCTATTGAAATGACAACGTAACCTTGTAATAATTCTTTTTTTAAAATTTAAATTTTAAGATTTATTTTTTTATTTTTTATTTTGCCAACCATGATATCACCATTTCAAACTATGAAAATTATTTAACATAAGGATTATTTAATTAATTTAAATATATTAACAAATTAAAAAAATCACGTGCTTCTAATAAAATACTTCTTTTAATCTTATTTATAAACCTTAAATTTAAGAATAAATGTAGTTTATTTTATAAACTTTAGGTTTATCTTGAATAAGAGCTATGGTTGAAAAGGAAAATTATTTCATGTGAATAGCACTTACATTTGGACTAGTCAATCCTAAAAATCAAGAGAAGCTTGTTTGATATCATCCAACATGCGTACCTCGAAGGGAATCAAATCAAAATAATTTAACCTTTTTTTTTTTCAACTCTGTGGCTAACTATTTGTCATACACTTTCTCGTTATATTTTCGCATACATTTTCTTTCATCAATTCTTTCATTTATTACAAGAGTTTGTTTGAAAATAAAGATATATTTTTATATATTTATGATTTTTAACTTGTTATAAGAAAATTAGTTATTTAAAATTTATAATAAAAAAAAGGTATACTATAGTTTTTCAAGAATATTTATATATATATTTTGCCAATACCTATATGTAATGCCTATATGTAATACTATCATCTTATCATCGGAATCGGCCAAGAGGGGGCAAATGATTGAGTGTGAATGTTGATAGCAACTTTGATGAAAGTAGGCATGCCACTAAATTGGATGGGATTGGGGTAATCGGTATTCTTATTTAATGCGTTCAAATTTGAAGCTCATAAAGCTGCGACAACGCTCCAATCAATTATTGTTCCCCTTCCTCCAAGGCCTCTTCACATCTTATATTCCCTCGCCCTTCTCGTTGATTAAAACAAAAAAAGGTGAGATGTGAGGGGAGGCGCAATATGCTTATACTAGGAAGATTTTTGGGAAAATTACAGTTAAGTTTTAAGAAAAAAACATAATTATTAAAAATCTAAGCAAGTTTTAGAATTAAAAATGATAACTTATAACTTTCATTAAGGTTTACTAATAGTTATTTTCTTTTCTTGAAAATTTATTACTCTAAATTTTTATACACAATCAAACCCCTCCCCTGCCTGAAGGGATATGGCAAAATTATAAGAGTACAACCAGAGACAGACCAAATCAGAGACATTATATGTCTCGCTCCTCCAAATCAATAAAGTTGTTACGTTATAGGGGAGGATCCTATGAACTTATGTAGCTAACCACAATCAACGCGATGATTAGCTTTTCCTCAAAAGGCATTATGAACTCATTTCAATTTGAAGCGGTGGGTTTAATCCAAATTTTCCAAAGTAAGCGTATTTATTGGGTGGATTGGGTTTTGGCTTGAAAGTTGAAAGTCCCCCCCAAACATAAATAGCCTTCTATTGGAGGCAATCATATTTAAGACACTGTCGGACGCTAAATGTGGACACCTCTTTCAACAGGAATTCAAATATTGATTCACTATGTTATGAGAGATTAACCTTTTTTGTCAGACCTAACTCCTATTATTGAAACTTGAAAGTTAAAATGTCTTCATCGGGTTTTGAAACAGGAACATGGAATAACATTGAATCCAGCCAGGATCTGGGTGGCTCATACAACTTTTTCTTTTCTCACATAGATTGGTCCAGGGCCAACACATTAGTCTCGCCCAAGTCTAATTGTTTTTGTACAACGGGGACCCAAAGGCCCAGGTTCTTTAAATTATTGTTTTTTGTGATTCTTTTTAATTACTTACTTGCACCCAATCCTGCTCAGTTTTGGTTCCGATGTGGTGCCCACTCCAGACTTTTTAAGTTCAAAATTTACTTGACGGGAAAAAAGTTCAGTTTTTGTTACATGATTGTTTAGAGAAATTTTTTGGTAGACAGATTAGCATATTTAATTAGATTTAAAATTATAATAAAGTACATTATTTACTGTAGCTCAAGATTTACTTTTTTATAAGAGTATGATTTTTTTTATTCATTCAAATAGAACTTGAATCAGAGATGCAAAATTTAGAAAAAATATATAAAAACTTAAAATTATTTATTTATTTCTCCATTTAAGCCTCTAATTCATATACTGTTTAATTATGATGCTTTATATTTAATGCAATATATTCAAATCCCAATTAAGATATTATTTAAATTCAAAATTAATTATAATTTTTTCATTTGAGCCTTTGATTAAAATTTCATTTATTTATAATGTTTTTCCATTTAATTCAATATATTCAAATTTCAATCAATATGTTATTCAAATTTCATTAATTAAATAGATTTGGATCCAATAATATCATATTTGACCCATTTTTTAAACAATTGGGTATTATAAATTTTTAAGAATATAGTTGAAATCTTATAATATGAATATCCTTCACTTAATGCTGGCCAAAAATAAAATCCTTCACTTGAATAACTTCCCCCTCTTCTTCACTTCATTCATTTATCTCGAAGTTTTAGCTATGGAGTCCCCCCCCCCCCCAAAAAAAAAAAAACCTGAAGCTGTTAGTTATAGAGTTTGCACTTTCGGAGATATAAGTTGTTACCTGGTAGCAAATTACTTAAAATACATTATGGCATTGTCTGAGTTTCGGAGTACTCCAACCACAGCCCATAAACACTTGATCCGATGGCACGTCAAACATTTCACCCAACAATCCGTTTAAATAACCATCATTAATATATGAATATATGTTTTTTCCTAATTTATGTGGTCTAGAAGTCACTACATGCAGAAACAACAGCCTTTCGTAATGTTCCGGCCTTGGTTTCACACATGGCGAGACGTGAGAGGGGTTCTAAGTTGCGAGGAGGATCTGGTGGGACCAACCCTTTCCCAAACGTTATCCTATCCAGAAATCCCCTGCAATAGCTTTTCTGGCTGGAAATGCTCTTTGAAATCTCATGGATCACATTCAAATCCTCTCAAACGTACGCAGTTCAGGCTTTTTTCGCTTCAATCCCCTTGTCGCTTCTTCTTGTGCTTCCTACGGTTCTTACTGTTGCTATTCCATGAAATGGGATCAATATGCTGCTGGCCTTGATCACTTTGGCACAAAAGATTCCGTTTTTTCTGTTCATCTTCAAGCTTGAATTAATTCTTACTGCAATTGAAATGATGGGTCACTCATGTGTGCTGGAATAATGATGGGGTTATCGTTTTCCAGTTTTATCTGCGATTTCTGGGTTATCATGGTTTGGATGAAAGGATGAGCGGGACATCTGTCCTTACCCAAACCCATCTCTTATCACCGCCGAAGAATCCACCCCAAAACGTTGAATTCAGATTCAGGCACAACGAGCAGAAATGCTTGTCTCTGCTGAAAAAATGCAACAGCATGGAAGAATTTAAGCAAGTTCATGCCCAAATCCTCAAGTTGGGCTTGTTCTGGGATTCTTTCTGTGCGAGCAATCTTTTAGCTACATGTGCCCTAACCAATTGGGGAAGTCTGGAGTATGCTTGCTCAATCTTTCGTCAAATCGAGGAGCCTGGTAGTTTTGAATTCAACACCATGATCAGAGGCTACGTCAAGAATATAAATTTAGAAGAAGCTTTGCTTCTTTATGAAGAGATGCTTGAAAAAGGAGTTGAGCCTGACAACTTCACTCACCCACCTCTTCTCAAGGCATGTTCTCTTCTAGGAGCTCTCCAAGAGGGAAAGCAAATTCATGGATTTGCCCTTAAGGTGGGTCTTGAAGATGATATATTTGTACAGAACAGTTTGATCAGCATGTATGCAAAATGTAAGCAAATAGATCATGCTCGTGCTGTGTTTGAGAAAATGGATGAGAAGAGCATAGCTTCATGGAGTGCTATAATTGGAGCTCATGCAAGTGTTGAAATGTGGCAGGAGTGCCTGGTTTTGTTTAGTGATATGAGCAATGATGGATGCTGGAGGGCTGAAGAGAGCACATTAGTCAGTGTGCTCTCTGCTTGTACCCATTTGGGTGCTCTTGATCTTGGAAGGTGCATTCATGCAGTTCTGCTAAGAAACATCAGTGAGCTCAATGTCATTGTTCAGACTTCATTGATTGACATGTATGCCAAGTGCGGATGCCTCGAGAAAGCGCTTTGTCTGTTCCAAAACATGGCCGAGAAGAATCGATTCTCTTACACTGCGATGATATCTGGGCTTGCCATGCATGGACATGGCAGGGAAGCTCTGAGAGTTTTCTGGGAAATGCAGGAACAAGGTTTGGCACCAGATGATGTTGTCTATGTGGGCGTGTTAAGTGCTTGCAGCCATGCTGGTCTGGTCAATGAAGGTCTACAGTGTTTCAATCTCATGCAATCTGCGCATGGTATTGAACCAACAGTTCAGCATTATAGCTGCATGGTGGATCTCATGGGGCGAGCTGGGATGCTGAAGGAAGCCTATGAACTCATAAAGAGCATGCCGGTAACACCAAATGATGTGGTGTGGAGGAGTCTTCTTAGTGCTTGTAAAGTTCATCTTGATCTAGAACTAGGTGAGATTGCTGCTCAGAATCTTTTCCAGATGAACTCTAGAAATCCCAGTGACCATTTGGTGCTGTCAAATATGTATGCACAAGTTAAAAGGTGGGATGACGTGGCAAGGATCAGAAAAGAAATGGCTGAAAAGGGCTTGATTCAAACGCCTGGGTTTAGCTTGGTTGAAGCAAAGAGAGAGGTCCACAAGTTTGTCTCACAGGACAAGTCTCGGGCACAATGTGAAAGAATCTATGACATGATTCACCAAATGGAATGGCAGTTGAAATTCGAAGGCTATACGCCAGATACATCGCAGGTGTTGCTTGATGTAGATGAAGAGGAAAAGAGGGAAAGACTGAAATATCATAGTCAGAAGCTAGCAACTGCATTTGCACTAATTCATACATCTAAAGGATCTCCCATAAGAATATCAAGAAACCTCAGGATGTGCAAGGACTGTCATACCTACACCAAATACATTTCGATGATTTATGAGCGAGAAATCATTGTAAGAGACCGCCATAGGTTCCACCATTTTTATAGAGACTATTGGTAAATCTCTTTATATTCACATTCGAGGGGCTGTGATTCATGGGTAGATTTCCTGTTTACACGTCTCATGTTATATTCTCAACAGATGATTCTCATTCCGTTCATGAGATTAGAGATTGGGGAATTGCTGAGCATATTGTTTTTAAATGCTGTTACAATTTCTGGAATCCAGGGAGGTCAAACAGAAGAGTAAGAAGAAAATAAGGTCGGAACATAGTTTTGACCATAGCCATTCAACACAATTCTATTTCAAGTTTCTGAAGTGGTTTGCACATCAGAACATTCAAAGATCTTGGGCGACGAATTGGAGCATTCAACACAGAACTTGTAAGAAGAGCAGAGACAATTAAATGAAGGGTTCCTTTTCACATTGTACATTTTTCAAGAATACAACGGATATCAATCTTATTATCCGGTCATCTTTTTCCTCATACGCAAAAGAAATTAATTCACCTATTCTAGAACACATTCCTTGCAAATATTTTGCGGTCATTTGCGATATTTTAATTCATGGCAATCAGCTTATTCAATATGGATTGCCGACACAGCTGATGTGATTTCATTGGTTCGTGGGTCAGCATTCTCTATAGAAACTCCACGAGGATCTTCTGTAACAAGCAATGCAAGCACATCGAGTGAACCCCAAACTTTTGATACGTTTGTGCTTGAACCTCCTAAGGTGACAGCGAAGACTGCATCAAATCCTCCTGCTCCTGGAACTCCTGCCAGCAAAACCCCTTCCAAGTTCATAGTAGCGTCAAGAAGTCGTGTCTGTGATTCTGGTTCAATCTGTATATTTTGCAGCTCATGAGAATATTGGACTCATAATTATTAAATTGCTAAGCTAATCAACCAGGAAAGCAAATGTGAGTGTATCTTCTCTGTGATTACACTTGGAATAGAGCATATAAAAGCTATGAGTCTTCCAGTTACAATATTTATGCTCAAAAAACATAAACGCAATTCAAATCCCATGTTAACTTTCTTGAATCTTAATTGATTCAGTATTTGGGCAATACACATTATTTATGGAATTTTTCCAAGTCCATTATGCTATAATTAGATTTGAAACTCTCACCCGGACACATCCTATTCAATAGGATTCCGATAGCAACTGGCTATGGGAAGGAAAATATCCAATAAGTTCCCGGGTTAATCAATCCCAAAAAGATCATCAAATATTAAACCCACTCATTTCCTCATGAAAAAAGAAGAAGAGAGAGACGCAATATAAATCAAGGGTTACTTTTAAATAGGGCAAAGTCTCACTACCCTTCTTAAAATATAAGAATGAGTTCACACCAGTTACGATCAGTTTATTATTACACCTGGATATAAACTTTACAAGGAAATCGGAGTCATGTAAGCAGGAGACAATAAACGTGCACTGGTTTGGTAGAATGAACTTACAGGAACACCAGCGGCCTCACCCACTGTGCGCATATGATATCTAATTTGAAGCATCGCATCTTTTGCTCCTAGCAGTGCTTTAATAACTGCTTCTTTGTTAGGTTCAGAAGCTTGCTCAATCCACTGCTCATGAAGTTTGCATTTTAAACATCAACAGCCAAAAAGAAAAAATCGAGAGTCAAGAATCAAAGCCACAAGATAGCAAGGAAAACCAGAGATAGAAACTCAACATCAATTAAAAAAGGCCTCAGCCATGATAGGTCACATCTATAGTTACAAAGTGCCCAACCTGAAATTGAAATCTGGCTACAATGGCCGCAAAATCTAGCACAGGATTTTACATAAATAATTTTGCCTTCTTCGCCAATGCACTTCTAGTTAACCACGGTATTAATTTGCATTATGGACACAACATGCGATGACTGGAGCAGTTTCTTTTACCCAATCCTTCGTTTTTCCTTACCAAGAATACAATTGTAAAAAGCTCCATGCCCCATCAAAAACAGGAGCAATGAAATTTAGAAGTTACCAAAAAGATATCACCATAATTATGTTTATTGGGAGCCATGAGGCTTACAATTTTAAGACATTAAGCTAACACCCTGTATGAGGCAAACCAAGAGGGATCATTAAAAACTTAAAATTTTGATGTTATATCTGATTCTACATCCTTCCTTAGAGTTTTTTTAATTTTATTATCCTATATTGAATATGATCACCGCTAAGAAGTAAGCTTGGGGTGACAGTCTGAAATGTCAATCAGTTATGTTATATTTTGATTTCCAAATCACCTTATTAACACAATTGTAAATGAGCTCAGAAATACCTTGTCTGATCTAAGCATGCTGCAGCTATCAATTACATATTTATATGCATCCCATTGTTCCTTTGCTAGTCCGCTTAACAATTTCAGTTGCATTTCCAGAGCTGAATTTGCTTCTGACAGCCTTCTCCACATTTCCTGAGATTTATGAGGGTCTGACTTTTGCCATTTTTTGACAGAACCTACCATCGATGGTGTGGATGAACCACCAGTTCCTGGTTCTCCTAGTAACTGAAGAGAAAAATATTCAGTACAATATATCCCATATGCTTCAGACTGTGGGTATTGACTGAAAATATTCTGGTGTGTATTATTCCAATATGAACAGTACAATATATACAAGGTGGGCAATAATTACGAGGCAGAAGATAAGGGATATACACAATCAGGGAGATCCTAGGGATATTTTGCTAATTACAGAATAAGTATAATAATGGAAAATATTAAAGAACTTGAAAGTTTATCAGTGATAAAATAATTATTGTTCCCCACGTCATTATTGTTCTACACAACACGGAGGATCACCCCTGATTTAAAGTACACCATTCTTGCCTCTACACAGATACTAGATGTAATTACAGAGAAGTGGATGTTGGTAAATAAGCAGAACGCAAGTATCAAATGAAAAGCTGCTATCTAATCAGTGAAGTGTCAGAGGAAATATAAGAGGTTAGGATACATTTGGTAGCCAAAGGCCAGAAGGGTGAATTACAGAGAGATAAAGGCATGCATAGAACAGAAGGCTCAGAAAAACCAAGAGGGATATTCAACAAGCGATTTAAAATTCTACATTTGATATGCGGTTCATTACTATCCTTTTCATTTCCATTCGCAGAAGGTTTTAGTTAACCATGTTATATTAGGGATTAAAAGTAAAAGTACATAGCAATATAGAACCCTCATCACTCACAAAGGAAAAAGGGAGATAGGAGAAGAGGTAAGTATCCAATAACACGTGCAACTGTCGGACACACAGATATACACAAGAGCCAACATATGTGAAATTGAAGTTGCTTACAAGAGTCATCAAGGGAGGTAATGAAAACTCAGTCCTCTCATGGTCCCATTTTCCTTTCAAAACATTAGTGATAGCCTCCAATAGAAACCCCGCATTTGCTGAAACCTGCAATGTCAATAACAAGTCAACAAAGTTAATGATGTTTGTGGAGCGTATTTACTAATTTCAATATAACATTAGGCCATTAAATAAAGAAAACAAACAACACGAGCATTTTAAAAAGTTTTCCCCTTAGAATGAGCAGTCTAAAATAATGGGGCTAATGGCAATAATTGTTTATGAGAATTGGAATAATGCCAAAACTATATTTAACCAATGCATAGAAGTAATGAATGATCAACAATTATGGCGCTGATAGCATGAATAAATTCTGCATAGAACAAATACAACAACAACAACAACAAAGCTTTATCCCATTAGGTAGGGTCAGCTACATGGATTGTACGACACCATTGAGCCCCATCCAAAGCCAAATCTTCGGATAGATTCTGCATAGAACAAATACTGATTAGAAATCTAGAACACATAGGTGTGACCTGAGCATAAGAGATCACTTCTGGTGAAAACCGCACATAGCGTTGACTGCCATAGACAGCTGAGCTAACATCAAACCCGCTGCCTACTTTTCCTTGTGCAATACAATGAGCAGTTTGAGCTATTTTATGCACCACATCAAGATCTTCAATATTCTTCCTTTCCTGAGGATCGTTGGATAAGGAGAGCCTTACAACTCCAAAGTAATGAAGTAAAGCAGAAACCACAGCAGTTGTCATTGCTGCAGACGAGCCCAATCCAGTTTTGGCTACTTCAGGTCTGCAGCTTGCTCCACTAGCATCCTCAATATTCAAGGTTATTGAGGAAAATGGTGGAAGGGTGGCCAATGATTCTGACGTCAAAGGAAGTCCGTATCTTTCAATCTGCCAAAGAATTTACTGGAAAATTAATTTCTTAATTTAATCTTTTTTATTTTATCTACTGTTCAAGTGGTGGAATGTTAAAGAAAAAGTCTTGCAACCGGGGGGAAGGGATGAGGGAGAGAAGATAAAAGGATCTACATATAAAAAATGGGAAAATATAAATTTTAATCCCTGAAATTTTCAACAACTCAGTCCCTATAGTTTCCTGACTTGGAATAACTCAGTTCATGTAATTATTTGATTCGATGAACTACAAGAATTAAGAGGCAAAGTTTAGAGACTAAATCAATAATTAAGAGAAATTTCAAAGACTAAAAGTTATATCTTCCCAAAAACAATCTTACAAAATACAACATTTAGTTGTTCATATCAGCAGTGAAATAATAGACATCAATTGAATTTTAAAACAAGGTAATGAAAACTACTCTAGAGACAGTCAAAAGACACTCTTAGGAGATGACCTAAAGAAATCATAAACAAGGGTAAATTACCAGGTTCCTGTATGAATAGAAATCATTACCACCCAAAATTGTAATATCAAGACCTGCATAACAAATCCAGTCAGAAAATCAGAAGTTTGAAGCTGCTTTCTAACAATAGAGAACAAAAACCATATGTTACCTAGCAAAAGTAGCTTATGCAATGACTCGATCTTATTCTTGTCAAATGTTGCACGCGCAGCAGCCAAAGAATATTGCACAGCATTCTCCACAAAAGGATTCCTTGTTTCACTGAAATAATGAGCCAGTCAATAATCGTAAGCCCACAATAGGTTATCCAACTCTGCAATCAAGCCACTGAAAGTGTCTAGTGCAGCAAAAAACAAAAGGAAAATTCTTTAGCTTAGACCATTCAAAATCCCTGTACTATAGTAAATGCATTGCTTGTTATTAATGAGGTCCAGAATTCAACTTCCAGCATTGTAAATGAATGAGTTTCAATAACGGCAAAGAAAAGATCAAATGAAGGCAAAAGCAACACATGAAACTTGCCTTGAAGAAACACATTGAATTTGAAGACTTTTGAGAGCAAATTTGTACATGCCTTCTCTGGACAGCTGAGGAGATGTTAATTTCACATCTGTCCATGCCTGAATGAAATGAAAAGGACAACAATCAGGTATAACTCAGCGCCACAACACATCTGTCCGTGCTTTTAAGCCGATGTTTACATCTTCTCTTTCCTTATTGGGTTCGTCTAAAATAAACAGCAATTGTGTATACAGATAGATCTGTTTCTTATTCGAACGCTTGCTGCCTCATCTTTGATCAAGGCAAGCGTCATGACAAAATTTCTAGCCATAACAAGACTGAAAGCACAGTATACTCCCCAGAATCTGGGAAGCAGAAAAATATTTGTCAAATCCAGATCATTTCACAAAGAACAATATGTACAATAATAACCCACCCACGCCCAGCTATCGGGTTTTATTTCCTCATAAAGTGGTTTCACGATTGCATAAAACCGGGCATTTGTACTGAGTACAAGCCCCGAGTTTGGTCTCTCTAATATGAGATAACCCCCGGTCATCAACACCTTCCCTGGAGCAGAAGCCACCCTGAGTCAACAAAGTCAGCAACAACAAGTTAGAGTACATTTACCTTCTTTTCTTGCATCGAGAGAATATGGGTGAGAGAAATCTGATCACTGATCACAAATCACCCTGTATTAACTCCAACACAAGAAAAACCAAAGCTAAAATTTCAGTTAGCGTTTACTTGTTTATAGCCAAAATCCCAATTTAATTGCATGCTTGCTCTGGTTAAGTTCTTTCAAATCATAGTGCCCGGGAACAAACTGGAGATGCGAATTCTCGGCGATGTGGATGGAGAATGAACTTACACAGCCATAGAGCTCCCACTACACATTTCAAGAACAACTGGAGCTGGAGCTAAAGCACCAAAATTTGTGGAAACTAGAAGGCAAAAAGTGCTTCAGCGATTAATGATGGAAGTTCAGAAGCGACGCCGATCTCAGTAACTGATTGGGCTGTCAGTCTCGTTTCGGTGGTTGTGGAGATGTCGAGCCTTGAACATTCAATACTTAACGAGATATGGTACTTAATAAAGAAAAAAGAAAAAAAAAAAGTTGAAGGAAAGAGAGAAAAATCCACGGGTGATTTTTAAAAGTATTTTTTAGACAAATTTTTTTATATATTTATTTTATAGGCCGTAAAATTATTTTTGAAATTATAATTTTATTTCTATTTAAACACTTTTTTAACTTTTTAAAAACAAATTTTTGGCCAAATAATAAATAAATGAAAAATAAAAATTAGCAAGCTGACATTTTAAGTTCATTGGTTTTGTGGAACAAAAAGAAAAACACGATATTCTTCTGGTTCTAAATATAAGACTCATTTTGTAACATTACAAAATGGGTTTTATATTTATGATCGGAACAGTAACAAAATTGTACTGTCATGTATATATATATCTAGATAAATTTAATAATAAAAAGAAATATTTGTTATTAAACAAAAATTACAAATATATAATTAGATAGGGAAAATGCAAAAAAAGACTACCAAAATAAAAAAGTTTGTAAATAAAGACCCATCATAATATTAGTATTGGTTTTGACAATAATAATATAAGTTTTGACAACAATTTTTATAAATTGGTCTTGTTTGAAATTTTTTTATTTCAGCGGTCTTTTTTCTTTTTTCTATATCATTTTTCCTAATAGATATTTTATATCATAACTTTAGAAACCTCATCTACCTCAGTCCAAAAATTTGACAATGTTAAATATATTCTATACATTGGCCATTTTGAATAAATTTATCTTCAACTTCATTATGATTTTTTTTGTGTGCTGTGATTAGATTATATTCAAGGCAATGCTAACTCAGGCCCTACGAATTCTAAAATGTGGAACTCATGAGATCCAACTCTTTTGTCTTTCGGCCACACGGGAGACCCAAAATAGCTGCACTGGAGGATTGATTAATAGAAGTTCATTAAAAAAAAAGTGTAATTATACTTCAAACAAGATTATTTTTAATAGAAAAATATTTGTGCCTATACAAAAAAAAGTTCATCAAAATGAGATTATGCTTTTTTCAGTTTTTTTGTGAAAAGGGGAAAATGGGGCAAGCATATATGTCGATGCATTTTTATATTTTTCAATTTTTTCTCCCATTAAATTAAATTGAACTATTATAACTAAAAGCGTCCACTTTTTCTTTGTAAAAAAAAAAGTGTCCGCTTTTTCTTGTTGGCAAAAATCCATTTTTTCCCACTTTTATTGGGTATATATAATACTGTTTCGAATCTTCGTTCCCAGCGCCAGACAACCAAGCTTGATTCAACGACCCTGTTTTTCTTTTTGGCTATCCCGGTGGGAAGAGTCGGGAGCCCTAGCGTCGGACCGCAGAATTGAGAAATTGAAGCAAAAATGCAGGTCTCTGGTGCTATCAGCGACGTATTGGTGGCACTCCCACCTTCGGGAGGTATCCGGCTGCCTGAATTTCGAAACCTGCATGCCTTTTCCGACGCCAAAAGTTTCCTTTCGGCGGGACTCTTCACAGTAAATTTCCAGTCTTTTCATCTGCATGCTCTTAATTTTTGCTCTGCATTTCTTATGGCTTTCTTCTTTGGCAGATTTTGGTAGCGCAGCTTGTGTTGGAAAATTATTCGTATTTAGTCTCGTATACTCTTTCTAGAAAATTGTCGCCTAGATAAGAGGGCCAGATGAAAAATTTCCTTGCAGTTAGCTGGCTATGACTTGGAAGTTTCAATTTTTTTACTGGGAAGATGTTGGCGGGGGTCTTTGAAAATTTTTATCTTCTCTTCCTTGTATTTTCAGCGAAACTGAACTTAATCTCCAGCCTTGTGTCGGCTGTTTTGGACAGAGAGATAGCCGAAATAAGGCTCTGAAATTTTGGCTATTTGAAATTCTGGATTTCTCTAGAGCTGAGGAATGCGAAACCAGCCTTGCATCTCATATTATGTTGCTTGTACATTCTTATGGACTGGAAAGCTAAACGTAGTTTTTGGTATTTAATTTGCTGTGCGCGCTACTTCGAAGCAAACACTTGAAACGTATTCTTTTCTATTGTAGACCTGTCCTTCAATTGGCACCTCCAAGCTTTATAAACTATACAACTGCCGGTCTAGAGGCTTAGTCCTGAAAGCATCAGCTAATTCAAATGATAATTCAGTGCCTGTTGCTCCCCTTCAATTAGAGTCACCAGTTGGTCAGCTTTTGGCACAGATTTTGCAAACTCATCCTCATCTATTGCCAGCAGCCATCGATCAGCAACTTGAGAACCTTCAAACTGATGAAGATGCCCAGAAGGAAGAATCTCCAGCTCAAGATATTCTTTACAAGTAAGTCCTTTATATCTGGTGTGAAAATAATTTTGCATCCCATTGATCAATGGGCAATAGCCTAATTGCTTGGACAGTTTGCTCACCTGATGGCTGGAGCAAGAAGCTGATGATGAGCCTTATCTGGGATAGAGTCCACCTCAACTGAATTTTTTGTTCATAAGTTGATAAATTAAATTTATTGAATAAGAGTTATGAGATCAGCTTTTGATCTGACCAATTGCTTATAAAGAATATCTGATTTATTGATCGATGATACAGAGACAGAATGTACTCCCTCACAGTCACATACACTAATTATGGAAATATATTGTAGTAATTTGGAATAACATACTGTGTTTAAGTTACAAAAAGAAGCCTGCTTAGGCGGTATCCTATTTTTAACATTGTGTCTCTTGTATTTTTTTTCTTTTATTTTTGGCTTCCCCTTGTGCAAATTGATACTTCTACTACCTGTTATCCAGGGTTATGAGCGTGTTTTCTTTACTGGGGACCTTTACCCCATTGTTTTTAATTGCTTTTGCTGGTAGGGAAATTGCTAGCTGAAGTGTTCTTACCTGCCTTAAAGACATGGACATGCCTTGATAAACCTTGATTTTGTTAAATCTGAATTTCAGGAGGATAGCTGAACTAAGGGAGAAAGAGAAGCGTGCAACATTGGAAGAGATACTATACTGCTCCATTGTTCAGAGATTTGTTGAAAATGGCATTTCAATGATCCCAAAAGTATCGTCAGCCTCCGATCCTACTGGCCGAGTGGATTTCTGGCCAAACCAAGAGCAGAAACTAGAAGCTGTTCATTCCCCAGAGGCATTTGAGATGATACAAAGCCACCTATCTCTTGTCCTAGGCGAACGAGTTGTGGTGGGTCCTCTTGAGACAGCTGTTCAGATTAGTAAAATAAAACTTGGCAAGTTGTATGCTGCTTCAATAATGTATGGTTACTTCCTTAAACGAGTTGATGAACGGTTTCAACTTGAGAGGACAATGAAAACCCTTCCTGAGGATTTTGGTAAAGCAGATGATGTGAGCTTTGAAGAACCATCACCGGCAAACAGGCTCTGGGATCCCGATTCATTGATCAGAATCCCTGCTTATGAAGACAACGATAGCATTGTGGAGGGAGAATATTACATAGAACCTGGTGAAGCCAAATCATACAGACTCAGATCTTATGTAATGTACTTGGATGGAGAGACCCTGCAGAGATATGCAACCATACGTTCTAAGGAAGCCATATCCTTGGTTGAAAAGCAGACTCAGGCCCTTTTTGGGAGGCCAGACATCAGAATCGCTGAGGATGGTTCTATCGAGACCCCTACAGATGAAACGCTTTCCGTCACTCTCTCTGGTCTGACCATGCTAGTTTTGGAGGCCGTGGCCTTTGGATCATTCCTATGGGATGCAGAAAACTACGTTGAATCCAAATTTCATTTTGTCAATAACTAGAATACTATCTTTGTAGATCTTTCGACTGCATGTTGTAGCTTGTAAAGCACGTTAATGTAAATGTAACATGGAGCATGTCTACTTTGTGATAACCCTGAACTCGAGAAGATCGTATGGCGTATAGCGAGTAAGAAGGAGGGGAAGTTCACAAAGGCAATCATATCATTGCAAGATGGGAAAATTTCAATTAAGGACCGAAGACAATTTATTTCAAATAGTCTCAAAACATTTTGAAATATTCTGAAATATTACTGCAGGATTAAAAGAACAAAATGAAATTAATTTAAGAGCAGAAAAAATGCCAACAGGGGTTGGGTTGAGTAGAAGGGGTTAGTTTTTCACAATGTGGTGAATCAAGGTTTGAATTCTCGCAGGAAGAGGTATTCATATTTAGTGTCTGATAGTGTTTTGAATATGATTGTTTTTAATACGAGGATATCTATACTTTAGGGGAAAAAAAGGCAGAAAAAATATTGTTACCTCTCAAAACTGAAGCTCTTTCTCCTCTCTTAAAACTGTCAATAACTCAAGCTCTTCTCTATCTCACTCTCTGAAAAATCTGTTATTGGGTTGGGAGAGATCATTCGTCATTATCGTTATTTTGGTAAGGAAAGCCTTCACTGTCATTACTATTCCAGTATGGAGTGCCTTTGTTGTTTGTGTTGTTCTAGTAATAAGAGCCTTCATTGTCACCATAGTCTCTCTCTCTCTATGTGGTATTGACCTCTTTCACCACCTTTCCACTCAAAATTTTTTGCATATAATACTACAAAATTCTTCTTTATTTCTTTTATTGTAGATTTTATGGGTTTGGTTTCGGTTGTCGTGAAGTTCTGAGCTAGTGAGAAATTTTTTCACGATTCAGATTTGAGATAAAATTATAAGGTGGGTTGATTTTAGATTCACATCGTTCAGCATTGAGAGTAAACTTTTTAGTTCCTATCATGAATTGTATTATAAATTTGCAAATTCCACTTCTCCATGAAAATAGTGATTTGGTATTGTGAAAACTCATATTTTTATTGTGAATTCACAAATTCCTATTGTAAACATATACTATGTTTAATTATTAAAAATTGATTGAAATTAATACTTGAATGATATGCAACAATGTATTATATATGGTTAGTGACAGTGAAATTAAATATTTATGAGTTCATTGATTATTTTGAGCTTTTATTGTTGCACTTGTGTGAATGTATTGAATGGTTCTTATCCTTGTGCCATAAGAACAACACACTGTATTAAAGTCTGAATTGTTGTGATGGCTCTTTATTTATAGAAAAAATACGAAATCAGGCTGTGTTGCGAAACTCTTTAACGGATAAAGACACAACAACAAAAAAGCGATGACATAGCAATTATTATATTTCTATCTGAAATGTAATTTAAGCTATTTTAGAATGTGTTCAAATTTGTGTATAGAGAATTTGTACAATTTCAATTTTAGGAAATATATTATGAGTATATTTCATGTTAATTAATTCTAATCTTCTACTTATCCCCATTAGTATACGAGTATATGATGTAGTACTAACAAATGAAATTAGAGAATTTGTAACAAGGATACATTGCTTAACAACCTCATGTTTTGAAAATGCGGCTGCATATTGACAACTAAAATTAGAAAATTTGCAAAAAAAATACATATATCAACAATAAGAATATATCCATTTGCAAGTGAATTATTTGAATTAAAGAAGATGAACATCGTAACTCACAAGTCTAGGAGGGACTATTTACAAGTGGAATCAGGTAATTTGCAACACAGATTATTAACAATAGAAATATATCCATTTGTAAGTGGATTTATCTAATTTATGAGCACAACAATTCACGAGTCCGAGAGCAATTTACAAGTGGAATAAGAAAATCTGTGACACAATTATGCCCATTAACAATATAAATACGTCTATTTGCAAGTGAAGTTATTTAATTTTTAAAATTGTACAAAACAATTCACAAGTCTGAGAATGACAATTCACAAGTACAATTAGGATATTTGCAACACAGATACACCCATTAACATGAATATGTCTATTTGCAAGTGGATTTATTTCATTCATAAAGTTAAACAGAACAATTCACAAAAATGGGATCAACGGTTTACAAGTGAAATTAGGGTATTTGCAACACGGATATATATATATATATATATATAAATACATCCTTTGCAAGTAGATTTATTTCATTCATAAGTTGAACAAAACAGTTCACAACTTTAGGAGTAACTATTCAAAAGTAGAATTAGGATATTTGCAACACGTATACGCCCATTACTAACATAAATACATCCACTTGTAAGTGGATTAATTTGTTCTGTATCTACATAGTTGCCAGCCTATTTCAGTACAGTACTTCATATATCATTTTGCTTTCTAAGGTCATCATAAATTTGCCTCTCGCATGCAAGATGCAAAATAATTGTTTTCCAACCATTAGCCATATATAGTATGTTATTGCGTATCATTCAAGTATTAATTTCAATCAATTTTTAATAATTAAATACAGTATACATTTACGACAAGAATATGAGAGTTCACAATAAAAATACTAGTTTTTACAAAACCAAATCATCATTCTCCTAGAGAAGTGGAATTTGCAAATTCATAATACAATGCATGATAGGAACCAAAAGACTTACTTTTAACACTCAGTGGCGTGAATCGACAATCAACCCATTATATAATTTTATCTCAAATCTGAGTAGTAAAAAATTTCTCATTGATTCAAAACTTTACGATAGCTGAAACCAAACCCATAAAATCTACAATAGAAGAAATGAAGAAGGATTTTGCAGTATTATATATAGAAATTTTTAAATGGAAAGGCAATGAAAGAGGTCACGTACTCAGAAAGAGAAAGAGACTATGGTGACAGCGAAGGCTCTCCTTACCAGAACAACACCGATAGCAAATGGTCTCTCTCAATGCAATAGAGGATTTTTCAAAAAGTGAGAAAGAAAAGAGCTTGAGTTATTGACAACTTTAAGAGAGAGGGGGGAAGAGCTTTAAGGTCACAGTTTTGAGGAGTAACAATATTTTTTCTTTTCTTAAATTGATTTCAGTTTGCTTCTTTGGTCCCCCCATGACATTTTACAATGTTTTGGGGCTATTTAAAATAAATTATCTACTATAGTACTTAACTGAAATTTTCTCTTATAAGATTCACGATAAAAGTCACGTCTCTTGCTATAAAAAGGGTGTTTAGGTAATTAAGAAAGTACTTTTTTTAAAAAAATAATTTTTTGCAAATTGAGAAAAATTCTTTTACATATTTACTTTGTATACCATAAAATCACTTTTAAAACTATGGTTTGATATCCATCTAAATACCTCAAAGGTGATATGCGAAGAATTTAAGCCTATTATGAAGCACTGAAAGGTAGGGATTAATATTGAGAGAGCTTACTAAGAACATTATTGGAACAGGTAGCATTAAAAATTTAATCTTAGAATTGGGATTTTTTGTGTCAAAATACCCTCCTTCCCTCCAAATAACAAGGATTTTTTAATAACAAAAAGTATTTAGATGGAATTAAAATCATGATTTTAAAAGTGCTTTTAACGTATACGAAATAAACATATGAAGGAGTTTACTTCAAATTGCAGGAAAATACTTTTAAAAAGCACCTTTCATGGTTGCCAAATAATACCAAAGTTGTTATAAGCTTTTTATAATTTATAATTAATTCAAAGGTAAAATTAACATAATTATTTTTTAAAATATTATTTTATATCAAACATACTTTTGAAGTTTAATTTCACTCCTAGTTTCACTACCATCCCCAATCCTATTCTTATTCTTTGCCCATCCAAATTAAGCTGCAATCACCAAGTCCAAACATGATCTAAGATCTTGCTTGGTATGCAGAATTTAATAAAAAAAGACAATACCTATATTTATTTTATTTTATAATTAATTATAAAATATAAAAGCACAAAGCACAGTGCTATCCTTTATAAAAAATAATAAGAAAATATGATATGCTATTTTATTTTAACAATATGTTTCAAAATAATTAGTATTAGTAATAAAAATAAAAAAAAATAAAAACTCCTTCAACGCGCAGCGTGCTGAGTCACCACCTCCACCTCCTCGTAGAAGATCCCAAACGACCTGTTGCCGGCGCATGCTTGATCCATCGAACTAATTCTGCTACATACGCTGCTCATCGATCAAATTCGCTTCCTTTATTCTTTCTTTCTTTTGGTTTTTCCGGATTTGTCATTCTCTCTCAGTCCAGAAACATGGGTTACGAAAACGATCCGTACGTCCCTCTGTCTCTTAAGGAAATTCGATTTAGGGTTTAGTTTCTGAGATTTGATTTTGGTTACTTTTCTTCTCTTTTCCTATATATTAGGTATCGGGATGAGGATGGAGAACCATTGATGTATGATGACGCGCAATCCGATCGCGAGCTCTCTCCTGAACCCCAACAGCAAGGACTATTCGACGATTTGGAGGAAGACGTCGATGATTGGCGCGGCCGAGAACGATCGCAGACTCCGGTATACGATAATGATTCGTCCATGTCAAAGGCGAAGCCTAGGAAGAGGCTTATCAAGAAAGGTGACACTGGGAGCCAGTCTGTGGCTCCGGAGCTTGTTGATGAGGATGAAGAAGCGGATAGTAGTATTCCGGCAAGTTTTATGAGGGACGGGTCTGAGGAGGGGGAAGGAAGAAAGAGGAAGGGGAAGGATGGGGGCAGTGGGAAGAAGGAGAAGAGGTACAAGGGGGAGAAGAGATTAGGTAGTAGCGGCAAAGGCGGCTCAAAACCTGGGTTACCGAAGAAAGGGTTTGCGGTTAAGGCAGGAAAGGATCATGATGGCGATGTCAAAGAGATGTGGGATACAATTGCTCGTGGGGACTCTGAGGTATTTCAATGTGAATTTTCATGTTAAACTCTGTTGATGATTGAAGAATATTACTAATATACTTTGGGTGGCGGAATGGAGTTTGCGGTTGCTGAGAGTTTCATTTGTTTAATATGTTCAGTGACTTTTAATGCTAAATTTTGCTTATCTTCAATTTTTTTCCCTCTCTCTTTTTAATTGAGCTCTACTGAGTTTTGACACTCAGTTGGTCCTCATCCATTCTTGTCTTTTGAGTGTGATCATTATTTGGATCACGCTGTTGATTTGTGAATAACTTGCTGATCAAATATTTATATTTCATTCAATAGGATGATCAGGAGGGCGTCAGGACAGTCGATGATGATAATTTCATAGATGACACTGGAGTGGAACCTGCTTTTTATGGCAGTGATAATGAAGCTGGTTCTCCTAGTAGATATGCCCAGGTTGATGATACAATCTCTTCACAATTTTTTCCATTTACCAGAATTCAGTTCCACTGTATTTGATTGTGTTATTCAACAATATATATTGCCTGGGGTATTGAGACCAGAATTTTGTTTGAAAATTTTTAGTTCAGTTTCGTTATTTTTCCTTGCTCCTATTTAAAATCCAATTTTATTAAATTAAAAGTTTTCCTCTGCTAGGCAGAGGAAGGTGAGGAGGATGATGAGATCAAGGAACTTTTCAAGATGGGGAAGAAGAAGAAGAAGAATGAGAGAAGTCCTGCAGAGATAGCTTTGCTAGTTGAGAATGTCATGGCTGAACTTGAGGTTACAGCTGAAGAGGATGCTGAACTCAATAGACAGGGGAAGCCTGCCATAAATAAGCTGAAAAAGTTGCCTCTTTTAACTGAAGTTCTCTCAAAGTACGCAACTGCTTGCCTGTTTCATATTTGCATGCGATGGTGTTCTGTTTGTGTTTCTTGTCTTCTCTTTAAATTGGTTCTCATTTTTTATTTTGAACTATTTTCAGGAAACAACTTCAACAGGAGTTTTTAGATCATGGAGTGCTGACTTTATTGAAGAATTGGCTTGAACCCCTCCCAGACGGAAGCTTGCCAAACATAAACATCCGCACAGCAATTTTGAACATTTTGAATGATGTACTCAGAGTTTCCCCCTTATAATATCTAAAATGCAGTAATTATTGACCGATACTATCTAGCACCTGATACATTTGTGATATCTGGCTTATGATATGTTGGTTTTTATGCAGTTTCCTATAGACCTTGAGCAGTATGATAGAAGAGAACAGCTGAAGAAGAGTGGTCTTGGAAAGGTCAGGTTACTTGTGCCCAACATTCCAAGTAGTTGAACCAACTCTCCCGCCTGCCCTTTTTTATTTTGAAAAATTGGAAAAGGTGGGCAATCATTAAGGCCTTGTAAATGGGAATAACATGTTTGACTTATGTATGGTGTCGACAGGTCATTATGTTTTTATCAAAATCTGATGAAGAAATCGGTGTAAATAGGAAGCTAGCTAAGGAGCTGGTTGATAAATGGGTAAGTAATGCTTGCCTAATAAAAGCCTGCTACATGTATATATTTTATCTACTCCCGGCTGTCGAATGTTCATGTTCTTATCATTATGTGTTAGTTAGCTTCCTCAGTAGAAAACTAGGATGTCAATTTTCTATTATTGAAGAAATGCACTTCCATTTATTCTTTTAGTATCTGTGTGCACCCATGCTGGTGCTTTTTTTTTTTTTAATGTGCTAATTACGTAGTCAACCATGTGTGGCATTTAATTCCCCTTGGCATCAAACATTGCGTTGATGGTCACCCCTTCAAGGGAATCTCCATGTGCCAAGTCTTTCAGTGGGTCTTGTTTGCTCCTCTGTAGACCCTACCCTGATGTTTACCCTTATGCCAACAATGGCAGATAGGTGCCATGGGACTGGTAGGTCGAAGCATGGGGATAAAAATGGATCCTGAGGATTTCCTTTTCTGTACACGTGTTCGTGTACTTTTATGTACAAGCGGTTTTCTTCCTTTAAACCATTGGAAATTTATGGTGAAAAATAAAGATGTGTAGAATTAACCTACAAAGTCATAAGCAGGCCTCCTCCCTTGTGATTTATGCTAAACTCGATCAATCAGAATGCAAAAGATATTTCTTCAAGAGGATGACGACCCCTTAATGAGAAGGGATAACAAGGAGACTCCTAAATAATGCTAAGCTCCTAACCTATAGTTAAATGATGAGTTCAACAGGAACTAATGATCTTTATGCAACTGTTGCATTGTGATTGCAGAGTCGACCTATATTTAACAAGAGTACAAGATTCGAAGACATGAGGAATGTGGATGATGACAGGATTCCTTTTAGAAGGCCATCGGTGAAGAAGTATTCTTCACTACAAGTTTTTTTAATTGCTTGGTCGACTGCAATATTTTTACTTCTCACCATGAGTTTTGTGATTTTCTTAATCTCATGTAGGCCTGCAAATAAAGCTTCAGGAATCGAATCTAGAGATGGTGATCTTGATTTGGAATTTTCACAGTAAGGCTAGGGCAGCATATTTGTTTTCTTGTAGAATAGTGGGACTGTGGATTGGGTAGTCACTAATGCATGTTTTTGATAAAAATTCAAATGTCATGTAGGCGGAAGTCTGGACAATCATCTACCAGACAACTCACAACTAGGCCAGAGGCAACACCATTGGATTTTGTGGTTCGTCCCCCATCTAAAGTTGACCCAGAAGAAGTTAGGGCCCGTGCAAAACAAGCTGCACAGGATCAGCACCGTATGAAGGTCTGTGCCTTTCTTGCATACACACTTTTTGAAAATAGCCTTTTGTGGATCTCACAATAATAGCGAACGCTTAAAGTTGAAAAGGGAATAATTTGAGCTGAGTGAATTATTGATTACAGATGAATAAGAAGCTACAGCAATTGAGGGCACCCAAAAAGAGGCAGCTTCAAGCCACTAAGTTGAGTGTTGAAGGTCGGGGTATGATGAAGTATTTGTAAATTCGACCACATTGATACTGGACGGATCTGTCCTTTCTGCGAGCCTTTTATAATGTACCACATTGATGTTGGGTGGATCTCTCGGTTGACCCTTCTATAATGGACGGCCACCCAGTGGATGATTATGAAAGAATCTGAGCAGCATCTATGATGATGACCTATTGGGAGAGCTTGTAGTTGTCAACAACGAAATGTTTGTTGGGGATGAGGTGAAATTTACTGCAGTAACTGCATTCATGAATTGCAGAGTTAACATTTATAATTGATGGTGTGGCTCTAGTTTTTTACTACATGCCTCCTTGAATAATTTTATGGATGTGAATTGTTAATGTTAGTTGATTCAAGTGACAGATTTTCTCTGCGTTATCTGTTCTATAAGTTATCAATGACCAACAATTCCTGTCACATCTTTCTTGCATGTTGCTCGTACTCAAATCTTGCCTTTGTTTCAACCAGACCATATGGGTGCCATTTGCAGCTTTTATTTGAATTTACAAGCGAACGTGCACATACCCTAATGGTTTAATTGAATGTGGGGTGCTAGTAATTTTTTCCTTTTGATAGTATGTCTGCCAGCTCCTAAACTCAAATCCGTAAAGCAATAAAGGCTGAGAAATAACAAATAAATGGTGTCGTCAAATTATGGGACTGACGCACGCAAGAATCCTATATAAGCAGTTTTAGGGCTTGTTTAGATCAGCGTTATAAAAGTACTTGTAAATATTTTCATACAAGTTGAGATAAAATTCTTCTTACAAACTTGTTTCATATTTTGTAAATTATATTTAAAAATTTACTTATAAATTATTCCAAATAAAGCCTTAGAACATCTTCCACCGCAGGTTTAGTATTTTACATTTAGATTCAATTTCAGTGTTCATCTGAACTATCCAATTTGAAGTGTTTAGTTCATAATTTTAAATAATTTTTTTTCCAGAATGATAGATCTCTATTTTAAATTCCGCGTCTATTAAAATAAAAATCTATTAAAAACACACAACATGAAATTTGGACGAGCCAGTTTTATTCCAGAACTCAGTCCTCTAAAATACAAGAAAGAAAATGCTGTACGCCATCCTCGTTCAAAATGGTTATAGGAGTGGAGTTAGCATAGGTATGTATGATGAAAAAATAGCATTTTATCATCTCTTTTGGTTAAATGAAAGCCAGTAACTACAAAACACTAAAAGAATAACTCACCAAAATTGATCAAAAAATGGCACGTGCAGCACCTGAGTGAAAGGACATTATTTTAAGAAAGATGTATTGTCTGAGAATATAATTCATTGGAGGGAGTTTCGGAGAGAACTTTGAGGGTCATCAGATTTGTTTGAAGCTGAAAGCCTTCCCCGCCCACTTATTCTGGGATCTTGAAGGAGACGATAACGATGATGAATGCCATGCCAAGAATTATAGGAAAGGCTTCACCCATCCTCAAATCTAGAACGAATTATACACTTTTCACTATACATACAAAGATCCAATTCAGCATGGTTTGACTACTAAACCTAGCCGAATTAGAAATGGAGTATGTTACAGCAGGTAAAACAGATCCTAAGACTCGTATATTAACTGCAAGTTCTAAAATACAGTTTGAACAACAAGCTATATTTAAAAAGAACTTCCTGTCGGTAATTGGTTAGTTGATATTCCTTAAAAGCAACAAACAGCATGGGAGCTAAATCTAATGACCATCCTTCACATCCTCCCCTTGCCCAGTCTGTTGAGGTTCATCACTCACATTTTCATCATTCCGGCTAGACCCAAGATCTTCTTTGCCATGTAATTCCCCCAGTCTCTCCTGGAGAATAATTATATTATAGATTATGTGAGATAGCATATTCAGATTATGCAAAATATGTTAACAAAAACTGAATCCAAGGGAAGTGCGAAGTAGGTAAGGTTAGGACGGCCATATTAGTCCTTCTAAGCCTCTTTAATGGGTTGAAACAGCGTCCAGACGCTATAGTTCATTGTTATATGGCCCTATCTTTCGACTCACCTCAAGTGCAGCGTTCTCCGAGAGCAACTGCTCACACTCACTCCTGATTCGACTCACTTCTGAACGGAGAGAAGCATTTTCTTCTTTCAGAGAATCAGCTCGCTGGGCTAGTTCCTCACATTCAGCCTGAATTCAGCGCACACAGGAGTTATAGACGCTAGAAAAGTAAAATGGGCAACAAGAAGTAGGATGGCAGATGGCTAGCAAAGTACTCTGCAATGACCTGCTTCCGCAACCTGGATCTGCGAGCAGATTCCCTGTTAGATTGCTTCCGCCTCTGTCTTTTAAGCTCTCTCTCATCCTACAGGTCAAGCAGGAAAAAGAAAGATTATAGAAAAGCTGTAAAGAAACCCGTACTACATACTTAAATCTTCATAAATCAGGCAGTAACTAGTATTAAAGGGGGAATCATACTTCAGCAAAAGATTCTAAGACATACCATCCAATTTAAAGGGAGAGCCATTAAACTTCCTAAAATATGATTTAGTTCAGTGAACAGCCATGATACTTTAACAAGGAAATAACCACAATCATGCCTGTTGTCAAATTAACCTGTGACCAAAGTTGTGACTGAACACCATCCTGTGATCCAGCAGTGACCATCCCCTCCCCAACTGCAGTAGAGGGAACCTTTCCATGTAGCACAGGAGTAGCCGAAGAAGTTGGTGCTCCCCAATAATCCATTCCTATGTTTAAGTTTGTTGTGGGACCAGGAACTGCTCCAGGAGCACCAGCAAGAGAGATAGGCATAGGTTGATTAATCCCTCGATGATGTGTATGTTCCCCATCTTGAGGAGGATACACCGCATTTTGAGATGCTTCAACTGTAATTCAGCAAAAAGGGTGAACTTCAGCCATGACAAGCACACTTTTTGGGTTCACAAATTGCAACACGTTTATAGAAACTGCTTTTAATAAGCAAAACATAACCACGCCTGACCTTCCAAAGAATCCTGCCGTCCCCCTGATTTGAACTCAGGGTCCTACAAAAATCACAACACTTATAATAGTTCCCTGGTGGTTGAAGAGCAAAACATGCTAATAAATTATTGAAATGTCCCCTCTATATCTAGAACATAATAGAAACCTTTCCCAAGAATCAACCAAAATTGTCTTAGGATTAGATTGCAATGCAGGCGTACATTGCTTGCTTTAAACTACTGCCTGTCCCTGATTTGAACTCAGGGTCCTACAAAAATCACAATGCTTGGGACAATATCCAGGCAATCGAAGACCCAAAAACAAAAAAACTAATAAATTATTTAAAACATCCCCTCTAGAACACGATAGAAACCTTTCCAAGAATCAACCTATATTGTCTTAGGATTACATTGAAATGCAGGCCAACATTGCTTGCTTCAAACTACCATAATGTTTGCGCATGAACGTGTGATTTTCCCGAGTTGTAAATTTAAGCCATTAAAATATTATTTACCTTTAGTAAACAGCAGTTTCTTTCAGAACCATGCAAAGCATACTTTTGCTGTCAGGATAGCAATCCCACAGAAATTACCTCTAGGCAATCAATTAAAAGTCAACAATTCATTTGGGTCTTCATTCTTATATCACTCAAAACAATATTGCTGAATAAAAACACAAGAAAATTTGCTCTACAGTTTATTTCACTGGTCTCATACTCTTCCCAGTTCATAATTACTGAAAAAGTCTATCAACATATCTTAACCATATGGTAGCAAATAAATAACTGATACAGCACTTACATCCTGAGAATTTGCATCACTTTCATCACTCGTATCTTCACTTGCACTCTCCCCACTGCAAATCCAAGTTAGCCTGTCAGCAAATATATCCAGTATGCAACGGCAAGCCAATGCAAAAGGCAGGCTAAAAAACAATCCATTTATAACATAATTAACTTCCTATGGTTGACATTTCAACACAATTGGTAAAAAGAACAAAAGAAAATTCTCAGGCATCTGACGGAAAATTCTATTCATACAATCCAAATTATATAATAAAGCCAACTGCAATTCTAAAAGAAAGCATCCCTACCATTTCATAATCTGCAATACTATTACTGATTCAATCAGACAAATTTCGAAGGGGTATAAATGACGGAAATTAGAAACCTTCGGAAGCTCTTGTTGGTTTTATTCCTAACTATCTTACACCCACAAACCTGACACAAGTAATCACAACAATTTGAAAGTAGATCAAGCACAAGGTCTACAGTAGTTTTAGTCAAATTATTCCCCTAACTTCTCTTTGAAACAAATGGAAGGGCAAATAGTGATGGAGGGAAAATTCATTATTAAAAAGAAAAACCTCCAAGAGTGAAATATTTCGTGGTTGTATGGCTATTGTACTGAGGTATAGGCATACTTCAACAACTGGATTGATTACCACATTACATTGTACCTTTTAGGATGACTTCCATTAGCAGACATCCTTGGTGTTTTACCTAATTCATTATTCTTCCCAGTGGTCACATTCAAACCGCCCAAATTTCCTTTTGATCTTTTTATTGGCAATTTTCCCTTCACTTCAGGAATCTTAGCATCACCTCCCATGCTGGCGGGTATATTTTCCTGCATTTAAACTTGGGGTCAAATTTCCCGTATATAAACAAAAACAGGCTCTTTGCAGAAGAAGAAAACCAGAGATGCAGAGAGAAGAGAGAGGGAGGGAGGGAGGGAATGCATGAGAAAATACTCACAGCTTCAGCAATACCATTAGAAGCAGGCATGGCAAATGGACTGAAAGGATAAGATCCCTGTACAAATTCATGGCAATTGTCAAGTGTAACAATTTCTGAATTAGAGATTATAATTCCATAAAATAACTTCAAGAAAGCATGATGTACAAGATGATACCGGAGGTATTGATGGACGGGCACATATTCCGCCGGGGGGATACATTGCAACATAGGGATGTGGTGGAGTACCATAGGGAGGCATAATATGCTGCAAGAAAGAATTTAATCAGTGAAAGAAGAAAAAATGATTGAAAATCCATCCCATTTGTGCCACAAAAGGATACTTCTAGTACATAACACAAAAAAAGGATGACATTAAGAGCTAAAGGGACCATTCAACAACATATGACCAAAATCTGAATTATTTATGCTCCATGCATGTGTGTTGCACAAACCTGGGCACCCCACACATACGGATGGGCATGGGGACTTGATGCCAAGTATCCATGCGGAGGCATAGGAGGATATGCCTGTAAAATGAAGCCAGAAGAACTCAAGCTAAAACAAGACGAGATACGCCAAAAAAGCTTTTAATTATAAACCTGATTACCTGAAAGCTAGACCAGTCAGGATTTATTGTTCCAGCGCTGGTAGTTGAAGGCTGCTCCTGGATAAACAAAATTTTATGGCGTCACGTAGAAAGAACTGGTAAATCACCAATGCCGTAATTGATAAAATAAGAGAAACCTAGCTGGACCTGTGAAGTAGCAGGAGGTGTCTTAGGCTCCTTCTCTTCTGAACTTTTATTCATCTCACTACTACCCATGCTTTAATAGCACGTTACGAAATTTCGCACTAAAGCATCCTGCGCCATAAACTTGACTTCAGTTACAATAAAGCTCAAGAGGCATTGGTCTCCGGTCACACTAAGTTCCACATTGAGAAGTTAAGCACTTCAGGCAAAACACTTAAAGCACATGCTTCATGCTTCTACCCTGAAGGATGCAAATTATCCTAGCACCAATTTATATAGCAATCTCATGTTACCTCCGAAGCAAGCATATCGCAAACAAATTTTGTTCACCTCTACAATAAAAGTAGTTCAGTAATCTGTACCAAATTGGACGAGGTGACCCCAGCCAGAACCCCATCATTCAACAAACTAGCTTGTACTTAGAGTACTGAGTGAAATTCATACAAAATAATATCAATATACAAATTTCAACTCAGAAGGGAAAAACAACTGTAATCACCACTCGGAATTGGGATTCTTCGATGCAGAATCAAGATCTGGGCACTGTGGAGTAACGAAACCAAGTGAAAAGAGCAGAACTTCAGGTTTGAAAATACAGCAGGGAGATAATCGTCCTTCGGTATGACAGAATTAGTTGATAAGGTAACACAGCTTTGTCAGATCAAGAATTAGGGCTTTTTTTGTTTTTTTGTTTTTTTTGGGTCTTGTTTGTGGTTAAGTTTGTTGGGATGTTGACGGAGGGAAACACAACGGTCGCCCCACGGTGTCCCCGTCCAGCAAGTTATGGTTCCGATTTCCCCCCGGGTGAAAATCCCCCGTTTTCCCGCAGGGCCAACAAATTACTTGCGCCACATGTACTTGCCATTGTTTGCCCGGGGGAATGACAAACAAAACCGTGGAAATTGCAAGATTTTATGCCAGGATTTATGACAATATTTTTTTTTTAAAATAGTCTTTCTAATAATAAAGTTCTAATTAATATACTTGATTAGTAAAGATATTTTAGGAAAGATAATACCTATTTAGGATAAATAACTAATTCAACTTACTTTTTTAATCTCTTCAAATTAGTCAATTGGCTTTTATAATTAGGACTAGATGTAATATTTTTATAAAAACACTTGATTTGAAATTTTACAATTTTCATGGTTTTTTTAATCATTTTCCCTCGTTTATATATAATTTATATATATATTGGCTTAATAAATTCACTTTCTATGAAAATATATAGATGAGAATGTATAATCAATTTGTTTCATTTTATATAATTATAAACATTTGTATATGTTATAATACTTATCAAAAGGAGGAAGTACTACTTCCGGTTCTTAATATAAGATCATATTTGACTTTTATTTTGATCCTAAATATAAAACCCCAATCTACTTTGTCTCTCATATTTATATATTTTTTCCAAAGTAGCCCTTCTAACAATGATAGTTCTAATCAACGCATTTGATTAACAAGGATATTTTAGGAAAGACAACACCTATTTATGATAAATAACTAACTCAACTTACTTTCTTAATCTCCTCAAATTAGTCAATTGGCTCTTATAATTAGAACCGGAGGTAATATATTGTTATTAATCGCAAATAATATGATTTATCTTAATTTCTCCGAAAAAATCTAGTCATACTAAACTTCGTATAGGTTGTGTCGAGCATGGGATAAAAGGCTGGTGCGTAACTGCCGAGTGCAAAATGGACTATGGTCTACGAGGTTAAAATACTCTGAACTACGACTGAATTACAAAGACCTAATTGAAAATAATTTATAAACAGCTTTTTAATCATGATTTATGAAATATATGAGAAAAATTTTATCTTGACTTACATAAAATATGTTTATAAATGATTTTAAACATGATTTCAAATAGGGCTGTTCATGGGATCGGGATAGACCCATCTCGGTTCCGTCCCGATGAACAGTAACGGGACAAAAAATCTGTCCCGTGTCCCGACCCGTCCCGGGGTTGTCTCAATCCCGGTCGGGACGGGACCGGGACGTCCAGAAGTTTTTTTTAATTTTTTTAAAAATTTTAAAAAAAGTATGATTTTTTAATTATATTTTTTTGGGTTTAAACCTTATAAAAACATCTTTTATTTTCTTTTTTATTTGTTTGGGTACTCTTAAACAAAAGCTTAAAATATTACATATAATAGTCATTAAAAACTCTAAACAAAAGCTTTTAATACAATAAAAACTTGCCAAAAATTCTAATCATCAATAATCTCAAATAATTAACAAATATAAAAACTCTAAATAAATATATCCATAGTTCCATACAATAGTCTCAAATAAAAAAATTAAAAATAAAAATAAATAAATAAAAATAAAATAAAAAAAGGAACCGGGACGGACAACCCCGTCCCAATTCTTTTTTTGGTCCCGTCCCAAAAAATTTTGGACAGATTCGTCCCGTCCCAATAAGACTGGAACCGGGATGGGCTAATCGAGACGGGCTGGTCTTGAACACCTCTAATTTCAAATAATACCGAACTATGAGTGGCAAAAAAGAACTAGGAAGTATGGGGTAAGAAAAGTGGACTATGGAGTAATACGATTAGCCCACATCTAATTTTGTGGCCCAAATGATACCAAGCATCTTTTTTAAGACTTTCTTAAACATGAGGTTATAAATTGAAGTCCTTTGTATAAGATACATGGATGGTTTAGCTATAGACTTATAATTAGAAAAGGAAATATTTCCTTGACATTTCATTAATTTTTGTAAGGAATATGATCTTATAAATATTAAATATAACTGAGAGGATTACGGTATCATCATTGGTTGATGTGGATATACACACACCCCCCTCCTGTTCTCTATTTAATAATGAATTTTTAAAACTAAGCGTTTGGATGAATAAAAAAACACTTTCAAAAATGTATTTTTACACATTGAAAAAAACTCCTCATATACTTATTCCGTATATTATAAAATCCCTATTAAAATTATGATTTAGTTCCTACCTAAACACTCTAAATTTAATTAGGAAGACATACATGTTAAGTTTTATAGTTTTTAATTTTTAAATAATGGATTTATTCTTTAAAAAAAAGTGGCAATGAAAAAAGTATTGCATACAGATAAAAATTTTAAAAAAATAGAAGAATAAAATAAAATAGAATCTGAACCGTTTAATTATAATCTGAGTGGTTCAAGTGAATCCATTATGACAAAGATACATACAATACAGCTTCGTTTGACTGTCCAACAAGCTAAATTAGAAATGGGGAATGGTACATTACAACAGGAACTGCAGAACGCAGATACAGTGAGACTTAACATTGATGGTCAGTTCTAAAATCAAATTTGATATACAAAGCTATCTAAAACAAGAACTCGCCGTTGTTACTTGGTTAGGTTATATTCCTGAAAAGCCACACTCAGCATGTAGCTAAACTCTACTGATCACCTTTCACAGCCTCCCCCGTCTGCTGAGCTTCGTTACTGGCATTTTCATCATTCTGGCCTGGCCTAAAATCTTCTTTCTCAGGAAGTTCCCCCATTCTCTCCTGTAGAATCATTATATTATAAATCATGAGAGACAGCACTTCAGGGTTCAGATTGTGCAAAAATGTGTTCAAGTCATAATAACAGAACCCTACAGAGCAGAGAAGGTTTTGTTCTTTCTTTCTTTCTTTTTTAATTTCTTTCAATTAGAGAGGTAGGCACTAAGGTTCTGTTTGGTACAAAACATTAAAAATGAGGAATAATAACTAGGATTGCAATTAGAAAAAAAAATTAAAAAAGTCTTTTCTCATGAGAGATTGGTTGTTAGATAGGATTAGATAGATATTCCCCAATCCTATCTCCATGGGCTTGTCTAATCTCATATAACAAGCAATCTCTCATGCTAAATACTCTTTGAATAGACTTTCTCAATCCTACTCCCAATTCTCATTTCTCATTTTTAATGTCTCGTACAAATCATAATGGCCTGAAGCTAGTAGCAGAATCGGACCCTTGACCTCTTGCTATGAAGTTTTCGTGCTACTAGGAGGCTATTGGCTTGAAAGTAGATTTTGTTAAAAGGGCTATTTTAGTCCCTTTAGGCCACTTTTGTCAGCTGAGTCAGCGTCTCAATGCTATAATCTACTGCTTTCACCCTATCCTCTGTTGATTGTCACTTGGTGGAGGCAGTGAAAACCAAACACAAATATCAAACCACATTAATTTTTCATGATCACCTTGAGTACAGCATTTTCTGAGAGCAACCGTTCGTACTCGCTCTTAATTCGACTCACTTCTGACCGGAGAGAAGCGTTTTCTTCTTTCAAGGCCTCAGCACGCTGCGCTAGCTCATCACACTCTGCCTGAAAACAAGAAGCACAGAGAGGAATTACACACAGTAAACGTATAATCATACAACCACAAGGAGGGCGGTTTCTTGAGTACTCTGAAACGACCTGCTTGCGTAACCTGGATCTGCGAGCTGATTCTCTATTAGATTGCTTCCGTCTTTGTCTTTTAAGCTCTCTTTCATCCTACAAGTCAAAGCAAGAAAAAGGAAATATTACTCCAATAAATACCTATAAACTTAAAGTTTTTATCATGCAGACTATTCTCACAGAACTCTGTCTTTCATCCAAAAGACTATTTTACCCCCTCGACATATCTTAGAATTCATGTATAACAGACTTTTAAACACGAAGATATTGACCACATGATCACTTGCTTGTAATCATTTAATTTTTCTAAAATTTGGCTTGCAAGAACAATATGATAATTACACGTGTTATCAAGAGTTATCAGGTGGTTTAACAACGCCAAGTCTTAAGCAGGAGTCAATGGATCCTAATATTTCAGCTCCTATTAGAAAGGAAAGCCAATGAAACTTCCTAAACATGATCCAGTTCAGTGAACAGTCATGATGTTTTAACAAGGAAATAGTCATCATCATGTCTGTTATATTAACCTGAAGCCAAAGTTGTGACTGAACATTATCCCGGGATCCAGCAGTAACCATTCCCCCAGCAACTGCACCAGAAGGAACCTTTCCGTGCAGTGCAGGAATTGCAGCAGAAGTTGGTGCTCCCCAATAATCCATTCCAATATTCAGGTTTGTCGTGGGACCAGCTATAGGAGCACCGGGGGCAGATATAGGCATAGCTTGATTAACCACCTTATGATGTGTATTAACTCCCCCATTTTGAGGAGCATGCACTGAACTTCCATTTTGAAGTGGTTCAGCTGTAATTCAACAAAAAAGGTGAAATTCAGTTGAAAGTAGCAAACTTATGGGTGCACAAATAGCAGTACTACATTTATAGAAATTACTTCAGAAAGTCAAAACATAGCCATGTCAGACCTTCCGAGGAATTATGCCTGCCTCCTGATTTGAACTCAGAGTCCTACAAAGATCACAACAACTATTATAATCTCCTGGCAGCTGAAGAGAGAAAAACACCAAAAAAGTATCTAACTTATCCTCTTTTTCAAGCACACACAATAGGAACCGTCTACAAATCAACCTAAATTGTCCAAGGATTAAATTGCAAGAAGGTCCATGTTACGTCAAACTATAATATTCCTATGCACGAACATGCAATCACTCAGAGTTGTACAACTATGGCATTAAAATATTATTTACATAAAAGTAAACTGTAGTTCTTTTCAGAACTATATATGGCTTAACTATTGCCCCAATGTAGCAATCCTACAGAAACTAGATTTAGGCATTATATTAAGAGTCGCCATTCATTTTGAGTCTTCATCCTTATATCACTCAAAACAAATATTACGGGATAAAGACACAAGAAAAAATACCTTGAGTTTTTTTTTTTTTCACTGTTTTTATACATCTCATACTTCATCAAGTTTATAATTAGTAAAAAATCAGTTTTATTATCAATACATGTTGTCCATACAGTTAACATATACACAGGAGGCAAAACACTTACATCTTGAGAATTTGCATCACTTCCTTCACTTGTATCTTCACTTGCACTCTCACCACTGCAAATCCAGGGTCTGACAATCAACAAAATTATCCGGTATGCAATTGCAAATGGAAAAACAATCCAGAGTTTAACACATACCCTCCACCTTCTTCTTGGGAAAAAGAGATCTATAACATTATGAAGAAGTTTAAACTCTATTCTTCAGTGATTTTCAAAAATAAGATATCTTGATTGTCTTCAATAGGCATCTGCTTCTGAATGTCAGACCTCCACATATCTTTTCAAAATTTTCATGGTTCTACTTCCCTTTCAAATCAATATGTTCATTCCCCTAACATTTTCTAAGGTTTTACTTTTCTTTCATGTTTAGAAAATATTGAAATACTTAAATTGTAGAACATTAGAGGAAAAAAAAAGATGCATAATTTGACATCCGATTGATCCCCATACAACATTGTACCTTTTTGAATGAATTCCATTAGCAGACGTCCCTGGGTTTTTACTAATTTCATTATTCTTCCCCGTGATCATATTCAAATTGCCCAAACTTCCTTTTGATCTTTTTACTGGCAATTTTTCCTTCATCTCAGGAGGCTTAGCATCACCCTCCATGCTGCCAGGCGTGTTTCCCTGAATTTAAACTCCCATGTTAAATTTTCCTCACTTGAACAAGGACAGGAGCCATACAGAAAAGGAAAACCAGAGGTATGGACACACACACACACACAACAAAGAGAAAGCAGGAGTAAAGAACTTACTGAAGCCTCAGCAATACCATTAGAAGTAGGCATGGCAAATGGACTGAAAGGATAAGATCCCTGTACCGATTCATGGCAATTGTCAAATAATAATGACTGAATTAGAGATTATAATTCTTTACAATAACTCCAAGAAAGCATAATTTACAAAATGTTACCGGAGGCATTGATGGATGAGCATATATGCCGCCAGGGGGATACATTGCAACATAAGGATGCGGTGGAGTACCATAGGGAGGCATAATAGGCTGCAAGAAAGAACTAAGTCAATGAACCAAGGAAAATAATGGAGAATTTATGCCACATGTTATTAAGTATTAGTAGAGGTATTTACAAGTTCATGACACGTATGAAAACGTATGATACTGCGTGCATGGTATGCAAGCAAATTTCACAGATGGAGAATTATCGTTGTAAATATGAAAACAAGATTATCAAAAAGTCTTTCTTTAAGGATCCTATAAAAATGAAAAATTTAAGGCATACCAGAATATTGTAAAGTAAAAAATTCAGATCTACGGACTAGATGCAAGGGTGAGAGAGAGAGAGAGAGCAGAAGCAATGATATTAATATCAACATTACAAGTTGCTAAAAGTGCTCAAGAAGTCTACAATTCAACTCAGAGATTGAGACCCAATGTATATTACGTTATCTTACAGATGAATTTGATGAATCATAATTTCTGTGATAAATACCTGGACGCCCCACATATATGGATGTGCTTGCGGACTTGATGCCAAGTATCCATGTGGAGGTATAGGAGAATATGTCTGCAAAGAAAAGCAGTACGGTGAAGTCAGGGATAGACGAAACAAGTTATGCCAACAAAAGCTTATAATTATAAACCTGAAAACTAGGCCAGTCAGGATTTACTGCTCCAGTGCTGGTGGTTGAAGGCTGCTCCTGAATGAACAAAAATTTTTGGCGTCACATGGAAGGAACAGTAAACCGCCACTGGGATTATAGATAACACAAAAGAAACCTGGCTAGACCTGTGCCGTAGCAGCAGGAGTCTTAGGCTCCTTGTCATTTGAAGTTTTATCCATCTTACTGCTACCCATGCCTTAATACCAGTACCTCAGAAAATTTTGTATCAAACCATCCTGCACCATAAACACTTTGGTTACAAGGAAGCTTAAGAGGCATTGATCTCCTATAAAACTAAGTTCCACGATTGAAAAGTTAAGCCCTTGAAACAAAACACTTCAAGCGGATGCTTCTATTCTCGATTACTCCACAAAAGAGTTATGACCTTCGTATTGAACGAAGGATCTATTGACGGAAAATGAACCAACGGATTACTCCCTTGTTCATTCCCTGATGATACAAATTATGCAAGATCCAGTTTCTCTAGCTATCCTACGCTACCAAGCTAGCACATTACAGAAAAGTTCTGTTTACCTCTACAATAACAGTAGTGCAATAATCTTGTATCAATTTAAAGCAGGTGGCGACAGCATACCCTAAACAAACCGGGTGAAACTACCAAATACACGGAGTGAAAGTAATACACAAAAACAGCCATATAAATAATTCAATTCGAGGAAGGAGAATAACTGTAATTACCACTTATAAACTGGGACTCCTCAAAACAGAAGCAAAATCTGATGCCCCAGGAAAATGAGAGCAAGCAAAAGGTGGGATTGAGACTCGAAAGAAAATTGGCAGATAATTAATCTGTCAATCCAGAAATTTACTTGACTATGTATAGCAAGAAGATAGTCTCCATTTTTCTATCACAAAGTGAGTCGATAAGGTGATACAGAACAGAATCAGATCAAGAATTGAGGGGCGTTGTGTTTGGTTTAAGTTTGCTGGGATGTTCACGGAGAGAAACAGTAACACAGAGGTCGTCGTACGGTGTCACTGTCCAGTGAGTTTTTGGTTCTAATTTTCCACGCGTAGTGAAATCCCCATTCTCTCCCCGTGCAGGCATATTTATTTCTTTTTGACGGTGTTTTTTTTAATATAAAATTTAATTAACTCATTTTTAAAAAAATTTAAATAAATTATTTTAAAATATTTCATTTATCATTCTTTTAATTAATTTATTTAACTTATAAACTAATATATAATTTAATAATACACATAATCATTTTTTTGCTATAATTGAATATTTTTTAGATTTTTTAAAATTAATTAATTGACTCTAAGAAAAATATGAATACATTGTAAGAGGAAAGTATCAAGATCCTAAACTCTCCATCTCTATGATGACTTCGGTTAATATCAAAAAATGAATCCATCATATTGTTATCTGAACTTTGTGTTGTAATCCCACCAATTCTATTTATAAGCTTTAAATTTAGAATTTCTCTAAATATTTAGGTTTGGTGGTTTAGTATGAAGCATTGAATCTCTTTAGTATGATTAATTATATGTTGTATGGGATTAAACAAATTTATAGAGGTAAGATTAAAAAATATCATATTCTCTCATAATATTTGCTGATTCCACGTACACAGATTTGTCCAATTCCATATAATAAGTAATTTATTATATTAAACACTCTTTTAATAGATTTTTACAACCACAAGCCTAATCATTATCCCTCATTTTTAATGTTTCGTATCGAAATGTTTCATATCAAACAGGATATTAATGCATTTTTTTAAATTTTGTCTTTATTTATTTATTCTCTCTCATTTACCAAACTCTCTTACCATATTTCTTCATGCATTCTCTTTATTCTTTTTCTAACAAAACTATATTTTTAACATAATTATTATTTTTAACTAATTTTAACTTATTATTTGTAAAGTAATTATTTAAAATTTATGATAAAGATGGGAGGGAATAATTGTATGTATTTATTTTTGTCCTGAAAAAGACCTAGGGGGTGTTTGGCAAATAGCAATTTTGAAAAGTATTTTTCAAAAACACTTTTTTACAAAACGAAACAAACACCCCCTTAATACCCATTGATTATGAAGACCTACAGTGGTTGGCAATAAATTTAGTTTTTTTTTAATTATTTGAATGAGGTACATATAGATAAATATTATAAATGCTAATAAAAAATTTAAAAGTTTTCTCATTTTCCCTTCCCAGTTTTTTTTATAATTAATAAAAAAACGAATAATTCCTAAACTTTGATAAACCGATTGATTTGGTGTGATTTGGTTTTTTCCAAAACTAATAAAATAAAATCTGTAAACACTCCTATTAATATAATCAAGGATTAATATTACTGTTGGTCTTCACAGTTTAATCTAATTTCAATTTTGGTCTTTATAGTTTTAAACCATTAATTTTTGCCTCATAATTTCACAAGTTTAAATATAATAATCAAAACCAAAAATCATTAAAAAAATATAAAGGAAAATCCTGATTAAATCCAGTTAAAATATCAAAATTCAGATTAAAGCCTACATTTTTAATAAATTCCTAATTATAAAATTGAAGAGATTAAAACCAATTATTTAAAATTATGAGGACTACAAACAAAATTTGGTCAAATTATGAATACTGACAATAATATTAACCTTATAATTGACTAAATCATTTAGATTTGTAACAATTTTTTAAATATATTTACAACCACAATTTTGATATTAATAAGTTTTTTAACTTGATTTTGATATATTTGTACTTGATTTTTCTTGATTTAGAACTAACAAACGCATTGTATGTGATGAGTTGTTTCTTTTTTAAAAGGAAAATTTAGAAAAGGTCTCTTATTAAAAATTGTTATTGCTAAGTATTTCACTGTTATTCTGATTTGGCTTTTATCAATTCTTACCAATAAAATTTTTAATAGGAAGTTTTATTTTTTTAATTTTTTATTCTTTAAACCTGTCATGTAATTCTCCGTATCTAGGATCTCAAAGTGCAATTATCTGTCCCACGCCCGAACCCAGATAAAAATTGGAAATAGGATTGAACCGACGCCGTATCCAAATCGAAAATACAAGGTGCTTCCTTGGCTCCCCTTTCTGCTGCGCTTCGCAGGCCTTTCGCTTGCTCGCGAAGACGCGAACGATGGAGGAAGAAGCAGAGCAAGAAAAAGAAGCTCTCCGCCTTAAAGCCATCGCTGAATCCAAATACAAGAGTTCCAACCTCAGCTCTGCTTTGAAACATGCCAAGCGAGCCCAACGCCTTGTTCCTGACCTCGATGGTATTTCCGAAATGGTCACTTCCTTAGACATCCTCAGTGTGGCCTCCAAATCGTCCACTCCAGACTGGTACGAGATACTCCAGGTCGAGCCCTTTGCTCACTCCAACGTCATTCGGAAGCAGTACAAGAAGCTAGCTTTGATTCTTCACCCGGACAAGAATCCCCATGCGGCTTCCGAGGAGGCGTTCAAGCTCGTTAATGAGGCGTTCCGATTTCTTTCTGATAAAATTCGGAGGAAGGAATACGATATGAAGCTGAGGATTCGGATTCAGAATGAGGCGACGAAGGGTTCAAAGCAGCAGTTGGAGACCTTCTGGACAGCGTGCTGCACTTGTCGGCTTCTGCATCAGTTTGAGAGGAAGTATGTGGGTCATAATTTGGTGTGCCCTAGTTGTAAAAAGAGTTTCAAGGCTGTGGAGGTTGAGAATGGTAAGGAGTCTGAGGAGGAGGAGGAGGAGGAGGAGGAGGAGATGAGGGTTAGGAATAGAAGTAGGAAGTTGAGAGTTGCGAGCTTGAGGAAGAAAGTTGGTACTGTTGGCAAATCACCGACCGTGAAGGGGAAAGCGAGCGGCGAAGAGGTTGAACCTGTGACCAATAAGAGTGGAAGACTAAGGGACAAAGTTGGAGGCGTTGAAGCGAGACATGGGGAATTAGAGAGTGAAGGAGCTGTTGGTGAATGGAGGGGGGGAAGACTGAGAAGTGGAGGCTTGAAGAGGAGAATGAGCACTGTGGGGGATGTGCTGGAAAGGTCCAAAACAAAGAAAATTATAACTCGCGAGGAAACGATGACATTAGCGGAAATGCAGTCTGAAATCAAGAAAAAGGCTCAGCAAAAGAGGAAGATGACATTTAAGCTAAGGGAAAAGGAGGGGGATAGAACAGAGAAGAGGAAAGAGCAGGAGGAATTACGGAAGGCTTTAAAAAGTTCCAGGGGTTCGGTGGCTGTCAAACCAAAAAGTTTGAAGAGCGGGAAGCTAGCAGCTGAGGAGAAGCAAGCATCTCCTGCTAAAAGTAAAGAACTGAAAATCGAGAAGCACAACAACTCTATCGGAGGAGACATGGAAAATATGGCAGTAGAGGATTCAGATTTTTATGATTTTGATAAAGACAGAGTAGAGAGAAGCTTTAAGAAGGGCCAGGTGTGGGCTGTATATGATGACGACGATGGAATGCCGAGGAATTATGCTTTGATTGATGAAGTTGTATCTGTAAATCCTTTTGAAGTAAGAATAAGTTGGCTAGATCTACAAAACAGTGGGGATGAAAAGATAACTAGTTGGGAGAAAAGAGGGTTTCGTGTATCTTGTGGGAGATTTAAAGTTGCCAGGAAGACTTCCATAAATTCTGTAAATATCTTTTCCCATGTTGTAGACTGTGAACAAGCAGCTCGTGAAGCTTACATAATTTATCCAAAGAAGGGGTCTGTGTGGGCACTTTATAATGAGACAGTTCCTGGTATAGAGGGAAGAAGTGTTGCAGTTCCGAGCAAGAGGTGCTATGATATTGTTGTATTTTTGACGAGTTATAATGAGATAACTGGATTAAGCATGGCATATCTGGGGAAAGTCACAGGTTACAAGACGATATTTAAGAGACAAGAAATGGGGAGTCATGCTATTACATATCTTGAAAGAGATGATTTCTGGTCAGTGTCACATCAAATACCTGCACGGAAGCTTTCTGGCACTGAGACTCCTGAACTTTTGAGAGACTCTTGGGAACTTGATCCTGCTTCACTTCCTTCAGATTTACTTGGGCTTAATGGGACTATCAATCTTTGACAGATTGCTGAGCTTTGGACTTGCAAGCTATTGGGAGGCATAATTTTTGTTTGAAAGCCTGACTGATTTGTATAGCTTTACTTGATTGGTTGTGCAGGTTCAGGACATATTCACCATTTTTTTTTTTTTTTTGGTTCTGCTTAACTCACAGTGCACAGTTCAAAATTTTCCTGTTCATAATCTTGTTAATGTGCTTAAAACAATGGTATTCTCATCGAGCTGGTGGGTTTTTGGATGTATGGACGTACTCATACTTTTGGTGGAATTCATCATATGACACATCTGACAGATAGCAAAGTTTATAGATCTTTGATGCGGAGAACCTTTAAAAGGTGGTCTAGGAGCATGTGCAGGTTTTTCTGTTTTGGAATTTGATGTCTTACAATCATGGTTGATGGGACTCTGTCACAGCTGTTTACTTGAGACCTTGAGGAAGGAATGCCCTTAATTCTTTTCCCATGTTTTACTAATTGAGTTAACCGGGTGAATTTGCCACTCCTATGGCAAGGTGTTAATGGTTTTGTGCTCAGATTATGCTCTAGCGCCCACTTCAGAAGGGTGAATTTACTCAGAAGTTGTTCCTTGTGAAGTTTTTGAATATATAACTCAATTGCTATGTAAACCTCAACTTAAAGGTGGCAGTGTCTTGATGCTTGCTTTATATGGAGTCAAATCCGATTTTGATGGCTAGACTTGATGAAATGTATTAATTTGGTGCATGAAAGGATATCCTTCTTGAAATATTCCTTGATTTTCTTGCTAGAACCTTAAAAGGGCTAAGTTACGATTATATTTGAGATACTCTAGCCTAAGCTTGAAGAATTTCTATATGACTATTTTGTGAGTTTCCTTTATTTGCAACAGTTCAATACTGGGTTTTTATTAAGGGAGAATTACATTCAAGTCCCACACAAGAGAAATAATCACTACAAAGTCCCAAGTAACAACTTGAACAGTCTGAAATAACAAGTCTTATAGTGAGAATGACAACCTCTGGGACTTGTTTTTTAATTACTTAGGACCTCATTGTAATTCTCCCTTTTATTAAAGGGGCTGACGGTTGCAATTTCGCTTGAGAAGCTTGAAGAATTTCTATATCACTATTTTGTGAGTTTCGTTTAATTGCAATAGTCTTTCTTTCTTTCGTTCTTTTTTGTACTTTTTATTACCTGTGCGTGGTAATGATTATTGTGTCCATATTTTTTCCGGTAATTTCTCCTTCCACTTTGAAGTACAAAGGCTCAGTCTGATATACTGAAACTCCAATTTTCTTGGTTGTGTTAAATTAATTTCTTGTTATTGAAGAATCTACAGATATCTTAATATCAGCCAGGTAATTGCTTTAGGAAATCCCATAATACTCTTACCTTTACTTGTATATTACTATATCATATGTTACTTAATCATGGGATATATAAATCTGGATTGCTAAGAATTCATTGTACCAGCAACATATGAACTTCTAAGGTTGAGATTGCTATATGTTACGTATCCCTTATACAACTTATTCCGTCGTATTGGTGTGTATTTTCTCTGGATCAAACGATAAGCTGTATATTATCCCCTCGTCTGAAGTATTCATTCTCTTGCTGGATATTATATTCTATTCCATTTCCTTGTGGAACGTGAATGTGTTGTTTAATCCTAATTATTTGCTATGATGACCAACTGGCTCAACTCTATAATTCATACTGAATGTTGATTGTCACCGAAGTACTTAAGGTTCATTTTTGGTGGGTTTTGTCACGACTCCCTGCAATATTGGAGAGAAAGATACATATATCCTTGCCCATTAAAAGCTCCCCAACACAAGTTCCTCGACATTTCTTCTTAATATATATGCTCTGACTTCTGGCTTGTAATAGCAAGTACCATAACTGAGGTCCAATAAACCAATGATCTTTGATTTACACTGATAATTTATTATTCAGTTGCAGCTCACATTCCATGTTTGGAACGGTCTGCAGACCCGGGTTGGAGGACACTGACACAACTTCAGACGACTGAAGTCTGAAACAACGTCTTGAAGGACCTGCAAGGCATCATTATATCTTTGCCCGTAGGATAGGGGCTTGAGATTTGAAAAGAAGTGCCTCAATAGTCAATATCTGGAATGTTGAAATGTATGTTTCTGGTATAAAAGTAATCATATTCCTATGATATACATGTGCGGTTTTGAATGCCCTTCTTTGAGAGATTTAAGATCTTTAAAATTTGGTAAAAAGGAACTGAGCTACATGCATACTTCCCTGTGTTATCGTCGTTCCATGTGATCCATCTTTCGATAACAAATGAACCCAAAAAAAAAAAACGAAGGAAAAAAAAACCAGAATTATGCTAGATGGGTGACCAGAGTATAGACGTATTTGATCATGTTATGGAAGATATTTATTTCGATTTCCATCCTTGGTAGCACGTGATGGGTAAAATGTTGCTGGAAGATAGATGCATGGATTTGATGTCCAAATGACATAAAGCGACTGAAATTCATGCGAGGGTGTTGGATGAGAGAGCTCCATTGTTGCGGGCACATGATAAGTAAAATATCCATGTAAAACATAAATTGATTTTGATGTACAAAAAAGAAGAGATAAATTTTAATACCGGTTGGGTTTAGTGAAAAAGATTAGCTTCTATAATATGGTAAACTAAGATTTAAATTCTTACTAAAAAATATGTTTACATTTAATATATAATAGTGTTTTGAATAAAATTATTTCTAATTAGAAGAATACCTATATAAAGCAAAAAATACAGAGATAACTCAGGTTCGGAGCCTATATAATACAGTGGTCGATTTATCGTTCTATTGAACAAAAACCTGAAACCTTTTTGTGTTTCTTTTTCATTTTCTTTTCCAGAAAACAACAAATAAATAAATAAAGAGCTGTTCTTTGCTTCTTGGTCTTGCAAAAGCACAAGCACTGTACACACGTAACTTAATAAAATAACACGCTAAGTAAAAGGGGGAAAAGGCTTCTAATGACGTATTTTCCCGATCTTTAATTCTTCATGCTTCATTCCATTCCTCACTTTTCCTTTTTGTTTACTTGAAATTATCATCAAAACACATTCTCCTCTTCTTTTTCGCACTTTTCACCTTTTAGTTTGCCCCATTCTTCATCAATCCCACACTTATTTATTTTCTTTAAAGTTCTTTATAATTATTTGATTATAAGTTATGGGCTACTATCTGCTACTAATCTAGATGTAGATATAATCTGACTCTAAATAATAAATAGCCTCTTCAGTACAATATATATATATATATATATATAATCAACTCATATTTATATGAATGATATATGAGCTTTTGTCACTTAAGCAAGTTCTTGTGTATGTGGCAATTTAATTAGGAAATTATCAATGCTTCGGGGAGATTTAGACGCTGTTATTAACGAAGTATACTTCTTCGATTTCACAATTAAAAAATTAATAATTAGCCTCAATTTGTTAACATCTCAATTCAAATAAATTTGATTGGTTAAAATAAAACTTGATTTGAACCATCTCCATCAAGAGACGGAGGAGAAAGAGGCAGGCTAGCTCATTTCGTTCTCCATTCAAAATTTATTCTTCTCCCACATAATTTTATGGAAATCTTTGATTTCTTTTAAATTTAAGATATTTATGCCGACATTTTTATTAAAGTATTACTCCTCCAGTCCTTAATATAGGACCCAATTATTGAGTTGGTTTTGGTCCTAAATATAAGACCCATTTCTCATATTTATCAATTTTCTCTAAATTACCCCTATAGATACTTCCTCAACCATAATCAAGTAAAAAAGGAAGAGAAGGTATTAAAAAAGATGATTATGGTATTTTAGGAAAAATGTGTTATATTTTTTATAATTAACTAACTTACCTAACTTCCTTAATCTAATCAAATTAGTTAAATGGGTCTTATATTAAGGACCGGAGGAGTATGATTTTCTCTGCAAAATTTTCAAAACTAAATAATATTAATCCTTAAATTCATGAAATAATTTTAAAATTGTTCATTTTACCTACACAAAGCAAAGAACAAATAATTTTACCTGTTAGGCTCATTAATTCATTGCTTTATTTTCATATTTTATGTCTCTCTCTGTGTATATAACTATATATACACATACCAAAACCAATTGGATACATTCCCATTAAAATAAAATAGACATATAAATAAATAAGCATAAAATGATTATAAAAATTAGTAAGTGAGGCCGAATGTTAAGTTTATTATTTCAAAACGAATTAAAAGTGAGTTGAGTGGACAATAATACCCACCTTAATTTAGATGGTCACTAAAAATGTAGACATATACTTCCGAATATACCCTCCACTTTCGGGCTAAATTACCTTACGTGATCATACACGCCTCTTCAATATTTTGAACGGACAATAATACCCACCTACTACTACTTGTTTTACCCACTCAACCTTATTCTGCACCAGCCCCACCCTTTATTCTCTATATAATAAATGCCAAAAAGATACCACTAGTTCTGGTCCTTAATATAAGATCTTGTTTGATTTTTATTTTGACCATAAATATAAGACTCTAATCTATTTTTTTCTCATATTTATTCTTTTTTTTTTACAAAATAGTCCTTTAATAATGGTAGTTCTAGATAACAAACTTGATTAGTAAATATGTTTTAGAAAAAAACAATACATATTCATTACAAATAACTAATTTAACTAAGTTCCTTAATCTCTCTAAACTAGTCAATTGGGTCTTATAATTAGGATTGGAGGTAGTAATATTTTAATTTCACCATTATGATTCGTCTCGTCACGCACAGTTCAGACTAAAAAGTGGTTACTATGTTACTTCAACTCACAAGCTTGGTATCTCAATTTTTAAGCATAATATATCCAACCAATTATTATTTAATAAACAATAAAACAAACCAAATCTCTAACTACTCTCTCTTTTTTAATTTTTTTTCCTTTTTAAATCGCCGTTAATCTCAATTTAATTATTAGCGAATCCTAAAGGGGGCTGGCTCTAGATAAAACTTGAGCTTATATATGCTTTCTTTTTTAAAAAAAAAGTTTGGAATCTCTTCTACTCGATTTTAAAACATATCAAGTGTAAAATAATTAAAACAAAATTCACCTAATATTCAAAAACAATAATTGGATGATCAATCAAATGATATTGTTTACTGAGTTAATTTTGACAAATTAAACGGAATCACATTGTATTTTGCTGTCTCGTGGTTGTGTTAATGATGCGGTGACATGATAATAATATTTTTGACTTTGGTTTTAATATTTGGTAATTGGTAATTATTATGCATCATGGTGTTTTTAATTTATAGTTATTGTTAATTCTATGAATAATTAACCGGAGGCCTCCGGACATATGACCAAGTCATAAGAATGGTTTAAAGTTTAGGTGGTGACATGTGTCACATTAAATATTTAAATAGATAAGAAGCTGTGCCCCCTTGTAATGCACGTGGAGCTCAGTGATAAGCTCACAAATAGACCATTCAGCCGGGGATGACATTTCTCAAATTTTGGATTTGCGCCGCTAATTATATTATTCAGCTAATTTGAAAAATATATTAACATTTGGGTTAACTCCAAGTGGCTTGTTATATTTTTCATGCAGAGATGTATTGGTTATTAATATTTATTAAAGAAAGGAGAAAAATTTTTAAACTCCATCTGTAAGAATACTTTTTTATTGCTTACAATTATCATTATATTAGAAATGATCCCATTCGAAGTATAGCTAAGTGTATGTGAGAATTATTTTACATCATCTTAAAGGTTAAATTTTTTATAAAAAAAATTAAAAAGTGTTATTTTTTTCTCTGAAATAGGTTGTATAACATGACATTCTCTTTGTTTTTTAACAAAATAATATAAATATTAACTCTGCAATTATTCATGATAATTTTTTGTGTGACAAAGATACTTATAATATTGTATATGGACTGTTAATAGAACTATATATTTTTTTAAAAGTTGTGGATAAAATATGTGGGAAACAATATCACAGACAGTTTGAAAATAAAACTACGTTGGAAATAAACTTCAACAAGCATCTAGACTCGTTTTTTTTCAAATAAAATATTGAAGAATATATGTATGAATTGGAAACAAACAAATTAAAAGAAATGATAAATTAATGAGTGGAGGGGCCTATGGATGGTGCATGATTATATTGAAGAAACAGAGTACGTGACTTGTGGGTGAAGCCTCTCCAAGCATGATGTTGAACCACATCAATCATGCATCCTTATCTTTCATTGTCGTTAAACCATACTTTAATAAAACGTTGATATTATCCAATCCCGTTCATCGCTATAATTTACATATTTTTATATAATCATTCATTACCAAACCACGGGGCACATATTCTTTCATTTTTAGATAAAATTCACAGCTTAATTATTGCTATTGTTGCCGGTATCTCTAATATAAAAGTGTCCATTTTAATTCTTAATATATGGGGTAGCTGAAGAAGAAGTTAGTTCCGATCTAAATGTATAAATACAAAAAAAATCTTATATTTAGGATCAGAGGAGTATATAATATAATATTCTATATAGGTATTTTGGAAAAATCAATTCACATTTATAATAATTAGCTAATTTATCTAATTTTTTTATATAATTAAGTTAGTTAAGAAACTCGATGAAATTAAAGTAGTATCATCTATCTATGCTTTCTCGTGAGGGGTGTTGGAAACGGATCCAAGTAAAATTGACTGCGGGGGGCGCAGTGGCACATAAAAAGGCAACTAAGGGTCGTTCTTAAAGAAAATTGTTGAAAATTTAGTTATAAAGATTTGAAAATAAAAAAAAACTATCTTAACATCTCAATTATTTTTAAAATTATTTCATAATGGATTGGATCCGAAAAAAGACATAAAAATGTTTTCAAAACTGAGGTTTTAGTACCCACATTTATTGTCTAAATTTTTCCAAACATGATTGCCTCTAATAAAAATATGCCTATATTTAGAAGGAAAAAAAAAGGTCTTATAACCTACTAAATTAATGACATCCCCCCCCCCAAAAATCACGACGGAAGAATTTCTCCCTTGATATCATACCGTTTGAAATCGAAAAATCATATCATTTTTTTTACCTTGAAAAAAATCATATCATTTTTTTTACCTTGAAAAAAAAATCATATCATTTTTTTTACCCTGAAAAAAATCATATCATAATCATATCATTTTTTTACCCTGAAAAAAAAAATCATATCTTATTTCAACTAATTTTGTTGTCATGTAATTTAAATTGTATATCATAATAAAAACAATAAAATTCTGTTGATAAGTTTTTGACTTAAGTGTACGTAGCCAAGACTTGCAGATTCAAACATAGCAAGCTACATATGGTTGGTAAAAATCATTGTATTAATCAACTCGCATACATATATACTCCTCCGGTCCTTATTATAAGACCCAATTTGATTTTTTATTTGGTCCTAATTATAAGACCCAATCCATTTTGTCTCTTATATTTATGCATTTTTTCCAAGATAATCCTTCTAATAATGATAGTTTTAGCCAATATACTTAATTAGCAATGATATTTTAGGAATGACAACACTTATTTATTATAAATAACCAACTTAACTTACTTCCTTAATTTCCTCAAATAAGTCAATTGGGTCTTATAATTAGGACCGGAGGAGTACCATACTATTTTATGTGTCCCGTCACGTACTCCCCGGCCGAGGGCGTTATTGTAATAAACAGAAAATAAAAAGATAAAACAAGATCAAAGCTCCGAGAATTCAAAAATATTCAGTTCGTTTGGTTAAAAAAAAACATATATATGTATATATATTTATCTATTTATATATGTGTGTGTGTAAGATCATCTCGTGGGTGCTGAGTATATATATAAACTTAGGCACAAAGCAAAGAGGTGTGAGGGAGAGAGAAACAGAGAGAGCGGGGAGAGAGAGATAATTAGAAAGAGAAACATTAGTAGTAACCAAACCAGCCATGTCCCTCTTACGTTGTTTTGGGACATTCCCCAAAACTGGCATGTTTCCACTTTTATCTCTTCTTCTTTCTCTCTTCCTATTATTCTCCTCCTTCGCCATAGCCGACGCAGCCTTCAACCTCGCCACCGTCCCCTTCAACGCTGCCTACTCTCCCCTCTTCGGCGACTCCAACGTCGTCCGCTCCTCCGATGGCCGCGGCGTCCGCCTCCTTCTTGATCGCTTCACAGGTCCCCTCCAAAACTTCAATGTTTTTTTTTTCACCTTTTAATACAAAATATGACAGCAAAGATGTCGAAAACATTTATTTATATGCTACAATTAAACAGGTTCGGGTTTCATTTCCTCCAATATGTATCAGTATGGATTCTTCAGCGCCAATATCAAGTTGCCTTCCGATTACACAGCAGGCGTTTGTGTCGCATTTTATGTGAGTATATACACAAATTCAAACTTTTTCATTCAATATATACACAGGAAATTATGAATTCATGGAATGTTCTGAGAAAGCGAGAGGAAACAGTCATAAAAAGAACCCGAGGACGACGACGACGCCGTCGTAGAGTCAGAGTGAAATTAAACGACGCGTCGTGCTTGAAACGGTTCTGACGACATATTTGTGTGTGTATGAAAAATGCAGACGTCAAACGGCGATGTGTTCGAGAAGACGCATGACGAGCTGGACTTTGAGTTCTTAGGGAATATCGGAGGGAAGCCGTGGAGGTTTCAGACGAACCTGTACGGAAACGGCAGCACCCACCGCGGCCGAGAAGAACGCTACCGTCTCTGGTTCGACCCTACCAAGCAGTTTCACCGATACAGCATCCTCTGGTCTCCCACCAACATCATGTATGTCCAGCTCCCCTCTCAATCTTATTTAATTCTTTTTATTTTCTTTTTTACCAGACTTTGAAAAACTAGATAGTATAAGCTAAAAAAAAAAATATTTATACATATATAAATATATACATATATAATTTGCAGGAGTGCTCCTTCATTTTCATTATAAAGCCCATAAAAACATGTTCAACAATTGATGTAGCTAGAGCGATGATGGTGCAAGATTTAACTTTAAATTTAAAAATTATACTATACCTACGAATATGATGTTGCTATATAGTAGTATAAATTAGAAATATATATTTATAAATTACCAAATTTAATGATAGTTATAAGGTGTACATGATTTAAATTCAAATATTGTGGAGAATAAAAAACTTGTTTCAATTATTGATATAAATTAGGAAATGAGGAGGGGATAAGGATAAGAATTGAAGGAGAGGCCAATTTGATAAAGAAAAAGAAAAAGTATGGTCTAAACTTAAGAATGAATATATATATATATATATATCATTGTCATAATTGAAATTAATTTGGTTTGACTTAAGGCGAGGAAGAAATAGATTAGGGTTTGGGATTGCGTGTGGGATGTTTCTAAAAGCTTGTGAGCCACAAAAGGTGGCATATCACTTTTCATCACTGTAAGCATCGTCTTAGCTACGAACTAATGTGATGTTCTATGATTGAGTGATTTTTTCAAATAGCCCCCCACAATTTAATTATTTCCACGACTTATTTTTAAAAATATATATATATTTCTAATATTTTTCATCTATACGAAAAATTCAAATTAATTCAAGATTGTCTTCCTCACATAATTTTGTCGTAAATTGCATGATACAAAATCAATTAATCTAGAAGCCTCTGTATTTTGACTAAAAAATCTGGCCAATATAAGTCTAATTAAAAAAAATATGTGAACCGTTCTTTGATTACAATTTTATAATAAAACAAAATAAGTAGGTCAAAGTGGTGTTGTTGAAAGTTGAAAGGAGGCCGCATAAAATATTAAGAAACATAAAAGAGGCGGAGGAATCAGTTCATGAAGCATGTGATGAGGCTGCATTGTTTAATTAATTTGATTAAATAAATTAAAATAATTTTGTTAGATTACTAAACTAAGCTACCTAGGCCCATAGATTCCTATACTGTTTGCCATAAAATTTGTTCCCATAATTCCACCTAACTGGATTCTAAAGCAGCTGGCAGCCCCTTTTTCAAGACACTAATTATAATCATAATCTGATCTAATCTTAATTACTGATTTATATATTTTCTGAATTTCATTTTTATAAACTTTACTTTTTTTCATCACAATCTGTTCAGGTGGTTTCACAAAAATTACAATCTCGCCCCCTCTAACTTTTCAATAGATGTGAGCTCTTCTTTTTTTGATTATTAACAACTAAGTGTATATGAATTAAAATGTGCAGATTCTACATCGATGAGGTTCCAATAAGAGAAGTGGTACGTAGTGAAGAAATGGGAAAAGAATACCCTTCAAAGCCAATGTCCTTGTACGCCACTATATGGGACGCTTCAAGTTGGGCTACCTCAGGCGGCAAATACAAAGTCAACTACAAGTATGCACCTTTTGTTGTTGAATTCAAAGACCTAGCCCTTCACGGTTGCTCCGTCGACCCGATCCAAGAGGTTCCCGACATCGACGATATCTGCTCCGACCACCACGCCTACCTCCTCGCCCAAGACTACGCCACCATCACCCCCATGCGCCGCCTCGCCATGCGTCGGTTTCGCCAACGTTACATGTACTACTCCTATTGTTATGATACGTTGAGGTACCCTGTGCCATTGCCGGAGTGTGTCATTGATCCAACAGAGAAGCAACGATTTAAGGAGAGCGGTAGGTTGAAGTTTGGTGGCAGCCACCGCCGACATTCCAGGCGGAGAAACCGAAATGCTGCTCCGGTGGATGATAGTGATGAGGCTGATTGATGATTGAGCACGTGTGTACATAATATTGTGTTGCATTTTTTTCTCTAGGAAAATAATAAAAATGTTTAGATTAATAATATGTTCGATTTTTTGAATATGTGATGTGTGATCATGTAATTAATATTCATGACAGATGTGTGTTAATTTGGGTCAGATTTTGACCTCAAATATGAATTTCATCACACAATTAAAAGTTCTAAAAACACAATTAATCCGCTAACACTCATTTTCATACTAACCTGTCTAACCAGCATTTAATTATCCTGTTGAGATCAATTAGACCACCTACTTACAGGCTGTAATAGAAACATTAAAAAAAAATCTTCAAATAAACTTTTAAATGATAATCTCTTTCATGCATAAGCACAATATAGAGAAAGAAATCTAATAAACACAAAGATTAATAATATGTTCTACCAGAATTTAGGGATGCAAATGAGAAACTGGAGTTACTTAAAAAAAGAAAGAAAGAGAAATCAAATATTGTTAATCATGAAATTGTTTATGATATGTTGGTAGTATTTTTCAATTGAAAGTGATGTCATATTAAATTACTCATTCTAATATTAAATAACAATATCTATTAACCAGAAGAATGACGTATATTAGAATTAAAAAAATATGAATGATGAACATTTCTCAGTCAACATGCATACCATCTTGGTGTCTTTTCTGAGCACTGTATAGTTCTCTCAGGGTTCAAAGCATACTAATCAAAACCAAAGGAACTGTCCAATTGGTTGAAACCAATAATTAATTAATTAATTAATATATTGTAATTTTGAAATGACATATAACCTACCTGTGAATTCATAGCTTCATTTACCTTCCGGGAATCAATTTCATCGGCCTATTTAGTATTCCGTGGCTTTGATTAATTTTTTTTAAATACTCTTATTGTTCTTAATATAAGAGCTAATTAGAGAGTTAACAGTAGTCTTATATATAAGACGAATTCTATATGTTTATTAATTTTTTTTAATTTAATCCTATTGATATTTCTCTAACAATAATCAAGTAAGAGAGATAGAGAGGAAATTAAAAAAGATGTTTAAAGTGTTTTAGAAAAAAATATATCATATTAACTAATTTAACTAGCATCATTAATCAGCTCAAATTAATTAATTAGGTCTTACTATTAAGAATAGAAAGAGTATAACAATAAGAATGTGAATTTGATAATTACTAAATGACAATTCGAATGGCCGATTCAGTGTTGTCTCATACGTTACATTCAAACAGGACAAAAATCATTTATGCATATAAAATGTAACAATTCCTGATCTGTAAAACTTGATAGGGAAAATTTCATTATTTTTTTATAAAGAAGTACCATGACAAGGGTTAATCATGTGATTTATAAATTTTAAAATTCAATATTTCAAGGTACTGATTTTATGACTATATATATATGTCTCCAGCAGAGTTATAGTGATGTGATTTTTTTTTTAAAAAAAAAAGATTTACCAATGTGATCCCATCAATACCCTCTTCCAATGACTGCGTCGTATTTTTGCTACTAACAGCCAGTAGTTTAATCCATTCATTATATTAGTCTAAAATTTTGAAGGGTTTAAGCTTATTTGTCCCCAAAAAAGGCTTAAATTTATGAATTTTTTTATTGATATAGTTTTTTTTTATAACAATGATATGCGGAGATATGAAACTTTTGAAAAGGCTTACTTTTTCCGATATTAAATAAATATAAGGTTCATTTGAAAGTCTTGATTAAATCATAAATAATATAATTTTTATTCCTTTTTGTCTCCTATAAATAAATTCACACATTTTTATATTTTATAAATAGCTAAAAACATTTTATATTTAAGATCAGAATAAGTGTAATGTGTCTTTTTTCCCCCTTAACAATAAAAATCTAAGCTGTCCCAAAATATATAGTTGCATGGAGAGAGACATAATATACACTCCTTTAGTTCTATTTATAGGACATAGAGTGAAAATATTTTTTTTGTCTTATTTAAAGGAAAACAAGAGAAATTTTTTATATGGATAAGCAATTTTACCCTTTATTTATTATTGTGTTGACTTTATTAACGTGAGGTATGATGTATATTAAATAGGGATAAAAAGATGTTGAATTTTAAATAAGAGCCAATAAAGTTTAAGTTTTTCTATGTGTATTGAAAGTGACTTATAAATAAGATTAGAAGAGTAATTATAACGTGTCAGTTCAAATGTGCGGTGTGCCAACTAATTAAATTATTGATCGCTTGTCCATTTAACATTCTAGCTGTACTATATGATAGCTATGACATTGTGTTTCGTTGTTACAACTAGTGGCCACTAGATAAATTTAGAGCAGTTAAAACAGAATCCGAAGCATCCTTGATTGTATGAGAAATTTAAGGTATCATCATCATTAGTTAGACCAAGTCACTGTAAACTCTATTTATAGTGGAGGTTAGTTATGTAAAAAATAACTTACTCACAGAGGTAGATTTTCTTTTTAATGCAATCAATTCAAGCACTCTCGTATCTTTGTTAACATCGGTTTGAGTTTAGAACATTATTCACAAAGATAGGTTTGAACAAGTCCAGTGAAATAATTTCCTTTATTTATTTTTTTGTGATTTACTCTTTAAATGCAAGGCTACCTAGCTAATTATAAAAAATTAAATTTATCATGATGAATAGCTGGTCTGAGTGAAACGCCTTCTGGAAATTCAACATACATAGCAAAAATTCTCACCTAATCGTTTAAAAGTATATGGTCAAAACGGTTACTTCCCAACTCAGTAGTTTAATTGTCCGGTGAAACAAATTTGTCCAATTCCTAAAACCCTATCTGGTCAACCACCACCTCAAATTTCTACTTCCTTGAGATTTCCTAAGATGAAGTTTTTGGTGGAAAAAGTTAGGTCAACGATGTGAACTTAAAGAGCTGAAAATGTCACCACCTAACTTGCTTGTGAATTTGAACCAGCTTAACCTTCTTATAGTTGACATGCGTAATACTAAACCAAAGGGTTTTTTTTAATTAAAAGATAATTTTATTCAAACTAAATAAAAAGATTAAACATAAAAGAGGTTATGTGTGTAAACCAAAAAGGTTACGTGCAATGGATTTGAAAACATAATACTATCTCTGCTCTTTAATATAAAAGTTAGTTAAATATTTAATTTAGTACTACCTTTGGTCCTTAATATAAGACTTTGTTTGATTTTTATTTTGATCTTAAATATAAGACTCCAATCCACTTTGTTTCTAATATTTATGCATTTTTTCCAAGATAATCCTTTTAGCAATAGTAATTCTAGCCAATACACTTAATTAGCAAGGATATTTTAAGAAAACTAACACTTATTTATTACAAATAACTAACTTAACTTCTCTCATTAATCTTCTCAAATTAGTCAACTAGCTCTTATAATTAGGACCAGAGGTAGTATTAAATATAAAACCTTAATACATTTTGTTTATAATATTTATCTATTTCATCCTTAAGTAATACCTATAGTGATTGAGCTTCCATCAATAAGTAGTTCTAATACACATAATTAATAAGAATATTTTAAGGAAGACAATATTTATTTATTATAAACAATTAGTTAACTAATTTTATTATTATTCTGGTAAAAAAATAATTTTATTATTATCTACAAATTAGTTATATAACTCTTATATTAATAATGGTATATAATAATTATGGTAAATGCCTGAAATCACAAATTAACAACTCCAACAGAGATAAATTTGATGCCCATTTGAATGTAAACTAAAAGAAAGGATTTCTCACGTCCACATGACTCTATTGCTTAGTATGAACATGTCAATATATCTAGAAAAAGTTTTTTTTATTCATTTTAGGTCTAGTGAGATCAAGTTAAGTGCATATTTGGTTTCATATTGAAAGTAATCGTAATTAAAATTACAGAAATGTGATTTTATGGGGCATGAAAATCTACCAAACCCGGCCTAACTGGTATCAACTCTAACTTGGTCGAATTCAAGTGTTAACTAAAAATAAATTTTGTGCAAAGCTAAGCCGAGTATTATAGTGAAATCAAAATAGAACTCATTCATTTATACTGAAATTCATAAAGGAAATTTTTTTTTTAATGATACTATTTACCCTTTAAATCTTAAAAAGAATGTGTTTTCTGAAATCTATTTACATAATTTAATTCTCAGTAACTGGATCAACTTTGATTATACTGTTTTTTTATGCTGCCTTGCCTCAGATTTGATCAATTCTCGACCCTAGAAAAAGAAGGCATTTAAGGAACTCGATTTGAGGACGTGTACAATATGGGGCTGTCCACATCAATAGCGATGGACTTGACCCATTCATTGGACAGGAGTTAAAAAAAAAAAAAGGACTTGACCCATTCATGAGCCCAGTTCAACTCTCATATTAACATGTTGTTTTATCAAAAAAAAAAATAAAGGAAAAGAAAAACATGTCGTTGAGGTTGCCTCTTTTTAAGGAAATGAAAGTTCATAATTTACCAATAAGTTGGGTCTAACGAAAAGAACTAATTTTTTATAACGTGATAAACTAACATTTAAATCATTAGTAGAAAAGATTTTTACATTTAATACCTGACAGTACCCTATACCTAATACCTAGAGGATACTTGTGCTTAGGGAAGTGCTCAGGGGCAACAAAAAAAAAATTGCATAATGTTTTTTGGCTTTTCTTCCCAACAACGCACCATCATCTTATGAAAATATTTATAGGCATTCGATGTTTCAAAACACATTATTTTGTCTAAAATTTAATATTTAACGCAACTAGAAATTGACATTCTCTTCAATTTATTTCAAGTTTTACTTCTGCCCTTTAAATAAATCATAGTCTTGAAAATCTACATCAATGACGCAATTATAGGAGGCTAGATTTTATTAAATTGATCAGTATGAGTAGTTTTACTACTACCTTCTCTGCTTAATATAAGAACCAATTAATTAATTTGAGTAGATTAAAAAAATTTGTTAAGTTAGTTATTTGTAATAAATAGATACTGTTTTCACTAAAATATTCTTGTTAATAATATATATTACCTAAAATTACCATTTGATAAAACTTTTAACATGTGCAACTATTATAAAAACTGTTTTAAAAAAATAAAAAAATATAAAAAATAAAATAAATTAAGGTTTTGAAAAAGCCAAATATTTAATAATATAATTCACTTTTGAGCTGAAAAGACACCGCCCGATTAATTGTAAGCTAGAAAGACCAAAAAAAAAAAAAACACAGATTATTATACGACTATCACTGAAAAGAAACCCACTAAGAAAAAAATTGCGGGCGCATGAGCGAGGGACGACTGGAGGAGGCTGAATCAGAGAGAGAGTTGTACAATCAGTGCGTAATGAAAAAATTCTAAGCAATATGAAGGTCAATAATGAATGATAAGTACAAAAAATAATCTATACCAGCACAAGGTTCTATCAGGGATTACTTACAAGAGGTGCTACCAGGGGGGGAAAAAAAAGTTGAGCGCACAGTACTCATCAAGGAAATTGAAAAGCTCCCCCAATTTGATTCCCACTTCCAGAGGGAGGATCAATGGCAACCCAAAGTAGTGATATAGAGATGGCTATCAAACCAGACCACACATACACAATGGTCGGTGTTCTCCCTCTTCTTCCCATAAGCCCTTTTGCAAAAGGAAACAGATGAGCCAAAACCCAGAAGCTGAAGAACACACCTCCAAGCAAACTGCTCCATTCTGGATTTTCACTGTACACTGTTCTGATCAATGCAACGGCAATGCCTATCAAGTTTATCATCATGATTGTCACAGGTGGTATCATCAGAGATGTCCATTTGAGTATGTATAAATCAGCAAACTCATCATCTTCATCATCTCCAGCAGATTTTGATGTCAGTGTGAAGGAAATCTCTATTCCAGCCAGCACTTTAAGTAGGCCCTGAAGCACAGCAGCAAGATGAGCACTTGTACCTCCAATCAGCCAGAATTGTTCATTCCTCCACCATTCTTCCAGGTCGATGCCGGACCATTTGATCTCGAGGGCCGCAAGGAAAACAAGGGTCAACGTGATGCCTAAGAGGTAGGCTAAGAAGGTTACTTCAAGGCTCTGAACAATGAACTGGCCAGTAATGAGGGAAAGAGCAGGAAGGAAGCAGTAAACAATGAGGAAGACTGAAGTGAAGGGGTAGATTCCAACATTAAGGTAAGCAATCCTCTGAAGAAACTTCATCCTTGAGCTGCTCAAGAGGGCATTGTTTCGAGAAAAGAAGATTTCAACAGAACCGGTAGCCCATCGAAGGACCTGGTGTAGCCTATCAGTGAGATTTATAGGAGCAGTCCCACGGAAGGCATCTCTCTTGGTCACACAGTAAATAGACCTCCATCCCCTATTGTGCATCCTATAACCCGTCACAACATCCTCAGTTACAGAACCATAAATCCACCCAATTCTATGGCCCCATTCTGTCTTGTCTTCGTACCAGCATGAGATGACATTGACAGCTTCTGCAACAGTGGATGCATCGAGAGGACTGCGAGGGCTGGTTAAAGCACCAGGTGGTCTTCCATTTTTTATGGCTGGGTTATCAGCAAGGGGACGTCCTTGGAATTCTGCTATTTTAATTGAGTCAACAAGAAGACTTGAGTTGCCAAATCTCTTAGGGATGAGAGCAATGCCCATTTCTTCATCGTTATTGTATAGAGACTGATCCTCACTGGAATCAACTTCAGGGGCAGAGGCAACTGTTGAGGAGGATTTCCTACGACCAAACCAACTGGTCTTTTCTTTCATTTGTGGTGGATCAAAGCCATAAAGTGCAGTCCTTCGAAACAAGCATCCCGTGCCAACATATACAGGACCTTGAAGGCCATCTAGAGCTCGCATGTTTACATCAAAGAAGACTGTGTTATGGTTAGCATAGCGATCAGAAGGATCAATTCCTTCAAACCTCTGTGGAAACTGAACGTAGCAGATCTTCTCCCCACCAACGTCCATCATGAAGCACATTCCTTCCCTCATTGCCTGGGAATTATAGATATAGTGATCACAGTCCAGGTTAAGAATGAAAGCACCATTGGACATAACAGCGGAGGCTCGGACCAAAGCATTCATGGCCCCAGCCTTCTTGTTGTGATCATAGCCAGGTCGTTTTTCACGAGAAACATAGACTAGCATGGGAAGACGAATGTCAACTTCAGTGAAATCAATGGCATTTGACTCTGATGTTGTGCCTGTAAGTGGTTCTTCACTTGGGGGTTTCAACATTACCTGCATTTTGAAAGAGGCCAAATATATTATTAGCACATTCAAGTTAGAGCATTATAGTCACAACGAAAAAGCAATTAAAGGATTTCTAGCCAAAATGTATATAATGATTAAAAGATAATGGGATAATTATCAGTTGCATGTATAAAATGTGAACCAGTTCAAAACGAAAGAAGAAGACAACAAAACCCTCAAAGATTGATAATCACCTGTATGATACTAGCATGATCACCCCTTGATTGTTCTGGTGCAGAAGTCGTCCAAGTACCAGGCCAATGAGTACCATCAGCCATCCAAGTAGCTTTAGGAAGCTTCAAAGCTAACGGTTCATCATTTCCATCCTCTCTCCAACGTTTCATTGCTTTGATCTCCTCTCTAGCATTAAGAGCATCAGAACGTCGTCTGATTGAATCAGAGAGACTATTGACCCGGACTTTGAATTCATCATACTCCCGCTTAATCCGCCGGCGATCTCTAACAAAGTCAGAGCGCACCTTGTTCTTATAAGGATCTCTTTTCATATTAAAATAAGATTCTGGATTCCTCGGCTCAATATCATGTTTCCGACAAAAAGGAACCCACAAGTTGGCAAAACTGGCAGCCTCAGCCATGGCCTCAAAGGTTAGAAGTGCACCTCCATCATCAGAGACATAACATGAAAGCTTTTCAACAGGATAGTCAGCAGCAAGAATGGAGAGAATAGTGTTAGCAGTAACAAGTACAGGTTCTTTTTCCGGATCTGCAGTTGACACAAAAACATCTATTCCTGGAAGATCAGACTTGCCAGCAGGATTGCTGGGATTAGGAGTTTCAAACTTCTCTTTTAGAACATCGAGATCAGCAAAACGGTTTATGGGGCAGAGCTTGGGAAGTTGATCGAGCAGCCAAGAAAAGGCAAACCAAATTTCACAAACCACAGACATGCCCCACAACCAAATGGCATCATCATTGGGGTTTTCGACCCTCCATTTTAGGAAAAGAGCGAGAACCGCCATCCGAACAAAAATTAAGAGCCTGAAAGGTTGAAAAAAAGAGAGAATAAATTTAAAAATTGTTCGTATCAGACAGAGTGATCAGATTCCAACACGAAAGAACACCGCAATAAATAGAGTGAAAAAGAAGACGAGCAATGCATAAGGTTAGGGTAAGTACATGTGATAAAAAATTCAGGGCTAGAGAAAGGAAATCATAAATCATACCTATATGGACTGAGAATTGCAGCGGAGATACTCAATTTTCGTGTCAGAGGTTTCCACTGTTTTTCTTGGAATACCTTGGGATCGCCAGTCATCCACTCAGAACTGGAATCATTATCTGAATCTTTAGGCCACATAGCATTGCCATATCCATAGCTTCCCTTAGTTTCATACAACCATTGATTATGATCAAATTCATTGCTTTGGCTCTTCATCAATGCCCCTGAGTTAGATTTTATCGAGGACGACCTCCTCTCCATCTTTGAAAGCCCAACAGAAGGTGACGCTGGTTGAACTTGATGATTAGACACAGCATACTCGGGCAATTGCAGCTGCTTGTAAGGTTCTTTGCATCCAGGACAAATCCCATCACCAGTTCTCACAGCATCTCTATAACAATCTGCACAAATCTTGTAGTCACAATCGCAGGGCAATACCTCCAATCCTCTCTCATCAGTCATGACCCTTCCATCACAGCCAGGCACTGCACAAGGCGACCCTTTTGCACCAGCCATCTGGGGATGAATCGTTTCGGATTCAATCACCTTGTCCTTCAAGTGGGCTCGTGTGGCCTGATTAAAACCACCAGTGAACATAGAACTTGATGCATATTGATCTTCTACTCTCCGAGAAGACGATCTTTCCATGGTGATTTTCATCGGCTGGTTATCCGGGGTAGGAGGTAAGTGAACCGTGTAGGTGGCAAGATTCCCATTGTTCCCATTCTCACTTTCCGCATCAAGATCATTGCTTAATTGGGTGATTCTTCGAACAGTTGATGAACCTCTCAAGAACTGAGACTTCGAGGCCATCGTAATATCCAGTTATCCTCCTCTACAGGACCTGGAATTTCATGATCCAACACAACCCACGACTACTATATCAGCAGAGAGTGATTTAAAAGAGGAAGCTATTAGAATAGTTCAAACCTCACAACAATTTAAAACGTGAATAATATTAATAAACAATACAAAACGCAAAGGAAGTTTCTTCAAGGTCTTACCAACTCAAACACAACCGCACAAGTTTGAAATTTGTCCCAGAGCAAGTAGGAGCAAGCGCGTGTCTGCCTGACACTGTCAGATTTCGCCGTCTTCCCACTCACCCTCCCTCCGACCAGGTCCAACCCGGATCAAAAAGTTTCCAAAACCTTAATTAAAATCTTCCAACCAAACCCCGTTTAACAGTTCCAACGGAGACAATGATCCTTGGCCTAAAAAATCAATGCCGGCAGCGTAAAACCGTCTAGTGTATTGATATTTGTGAGCTTTATATGAATCACCGGCTCCGCTGAGGCAGAGCAATGACGACAACGGGTGCGAAGAAAAACTACATACGAATGAAGAGGGAAAAGTGGGAGTCTGTTCTGAGGAAAAGAAGTTGACAAAAGGGAACTGCAAATGAGACTTGAAGGAAGAAGATTCTTCGGATTTGAATACCACAAAAAGAGCGTTCATTTCCAGGACACAAAAAGCTGAATCCAAAAATGTGACGAGTCTGACAGCATGACGTGGATTCAATCCAAGGCGGTTCTTACGCGGCTATTGGGGAATTTTTGTGTGCGGGAAAATGTGTTTTCTTCTCTCGCACTTTGTTTTTGGCTTCCCTGCTGTTTTGAATGAAAATGTACGTTGAAGTGGTGAATAATGAATTCGACACATACGGTTCATTGCATTTGAATGAAGATTAGATTCAATCATAAATCATAAATATTACTCCCAAATAAAAATCATCTAATTCGATGCATCTAAAATATACGGTTGGTCAGGAAAAAATCTATTCACAAAAGAAAAAGGAAAAAAAATCTAATCTAATCTCATAAGAGAAAAATAGTAGTAGCAATTAGCAAAGGTATATCTCATTTGCGAGAAAAGAAAAATAATAAGGGTATATCAATTTCGGCCACCCCACAGGGAGAAGCAGCCTAGTGGTGTATCAAAACATTTAAGCTGAAATTTTGGCCAAAAAAAAAATTTAAGCTGAAAGGGGAATGTCAAATGAGATGATTTTTTTCAATTTCAGGAAATACTACGGGCTAATGCAGATTTTATTTTGATTCTCTCGAACAAAAAAAATCAGAGCATTTAATGGGAGAAAGAAATGAGGTGATTTTTTTCCCGAAGAAAAGGCACGAATTATGTAAACAGCTAAGCTACAGCATTCTTCACTATAATTTTGTATATCTATTTCTTTCTGAAAATTTTTAATTTTGTGTGTTTGTATGTTGATTTACTCTTCTGGTCTTAAATATAAGACCTTTATATTAGTATGTATAAGGGTCTTATATTTAGAATCAGAAAAGTATTTGTTTACTCATTGGCTGAAAAGAGCCATGTTCCACATTTATTGGCTATGCATAGTTTTATTTTATTTATTATATTAGATATAAGACTGTTTTCGCTGCTGTGATTAGGAGGGGGAAAAAAGTAAAAACAAAAATATGTTTATTCCAATAAAGTAAAAATAATTAGACAGAACAGATAAAAGAACGCACCAGACAAACTCAGAATGAATCCCACGTATGAATCTCTTGCATGTCTTTTTCTGAAATTACTGTTATAAGATAATGGTAATATAACAATGTGTTTGATTTTTATTTTAGTTTTAAATATAATATCCTAATTTATTTTATCTCTTATTTTTATTTATTTTATCTTAAGGGAGTTGTTAAATAATTTTAACTAATACATTTGATTAATGAGGATATTTTAGAAAAAACAACATATATTTATTATAAATAACTAAAATAACTAATTTTTTTAATTTACTTAAATTAGTCTACCAGTTAGAGGTATATGTTATGTGTAAGCAACAAATACAAGGAATCCAAGTAAACATACGCAACAAGAGGATTAATTGTGGGTTTTCACTTTAGCAAATATAGAGAATATATTTTATTTAAGGTTTTTTCTAATATTTAAAGAAAATAGTGACTTGTTGTTTATAGCATTCGGGAAGGCTTAGCACTGTGGGAAAGTTGTGGATGATAGCTGGCACCAGAAATCAACAACTGTGTTCACTTGAAAGCTGGAACGCGGACGTTCAATTGGCAGTCCCATACGCAGCCTAACCAAATCCTGTTATTTAACGTTCACGTCATCCTTTGTTGCGTGCGCGTGTTACGTTTTGTGTGTACGTGTGGGGGAGTCACAGTATTTATAAAGAAGTAGGGAAAAAAATATAAATAAAATTAGTGTTCTGTTGAGAAATTTTCAAGAGATTTTTTAATCAGAAAATCACCAATTATCATTTAAAAAAAAAAAGAAATGATAGTAGTAGTATTAAAGAATTCCTGCTGCCAAACGTGTTGGTGCGGACAGAAACAAGCGTGTTAGAAAGAAGGTAGGAAGGGTTTAGACGCGCACACATGTGGGCGTGATGTAAGAAGAAAAACACATAAAGAAATGGGATGCTAGGTTATACCAATTTAAAAGAGTGGTAACAAAGTCTAATTAAGACACTACCACGGGTCAAAAAGTGGTAATTGTCCCGTGCCAGAATGCACATGGGATCCCAAAAAATGTATGTATACACTATACTTTGTCCGAATCGTGGGGAATTTATACAATTTTTAAACCCCCTCGTGATCTATTGGTATCTATTACTCCTCCGCTCCTTATTATAAGATCCAATTTGACTTTTTATTTGGTCCTAATTATAAGACCCAATCCATTTTGTCTCTTATATTTATGCATTTTTTTCCAAGATAATCCTTCTAATAATGATAGTTTTAGCCAATATACTTAATTAGCAAGGATATTTTAGGAATGACAACACTTATTTATTATAAATAATCAATTAACTTACTTCTCCCTAATCTCCTCTCAAATAAGTCAATTGGGTCTTATAATTGGACCGGAGGAGTACTATTCTTTCGACCCTTAATATAAAATTTAATTTATTGGATCAATTTTATGTTAAATGTAAGTCCAATTTTTTATATTTATTAATTTTTTGAAATTATTTTTTATTGATACCTCTTACTATAATCAAGTGGAAAAGAGAAGGAGGACACTAAAAAAATTTATTATAGTGTTTTAAGAAATATGTCATATTTTTATAATTAATTAACTATCTGACTTCTTTAATTTAATCAAATTAATTAAATAAGTATTATATCAAGAATCAAAAGAGTACCTTTTCATCCTTATATAATAACTAGTTGATTAATTTGAATATATTAAATTTTTCTAAGTCAGTTATTTATTATAAATACGTGTTATTTTTTTTTTAAAATTACTAATCATGTGTATTAGTTAGAACTACCAATTGATAAAATTTTTAAATATGTCATTATATAATTATTTTAAAAATAAATAAATATAAAAATAAAATAATTAAAATTTTATATTCAAATCAAATTAAATATAAATTAAGCTAGCGGTATATTTATTTGGGGGAAAAAAAAGAGGGAGAAACGAGGGAGGAGAGAGGCAAGGGAGGGGATGAAAAGGTAATGAGATCAGCCGAAGCTAAAAAAAGTGGGAATGTGGGATTCACATTCGAGGTTCACGGGGGCACATGCCTCGAGTTCTGAGCACGAAGATTGAGGGGCGCATGTTTGCTGTGTGTTGGCCCCACGACCATTGTGTGGGCTCCACCGCTCCTCCTTTACAGGCTCCGAACCGGCATGTGCTGCTTCTGCTTCTTCGCCGTAATTATTGCGCACTCTCTCGCCCCACCCCACAACGCGCTTGCCTTCCTTCTTTTATATTACCACAGTTTCCGTTTTAAAATTATAGATATTATTTCAGGTCTCACATCAAGAATGTGAAACTCGTAATTTAAAACAAAATCATGATAATGATATAAATTTGAATCGTAAACTTACATGATGAACTTATAAAAGTTTATTTTTATTAATAATTGGTATAAAGTATATAATCAAATAATTAATATATAAAAAAAAAGAACATTTGATTTAAATATATTTTAAATTTAAATAATTCAAATTATATCCATCAATATTTATAATTTATCACATTCAACAAAATTTTTTTTATAAAATTCATATATGAAGTCACTAAACATAATCAAATTAAAAAAATTTAACACGTTTAAAACAAGTTGACATGATTTATAAGTTAAAAACGTAGAAACGATAAACTCAGTAATGAAAAATTTAACTGAGTTTACAAGTATCACGAGTTTAAGAGCGAATCAACATAATTTTATTAGCTAAAAATATAAAACGTTAAACTCGGAAAGTCAACTCGCAAGTTTGATAAGAGTGTTTATAACTAAAATCAAAGGTAACATTTATTATCCATGTAAAATATTAAAGTATGTAATAAGTAAGCCCTCACTTATGAGCATAGATATTAACAAAGAGAAAATAGAGAGGAGGATGTGGATGAAAATGGTGAATATGAGAGGCTTATAAACTTTCAAGGCTGAAGATGGGGCAAAGAAGGAACATTCCCCCACTGGACCACGTGAATGGTGGCCTCTCAGTTCAATCATTTGTTTGATTTTGAGTTGGGAGTGACATGCGGGGGGTGTCAACCTTAGTAACATAATTCTTTTCAGTTAATAATATAATTTTGGCAAAAAAAGATTAATAATATAATAATAATACCCCACCCTCCTATATAACATGGATTCATTCTGAGGCTGCATAGATTTGGGGTTTGATTAAATCATAGTGTTTTGTCTGTGTGTCTACGTGATGCTGGCATTGTCGTATTCATCAATCATCACCATGCGAATATGGTAGTAATTGACGTCCCACCCTCCGCTTACCCACCGTCCATCAACGTCAATTACAGTGAAACCTCAATTATGGTTCAAATCAAATTAGATGGCCATTGCAACAGAACCAGGCACTTAGGATTCAGAACTCAGCAACAAATCAGCCACAGCAAAGTGTTGGGTTTCATTTGCTTTGTGAAACAGTCTTCAATGTCAGCATCCAACATGCACCTCCCCCAACCAACCTAATTCATGTTCAACGCTTCAATAGAGCTGAGAATACAGACTAACTCATTAAAAAAAAAAAGAAGAGGATAATTACTCATGCAATCGCAAAATTACTTAAAATAAGTTAATTCAAAGGTATGTGACGCTATACTTTGATATCTTGTGCTATTGATGCTCGTCCAATGAGAGTTACTTGATTTACAAATCTGACTCAATGTGCTCCTAATTATATCTTAAAAGGGTGTGTAATATATTTTAAATATACTCCTCCAGTAAGACCTAATTAAATAATTTGAGTGGATCAAGATGTTAGTTAAATTAGTTAATGTAATTTTTTTTTTAAAACCCTAATCATCTTTCTTAATTCTTTTCCTCCTCTTTTTACTTGATTATTATCGAGGAATATCAATGGGTTAATTTTTTTAAAAAATTGATAAACATGTAAAATAAATCTTATATACATAACTAATATTAACTCTTAAATGAAGTCATACATTAAGTACCAGACGAGTAGTATTTATATCAAACAAGCTAATAACTAGAGTATAAACATTGCCTTT